GCTGAAAACATGCATGGAGTCAGTCGGATCAATTGTTCTGATCACGTCTCAAGCTTTTCCGTATGCCCAAAGACGTCACTTGTTGATGTTGAAAATTGCTTACAGCCTCCGTTCATGTGGATCCACAACAAAAAGGCCTCAACTTTGGTGCACTTTGTGAATACCTAGGTCCCCCGGGTGCGTGGGTACCGCTAAGAGACGCCGCTCCGGGGCCCGCTGCCGGGTGCCAAGACCACATCGGCATCCGTTAATCTCCAATCCCGCAATCCCGCTCGCGAGTCTTCCCGGGCCCGGAGTCTAGCCAAAGACACATAAGGACAGAAAACTCTGTTACCAGCGAACCCCACCACCCTCGGTTGATAAAGAACTAACTTGAGCTTCCCTTGATTTTGAGTGTGGACAGAGCGATCATGCGCCCCGAGAATCCACCAGGGGCGGGAAGACGTGCAACCCTGGTGCGTATCAGCTATCGGACGGCGGTGTCGCATATGTCGTTCGGGACCGACGAGCTTGTCCTCGATGATGCGGAATCACTAGGAGGGGGGCCCCATGTGAAGGGGAGATGGCTAGCACGACGATGGTTCTCTAGTTTCTGAGCCGGCGTTCAGCATCTGGAGTCCAAGACCCATGCGGCATCCCAACTCTGTACGTTGTCAAGGTTGGTCTAGATACGGGCCGACAGGTTAGACCGAAGACTAGAAGTATTCCGCCGATTTGCGCAGAGCTCTAGATAGAGCCTCGGGCGCGCAGATGACGTTACTTGCACCCAAATGTGCTGTAGACACAGAGGGGGGGCTTTGTGCTTGCCATCGTGGCATGACAGTCTAGTTACAAGTGCCGATTGCCATTTTAGAGGCACGAGGCCGCCTGTCCAGACCTATTTGGAAACCTTGATACGTTGAGGAGACTCGATTGGAAATCCTTCAGACCGACAAAGGTCGAAAACCAACACCAAATCAAAGTAGGTATCGCGTAGCGGAACAGCTTGAACGCCGCGCCGACAAGCAATGAGGCTCCAATGCGATCACACGTCATACAGATTGTCGTGGTGGAGTCGAACCTCGGCCGAACTGGAAATTAGCAGAAGCCGAAGTCCGCTCTCGAGCACGAGGGGACCGGTGGCACTGCATTGTACGGATACATAGAACAGCTGGTAGGGCGGCTGGCGGGCTGGCGCTTACAAGACAGCGGGCAGAAGGGTAGAAAAATCGGTGGGCTACCCGATACTGATGGTATCCCTGTTTCAGGGCCTGGTTTGTAGGAGATGGTGGTCGCCGAAATGCATGCAGAGTATCCGTAGTGTACCCGTACCATCCTCAGCCCGCGTCCAAGTGCCTTGGTATCGCGATGGCGGGGAAAGGAGGCGAATAGTCTAAGTGAGCCATTTTTGAAGAATCCGGCTTCTCCCTCGGGCCCTTGATGGAAGACCCTGAAAGAGCTGATTAGGGGGTCATGAGGAGGTATCCGCCAGACGGGGACCAGGGGAGCCCAAAGCCTTGGATCCCGATCTCGTGGCGGGTGGAGGGGAAAGTTTCAATGTCGCGATGGTACCGGATGGAAGGTGTGCGGCGCAGCAAGCAAACGGGGTTCATCTTGCCTAGGTATTCGTAGGTCTTGGGAGAAAAAAAAATTAGGAAGCCCAGGGTTGGGGTCGCTCTATTCGGTGGTTGAGAGTGTAAGTCGGAGACCGAAAGGCCGCTTTCGTTGCCGAGAGATGGCCCATGATCATCAGCCCAGGATCGACCGGGATAACTTTATGAAAGCTAATGCATACCAGACGGAGAGCGGGAGGCATCCGCTGGCCTGGGCGGGCTGCGCTACCTGGCGGATACTGATCCGAACCAACCCTACTGTGGCCCCGTGCTACGGGTTGGGCGTGGTGGGACTTAAGATTATTGAAAGCATGTGGCCTTTGATGACAGCGGGCAGGCGGCGTCATCGACAACAGGCCAGACGGGGACGATTGAGGAAAAACAGGGCGATCGTTGCCTTGTGAAGCTTCCACGTTAAAATTTGACGACGAAAACGGGCGCGCGGTGGTGAAGGATCATACCTCGGAAGTGATCGAAAGAGAACCGAGTCGATCTTAACCGGGCGGAGGATATCGAAAAGACCAGACCGATGCGGTTTCCGGGCGGGATTCAACGGTGGGGGAAATTGCCGATGATCTGATCAGGCGACGTGAAGAAGCTGCGCGTAGATAAACAAAGATTGAGATTCGAAAGGATGGCGCATGGAGATGGATGGTGATTTCGATGGGGGGGGGGGGGGGGGGGGAGCGGGGACTTCGGAAAAAAAGGCCCACCACGGGCACTGACCCCCACAGATCTCCATGTGGAGCACGGAGGGGGGGATTACTTTCCCTGCGTGGGGGCCCAAGGTGAGGGGTGGGTGGTTGGGGGGGGGGTGGGGGGGGGGGACTGCAGAGGTACTCGGAGAATACAGCACCTCAACGTACCTTAGCTCACAACGTACTAATGTGAGTATCCGTAGGGGGAAGTACCTTTCCTGCGTGGTGGCCGCAGCTGTGGGTGTGAGCGGCACTTTCCTTCATGGGGTCAAGTGGATACGGCACTTGATAGCAGTGTAGCCGATTAGTCAGTTGAGCCTTGATCCGCGCCAAACCGGATAGAGACGCGGAGATGACCCATTGGAAAAGAACCATCTTCTAGAAAAATTCGACGGTCCCACGATGGTTTTACCCCGTTGTCGTGATGGAGGGGGATGCGAGCGAGGATGAGGTTACACCCGACGGGCGATTTTCCGCTCTCTGATGGTGCTTCCGCTGCACGTCCTGTGTTCTGAACATAGTTTACGAAATGGGGGTTGAGTACATCAGAGTACGGTGGGATGCGGCTGCTGGGCTAGTTTCTCGATGTTGTGTGTAATCAATGGTCAGGATGATTGGTTGTCTCTACGATGTGCCTCAAACTATCCATCCCCCCCCCCAGTCCGGCGATTAACTAAGCTTTTCGTGCTCCTCCGCCGTGAGATGTCTAATTCGTCCCATGTTGAGGCCGATTGGAGTCGGCGACGGCGCCAGCCACAGGCCGATGAGACAGGGTTGTCGTTTGTTACCGCCGCGCACGCGGTGGTACTGACGGCTCGCTGTGGCTTCGTTTTGGAGGGGATACTCCCTGGTGGTGCCACCGTGATATGACTCTCAGAGCTATATAGCAGCTTCCTTGGGCCGAAGCCATGCTTCGTACTGAGGGCGCTTTCCCGGACGAACCTTAATGGCTCGGTTTGCAAAGGACACGGCATATTGCGACGGGTGTGTCCTATCCAATCGCGATGAGGTGGAAAAAGCCGGCTGGATGGCTTACTACTGTGTAAGGTTGTAGGAACGGCGTCGTAGACGTCAAGGTGATTGACGGTAAGCAACCACTTACACGGAGTTGTTATCTCCGCTCCGTGGAGCTATGCCCCAAGACTCGATTGGCATGGGGGAGTGGAAGACAGCACGATGATGCCAACGTTACGTGCGATGGCCCATTCTTGACAGGAGCAGTTAGTTATCTCACCCCCTTAGACAGAGCCATGCAGTGAGTAATTATCAGCGATTCTAAATGGGATTGGCCTTAGGAGTCACAGTGGGCTTGCCATGCGGTTGTAGTGACTAAGCAACGGACGGGCGTGAGCGAGAAGAATGCAGAAAAGCTGACAGTTGTGAGGGGCATGTCCACTTTATCGGTGAATGCACGGGAGGAAGAATCTGCTAGTTAAATCCGGCGGGAATACCTCGCGGGCGACGAGTGCGGATGGATATATGAGCGTTATCTGGTCAAGACCCACTTAGACCCACCACCGCAAGCCTCTACAATGTACACACCTCTACTTCGAGTGGAGGGTGCCTGATCCTTCCCGGCCTGCTGGCACCGTGGCACCTCATTCATGCCTGCGATTGTTTACCGCTTTGTATCTCCACGAGCATCTCCACGACAGGTAGCCTAATTTTTGCCCTACCTTAGGTAACCAAGTGGGGGACGAAAAAGAATGCATTCTTTCTGACACATACACAATCATTCTTCGCCCAGTAATAGCAAATAAAGAGCCAAAAAGACCGAAGAAAAACTCATCTAACAGGAAGCGTAAGATTTAACAGTATATTATACGTATGTGAGTGATGGAAAAAAGGTCGCGGTAGAATAGAGAGTCTGCGCTCTATTTTGTCCCCCACTTGGTAGCCTATCTACAATACCTCACCTTACCTTAGGCACCTTAGGTACGTGACTACCTTAGGTACCTATGCACCTGGGGCTTTTGGTCCGGGCAAAAATGATCTCCATTGCTTATTTCTCGCCCTCCTCCGCCCGGGCACCGTTTCGGGAACCGAGTCGGCCAACCTCGCTGGAGTCTGGAGCAAGGAACCGGCAACTTGGACGCAGGCACCAGAAAGCATCTCGTACTCGTACGGATACAGCAACCCCAGATGCGTACCTTACGAGGTATCTGTACGGATACACCAACCAACTGAGCAGGGCATACTTGCTGCACGGGCCCTTCGATGCTTGGCGCGCGGGTCGGTGCTGGGCTGGTAGGTACAGCAAGGCACAGCAAGGCAACTAGCACTCCACGTTCTCAGACAAACAGAAAGAACCCCAGGGTTCCAGAAGTCTGGATGCCAAAGAGGAAGCAACTAATTCGAATGAGTACTGACGGCTGTTGAACTTGCAGCTGCCTCAGACCTTCCACAGGCATCTCACATCCCACATGGAAGGGATGGCAACCACAGCTCTCGTGTGTCGCCTTCGGTTCAGCTTGATGCATTGCAACTCGATCCGCCACAGACACATCACGACTGCAACTCAACATCGCCGACCATGGCCGCATGAATCTTGATTGCATGTCAACGCCCTTCAGCCCAAACCAACCCTTGATCACCTAGAGCTGGCCTTGCGAGCCTCTGCCCCGTGCGGTACACCTTCACCTCTTCCTTCTCACGGCACTTAGTAGGCTCACGAGACCTGTCTTGGCGGCTTGTCAACGGTGAGCCGTGAACCTACCGCCGGTGGAGGAGCGGGCCAGAGATCGGCCTCGCTGTCTTGAGTCTTGTCCGTGCTCCGCAATCCCTCCGCGCACCACCATCGGCGAATAGGCTGTCGCCCTCCGTTCCAACACTATCCTCATCGTCGCCGGACTTTCGCTGCAGTCCACCTGCCCGACCCTTTGCAATCGATCGACGAACCATTAGCTCCGCCTGCCGCCGTGGCAAGCCGCCGCGTTTTGCTCGGCAAGAAAACATTATCGCGGCTCTTAATCGTTGACTTTGAAATAGAGTTTGCTGCTCGAAACTACACGCCATGACGTCTTTACCCTCTTTCCACCCTCGGACGGTGTCACAGTATCAGACGGGTTTGATGGTGGGCTCAATCCGACTGCACGCTCCTGCCGCACGGAGTGCTACGATGGCCAGAAGTTTGAACTGAAGCAACTCCTCATCTTGCCGTCAGTGGACTTTCAACAGACTGCCTTGAGCCGCACCTGCCCGTGAGCTCCCACAGAGTTCGCGGTTAGGTATTACCTATCTTCTATGCAGCTCGTCGAAGCATCGTGAACCTTAGCCGACTGGTAGCTGCCGCTCTTGGCGCATATCAGACTTTGGTACGCACCGACAGCATGGGATCTTTCACCATGAAGTGAATTAGGATGACACAAAAGTCCGCCCGCGGCGAGCATCCCACCGAGGCTGTCGGCACCGTTGGCCTCAACTAGGAAGTCCCTGCATGGCTGGGAGCTCGAACATCTTCCACTGTCTGTTCTCCGAACCTGTCCCGGAGGCATTCGACCTTACTGACACGCTTGTGCCCTATTGACAAGGGACCTCGTCCCTCGTCACAAAAGATGAGCTCTTCCTTTCTGGCGGCACCTTGCCAACTACCAGTCGGGCATACAAGAACCGTTGGACCAATTTAGCCCCGGATAGGAGAACAAGAGGATCGGGACCGTGTTAGTGCCTGTAAGGCGCACTTGGGTAACGCGACAAATTTGGAAAGATTTTGGCCCAGCCCAATGGGTTATGATCCGTCATGATTCATCAACCCTGGCACCCTGTCGATTTGCCCGAATTGGCATTCCAGTCAGGGACCAACCAAGCATAGCAATGCCAGTTGGCAAATTCCGTCTCTGGCGTCATCAATTCAATCATGCCTTGTTGTCTCGCCCCCATTCGAGTCCAGAGCCTCTCGAGGATCGTATAATATCGTGGCTCCGAGCTATTGACCTGGAGTCGTGGTAGATCGCATCGTCGATGATAAACGCGCAGTAAAAGTCAAGACCCCGCCCTCGGCGCCGGCCTCGTTTACAGGCCGGTATCTTGGCGTACGGGGTTGCAGTTCACCCTGATCGCCCCGTCAGCGGCCCCGTGAGATTCCGCCGCATGCACAAATCGAGAAATTAGGATTATGAACAACCCGGCATGGTCATCGGACTCACTGCATTGAACCTTGACGTAGTGCCCTCCTCGAAGGCGTCCGCGGCTCAGCGAGTGGTATGGTGCGACGGAGGGTACACGACTACACGTTTATTCCAAAATCGGACAGGCCAAATGTACAGACATGAGAGAGACGCTGGTGTCAACATGACCTTACCGTCCCGTGCGGACGGGTGGGGTTGGGGAGAGAGCAACGCTGCAACGCTGCAACGCTGCAACAGAGAGACAGAGAGACAGAGAGACTGGAGAGGCTTATTGTCGGTGTCGGAGGGATTTGTCACAATGACTGTCTCTCGCGTGTCCTGGTCGACTATTCCGTTCCATTCCTTGGGCCCATCACCCATGCAAAGCTTACTCAGGTCGTCGGGGACTTAGCAACCTCCACTCCCGAAGTATCGTCATGTACCGATCAGTCCCAGCAGCGGGCCCGCTCAACCTGACAGCACCATTACGGGCCTTGTCCTCGCACAACCCACTTTCATGAGGCGCACACTCGGCTTGGTTCCTACGAAGTAGCGTTCCGTTCACGATTTATCGAGTGTTCCCCGAGGTAGATGGTCCAGACTCGGCCCATGCCAACATACTTGCAGCATCATGTCATCTTTTGTTCATGACCAAGCCCCATTGCTTGGAAAGATCCCATCTCTGGATCCCGGCTGAGTCGTGGATAACCCTGCTTCCTGAATATAAGATGTGGTCGGCTGTCCCGTCTGATTGGGATCCCCGTACAAAGGATCCAGAAGCTATTCATGTTTCGAATCGGGGACCTTGATCACTGTCCATTTCAACTCCGCCGAACTGACGTCGATACCTTCAATGATCTGATGCACAGAATTCTTTCTTAAAAAGGGACCATCTCGACCCGGAAACATTCTCTCGATTCACACTGCTACATCCAAGGCAACAGCATCACCTCGAAACAAAAACCCCGAGGTCTCATCTTACACACCAGGATTCACAAGAACCTTCTTGTTACACCAAGCAGCACACCTAGCAGCCTAAACAGCCAACCTATAACCCATCCACCATTTCACCCACCACCCATATCCTCCCGCATCCACCAACCCGCCAAGTAATAAGAACTTTGGTGACGAATAGAGAAAAAGGGGGACTAAGGACGAAGGCCCAAGACCCTGGGACAGCACAGCAAGCTTGGCAATAAGATCCGCTCGAGACACGTCCGTTCTGCAGTCAGCAATCCGCCGTATCAACAGCAGCAGCAGCATCAACAACAATTACAGCAAATAAGCCGTACTACGTACAAGCAGCCGGCTTGCAAATCCAATCCCAATCCCTTTCCTCGCCGTCCTCTGAACTCCGCAGCGGACTTTTCCTGGTCGCGGCTAGCTCTTGGGGGAAAAAAAAAAAAGGCTACTAGCGCGCTACTACGACTAGCTACATCCCACAACTTGGCTACGTACCAGACGTACTTCCATACTCGCTCTCCTCGATTGAGCACAAAACGGAACAAGGATCCCTATCGTGGCCGTCTCATTTTCACAACTACTGGGCCCGCCCGCGCACTCGGACATAAAGACGTCGCCGACCGTTAATGCCACCCGCCGACTACCTAGACCAGGCCGGCAAACCCACACCTACACCACCACCTATTCGTACCTAGACGTTGCAGCACCCGCACCCGCACCCGCACTCGCTCTAGCAGACTCCCACCTGGCACCCAGTCTGCCCTGCCCTCCACTGTACTTGAAAAGGTTCCTTACCGCACGCCGCTCGTCGTTCCGCACAGTCGCACACCCTGTCTCCAGGCTGCCCTGCTCTTGCCCTGCTTGGCATTGCGAGCGACCGAACTCTATCAACCCCAAAAGCTTCCGAGGTCTTTTCCCTGCGCATCACATAATCTCGCGCGCGCACATTAGACGCACCCCGTCTACTCCCCGTCGTCTCCCCGTTGCTGCTCGACATTAATAATTTGCCAACGCCCTCCACCCCAGTACCCTGCCGTGCTTACTGCCCGCCCTCTTGACCCTAGCGCCGCGGACTCTTGGCTGTGTCATCCCGACTCTTTTACCTTTTTGGTTTATTCTTTAACTGGGTCGGCTCTCGTTCTCGCTATCATATATACTTCACTTACACGGCTCCCATCCGCAGTCGTAAACATAAACTTATACGCTGTTTGCCCTTTCGTCTCCATCACCAATAACTCCTCCGTTTACACACCGCCACACCTTACTCTTCCTCCCTCATTGCCACCTACTCCTCTCATAACTATTAATCATCCATCACAATGGGAAGCGGTCTACCCACACCTCCCTTGGAGGAACAAAAATCCAGGAAGAGCTCCTCCAGCTCCAAGTCCATCAAGCCCAACCGCCACACTGCTAAGCGTGCCAGCCCTCATAACGCTACACAACATCACGATCACACCTCTCAAGCCATGTCTGCCGACGGACGCCATAAGAGAGTATGGAAAGCTTGCGAAAGATGTCGTATGAAGAAGACCAAGGTAAGTGACGCCGCCACACCCAACCCGTTCGCCACAAGCATCTGACTCTCTTATCTCAGTGCGACGGAGAATTCCCCTGCAAGAGGTGTAAGGACGACGGTCTCGTCTGCACCGCCGGCGTTCGCAAGAAGACGGAATACAAGCAGCTGCCCAGAGGGTACGCCGAGGTTCTCGAGCACACACAATTCGCACTCATCGCCACCGTCCACAAGTTGTACTCCATGGTTAGGAACCAGCAACAATGGGATCTTGGTGAGCCTGAGCTCAATGATCGAGGACAACCCGTCATCCACAACATTGCCCAGAAGCTTGGATGCATTCGGCCCAACAGCGATATCGACTTGCCAGTTCACTCGGTATTCCCTGAGGACGAGGCAGGCTTGGCCGAGTTGGCGCGTCAACTGGAGGAACAGCAAAAGGAACGTGATGTGGAGAAGGCGATGAAGGCCGAAGTTGACTCTACTTCAAGCTGCGAGCGTTCAGACCGCGCAAGCTCCTCCGACGTCGATCACTCCGAATTCGAGGCCGATTACCGCAAAGCCGTCTTTGGCGGCCACAACAACCCAATGACCATGTCCCCGCAAAGTTTCTCTACCGGTTACACTGAGTTTGATGTAGACTCAGTTGCCTCGCCCATCGATCCGACCGCCGCCATGTTCCAACAAACCCAGTCTCCGCCCATGAACGCTTACCAACAATGGAATATGCCCAGACAATCAGCACCCTCTTCAATGGACCTCGCTCAGCAATTCTTCCAACATCCCGGCGCTCTCACAAACATGGACATGCTCAATCAAGGCCTCATTGAATCAGAATTCGGTACGATCAAGCCTCACGTCCTCAACTGCCCGAACCCCGAAGTAATGATGGGAATGGGCGACCCGATGATATACGGCGGCTATGACGGCGAGCCAATGCGACTGTAATCCAACCAATCCAACCAAATTACAACAAAGCCACTGAGCATTTCAACTACGGATTATGAGTTTATAGAGTTGGGGGCATCGGCTGGGGGCCATGGCTCATCAGGGGCGCACAGAAGATTTGGGAACATGGGTTTGCGAATTCTAAATTTTTCAATGATACACCGCGAAGGCGTTGCTTTTTGGGAAAGGACACCATCTCGCGAGAGAAAGGCGTATGACGGTTTTCTTCTGGGGGGGTTATTTGTTTTATTTGGGTAGTCGGATGAGGATAATCACCACCGTTCAAGGGATTGAGATAGTGAGCGGGATAACGGCCTTTGACAAGAAGGATAGCATTGAGGTGACGATTTCATGTTACGACAACAACAAATCGAAACCGTTGTATCAACTTTTCATGACCGTGTCTATTTACTTTCGTGTAATGGCCAAGGATATATGGGCGCTGGGTTCAGCTGGCCAAGATTTTAGAGAGAAAAAAGTTTCATTTTACGGATACCGCCCCCCCTTTCTCCTACTTTCCCACTTTCACAGAGTTGGGACGGAGGCAAGCTTTGCATAATGCTGAACCAGGGGAGGGGAGGTCAAAGTACCCTATGCTTTTTTACCCCCCCTTCAGTGTAAAAAATAGATTACGATACCAATTCACCACTCTTTGAGCAAAAACAGAAGAAGACCCAATCCCAAACCAAGGCATGCATTGCTCATCTTCGATTGGGTGTCATTTCTACCGAATTGGGAACATTCAAGACAGGCGAGACAGGTCCGTGTGAGCATGTCGTTAACCCGCGAATAGTTCCTTTTTTCCCCCACTGGCACGTTGATGTAACCTCCCAAGTTTTGACTTTCAAGCGTATAATCTGGGTTGCAAAGGTAGTGGTGGTGGTGGTGGTGGTGGTGGTGGTTCCCAAGCATGACGCTCCAAAGAAAGACGGTGATAAACCATACAAAGTCTGTCTCGCACTCTTTCCTCTATTACCTTTTGCCTGTTCCCCAGAAATGGATGAACCACCGACTACTACACTACCTAGGTGAATTGTCGACGGCATGCTACCGTGTCAGCGGCCCAACCCCCCTGCCCTGGACTCGGCTTGCACTCTCGGGGCTTGGAGCCCAAATAAAAAATCTAAATCTTGAAAAGATCATCGGGATTGTTTTTTTTTTTTTAAATTAACAAGGAGCCAGCTCCGTTAGTAAATCAGCCCCCTCCCAAGTTGCCTGCGAGCTTGCCAATTTCTGTGCTTTCTGGGTTACCAACGCTGCGACTGATGCCCGGAGGGTTTGGAGCAAATGCGACGCTCAGAGTTGCCAAGGGGATGGGCCACGGGGTCTCCACGTCACGACTTATAATTCTCGCCAGGGGGGACGGGCGGCGGCGGAGAATGCAAAGTCGTTCTGGCCGGTGCCGAAGGGGGACGGACGAACAACAATAACGCAGGGTAGGGCCCAAATGCCGCAGAGAGACAACAGTCAGACTCCTGTCGGGCTGTCTTGTCAGCGTCACACAAGGTAGCAGTCACTGGGGAGACGAAGACGGCCTCACCGTACCCATCGGCGACCAAACCGGCAACTCCAAACACAGTTGCGAGCTGTGAAATTCCCAACGCGACGTGATACTTTCTTCAAGCTTCTGGCAGACCCCACTTGGTGATTTGATCGACCGTACAGCTCAGCAGCCGTTGCCAGCATCTCTTATGAGATTTGGGGGCCGAAATGACAGCGATGGTGCAACATGGCATGACTAGACAGAGCTCCCTTGCTGACAGACACAGACCGCCGACCTACTTTTGCTTTACTGCCATGTGAAATGAGACGCTTGTCAGTCGTGTATCGCATCACCACACGCAACGATGAACATGTTCGAATCGGCGCGGACGAAACGTGTCTTCCAAACCCGCCGAGAAGGCGGGCGGGCAGTCGGTTAGGCGTCGTCACGCCCCCCATCTCTAAGCCACTTGGTAGAGTCTTGGTCAATTCTGGTTCTGGACAAAAGGTCCCCCTGGAGCATCCGTGATCCTTGTTGGTCGATCAAGGGGTGACAGGGGGGAGGGGGGTGTGGTTGCGCCAGCAGTTGTCGATGGTTCTGCATCCGCCGCAGCGGGCTAGTGATTGGCAAGGCGCAAAAGCCAACAGTCTGCGCAGAGACGCACCCAACGCACATACCGCAGACACTTAGAATCTAGACGCGGAACCAATCCTGGCGGGTAAAGACTTCCTGGTGCAGGACGAAGCAGGGTTGGTCTGGCAAGAAACGCGTAGAGACAAGAGAAAAAAAAACTTTCCAAAACACACGACGGAAAACCGTCTGAATGCGTCCGCCTTACGATCTCCTTCGATCCCAAGAGCCCACATCGCGGCGACCCACAGAGCATGTTCCACTAAACGCGGGAAGCTCAGGGCGCTGTTCATGCGATGATTGCTGCGTTTGGGAATAGGTACTAGGCAGGCTGTGGCGCGGGTCAGGGGGTGCGGTGGTTGACCGTTTAACAGCGTTGCTGTTTATTGTGCATCCCAGATTACGGAGTATAGCACTTTGCGCGCCAGGGGATGGTGGGGTAAGGCGTTAGGTGGTTGGAAATCGAGTTATGATGTCGGCGTTTGTGACGGAGGACGGGAAGTTGTAAACCCCGCGGTCCGATAGTGGATGACCCACGGTGAGTCGATTTTTTTGTGAAAATTCAATTCCATCGTCCTCGTCGGGTCCGAAAATTGAGTGAGGTGAATTTTTATTTTGGTTTTTCTGCTGCTTCAGGTAAGCCCCGGGGGGGCATTTGTTGTTCACGGACATCAAACACAGCCGATGACAATGTCTGAAGGGGCTCGGGCAGGTGTTGGCAATGACACCCTGTGAGTTCACGTGTTGGGCTGGGCGGATTGTCTGAGTTGGGTTGATGATGCTGGGTAAACCCTGGTTCTTGGTTTGGCCGTTGCTTGGAATTCAAGGCGCTTTGTCAGCGGGCCGCTCTGGCTGTTGAATGGACATGAGCTAGTTCTCTCGTCGCCGACAGGAAATAAGCCTACACGAAAGTTCCCGTTGACTTTCAAAGGTGGACATGATCGACTGCCATCAAAGTAGACTACCCAACATGGGAAGCTTGTGCAATGGTCGAGGCCCAGGACCAAGCCTTGGGTGTCATAGGAAGTCAATCCCTTTTTCCAGGAAGTGAGGGAAGCAGCCCATGTGTCCGACCGGATCGGACCAAAGCGAGGAGAAGCCTCTCGGCCGCAGCTTTCGGGCTTCTCGTTTTCGGGTCCTCCATGTTCTTCTGCCCTCAGTATGTGACAATTCTATCGACATGCAGAGTATGGGCACAAGACGGTAGCATCCACTGCCTGACAGACGCTGGGCGGTGATTCAGCTCCACTATCAGAAGGGGGCCGAAACGCAGTGATGTGGGATGTTGGCTGTTCCACTGAAATTGTTCCCTCCTTTTCTGTCCTTCTCGACTTGTTCTTCTCTTTGCTCCGTACCGTAGTACGCAAGCAGCCAGTCGGACTGCAACACTGTCTCGCCCCGTCCCACTCTGTCCACATCGTCGGGATCGGAGAGAAATGGGTACGGCTTGTTGATGACCAACCGTCAACGTGGTGTGTGGTTCCCTGACAAGGGGTCCGTATTTTAGGCAGGTGATCGCAAAGGATCGGCCGCTTGTAGTTGGCAATTATGAAATTAACACGGCTTTTGTGCAAGCTTCGGCAGCTCTCGGTGCCGAGCTTGGGATCCATCGGCCCCTAGCACGCAGATGCGCCGTATCGCCATCACCGCTCATCGCCGACGTGGAGCGGCCGGGATGTGGAGGGCCGGCGAGGGCTCTCAATTTGAAAAAGCGAAGAGTGCGCATGAACCCATGATTTGGGCCCGTCTACGGGAGGGGCCATTAGGGTTGAACTTAAGGTGACGAGGTACGACAGGTATACAACATGATGTTGGGTAAATTTGGGGGCAGAAACAATGTAGAAGTTTCTGCGCCCTAGGTAGTGGGGGTTGGGAACAAGGCGCGCTTGTTTGCAGATGAATATGGGTTTAATTGGCGCTTGTCTTGGCTCGCTTGGTATTCTTGGAATCGCGGTCCGCGGCTTCGGGGCGCTGGTACTCCGTACATGACGACGACTCAGCGCTAGAGAGTCGGGGTCCTCTAGGGCCCTCTGGGATCCTTGTCTGCCAGCCGCTTGACGTCGAATTCCGTCCAGCGAGGAGTCAGGACACGTATTTGAGTATCGGTAGGCATCAGCGATCACCCGCCAACCACCAACCGTCAATCGGCAGCCATTGACGACGGTGGTGAACGGATACCCGTAAAGGGGCTGTGGCGGGTGGGTCGTTGCGGGAGTGCACGTGGACCGCGTTTTTCCGGGGGATTTTCTTCACGCGTACGGATACCGTACCTTGACCAAGGATACGGAAAGGCCTCATTTCGCGTTTCGTCTTCACGTCAAATCCGGTGTCGTCTGCATGCGTTGCCGCTTTCGCTGCCTGGCGGGGTTCCGGTTGTTGATGTTGGCAGGCAATTCGATGGGCTGATGCAGTTGTGAATTTGTAATGGAGGGTTGATGGCGGGTTGACTTGACAGGGGCGGATGTTCCTCGGGTCCGAGGAACTTCCGGGAAGGACGGCGGAAGGTTGTGCAGGTGGGATCATGGAGGAGGTGCCTTGGGGTGGGAGGGAAGTTACTCCCGCTACTCGTCGCAGGCTCCTATTATTCCTCCGTCGATCCGCCTGGGGTTCAGCTCATGTTTCGCCCGGAAAGGGATACAGGACCCTTGGGCAGCTGGCTTGCTCTTTAGCCATGTTGGTGAGAAGGTGAGGAGGTGATTGAGCGCGTATTCCCGCATTAGTTCCTGCACTCCTCGTACTTTCCGAAACCGTCCATCATAAATACCTATCTGATGTCAGGTGAGGTAGCGGTATTGATGAATAGGAAGTTGCGTCGGTTTGGACTGTGGAAACCTGAATACGCAGGATGCAGCAAAGGCCTGTGATTGGCGGGGAGAAGCTTCAGCTCGAGGAAATAGGTACCAGAGGCACCAAGGTACCTAGGTACCTAGGTACCTTGAGGTCCTGCTTCCTGCCATGTGCTGCACTCAGTCAACGACCAAGAACTGTCCTGGCTACGACGTCGTTCACAGCTCTTTCCCTTTGGCCTCTCTGTCGAAGGTACTCGTACTTTCTCTCTGTCTGGTGCCACAATGCCAAAATATTGTCTCCAAATCAACTCGGTTGGAGGTGGCTGAGCTGTGACCCATTCCACTTCCCCGCAACTCAACACGCGTATTTGCGTATCTGTTAAGGTAGGGACGCCTCAGCTTTCTCGCATTCCTCGCATAGACCTCGCCCGTCCTCGTTTTCGCTTCGAGGTGCGACGCATCTTAGCTATCATTAGGAGCAACGGCCATGCCGAGCAGCCGACCTCACCAGCCATTGCATGATGCGGAGTTGACGAAGATAGTTGAGGGGCCCTTCACCCAGCCAAGCACTGATTGACTGCTTGCAGACGATCTTATTGTGGCTCGACTCGGGTTGACCCCCCAGGAAACCAGCCCCAAGGAACTAGATGGGCAAGCATATTTTAAGATTGATTCCTACTCGTCGAATCAAGTTTCCCTTGCCGACTCCATTTCAACGTCTTGGCCGACCATTTGCCCAAAAATCGGTGGTCGTGTCTCTCTTGGCGCCCTGCACACGCCCTATTGGCATCTCGTCATTCACCTGAGCAGACATCGTTATGCTTCTCCTGTCAAACCACACCACGGCCACCCTGTCATGCCAACTTCCGAGGTCCCGCCCTAGGCCTTGTACCTTTGGGGGGTGGTCTGTGAAATTGCACCTCTCTTGGAGTCTTGGGTTGGCCTAGGCCCATACCAGTGCATCTGGATCGACCAAGATGAAGAGCACCTAGGACGACATTTGAGTGGCATGACCCAAGTTCCCTCAAGTATCTCCATGTTACTCCCAGGTATGATACAACTCTGCGATCCAAGAACCCACGTCGGGGATCTCACCGAGGCTTACGGATAGCACGATGGATATTGTTGAATCGAGCCAGCACCGCCAAGGACGGTAATAAAACTTGACGTCGAGGAACCGACATCTGAAAGGTGCCATCCTCAGTGGACCACCAATCAGCCATCTCACTGCTTCCTTGACCTGACTATCCGATGACGGCTACCAAAAGTATCGTGCACTGCCCTGGAATAAGGCGAACTCTGCTGCCCTGCCATGTTGCCAGAAGCATCAGAAGAAACTTTGCGATCATGGCATATTGGACTGTAGACAGCCCATACACTCTATGTACCGCACCTTGATGGCCAGATGCCAACGAGAGGCAATCCCAGTCTCAACAAACGCGACGCTGTTGATAGTCTAATTGCAACTGTGCCAGGGGCTTCTGATTTGGCGAGGGCTGTGGACTAGGTTTTACAGCTTCATCTATTCGCACACGGCTTTCACAATCTGGAAAAATCATTCCAAATATTGCTTGATGTAGCCAGGCTCGGCGCGCCACCAACAGTCCTAAAGGCGAGCTTTCTCGCCTTTTTACATGGAATTCGAGTCAGGTGGTGTGCCAGGGCACGAACTTCTGCTCAGTCACCATCTTACAAGATTCGGCACCTTCTCGCATCGCAATCGCCTGGATTGGCATCGAACAATTCTACGCAGTTTATTGGGAACGTTGACACCACCATATGTCGCTGCTCTATCCGTAGCTATTGGCAAACCCGTGGCGTGCTGATAGACGCGTCGATACACTTCGCAAGTCCGTAGACACACCATAAGATCCGACGTCGCTTTGGTAAACTTAATGCCAGTCGTTTGGGTCACGCTAAGCAACGGTTGCTATTACCCATCAGCACCTTAATCACCCTGATACGGTTGCAATTTGGACAAAAATACTCCGTACATGTCATATTCACTCCTGTTGGAGGACAGCGGAGATAGGCGGCTCTTGCATCGCGAAGCCTGTCAGCTTACCAGCAGCAGGTAAGTGAAATGAGGCTAATGCAGATCTTCTGCCCAAGTTTTACTGGCAGGTGTACAGAGAATACCCGGCGGGATTCGCGACTTCTCAAGCTTTGATACTGTCGTCCAGTCAAAAGCGGCAGATCCCTCCATTTTGACCAGAGGAGTAAGCCAAACAGAGATAGGCGCTCGTTCAATCCCACGTCAGCAGCAAAGCTGCCTCCTGAGCTCAAGGACACGGGTTTGATATGAGGATCAGTTTGATGGCGGCATCATTCCTTCAATCACAACCTCAGAGGTGTTTGACAAGTAGCGCTCGCGAACACCCGCATCGGGCCTTGTGCGTGTCACCAGGTTGGGGATTGATCACGGTGGGGATACCTGGCCGCAATGGCTTGGAGAAAGGAAAGGCATTTGGAAGCAAATCTCATCCTCTGCCAACGGGGGAATGTCGTTTGATCTGGAGAGGAACTGAGCTAATTACTGGTATTACCCTATTCTAAACTCTAAGAAAGCCTTTTGACTCGCGTACTGGCCTCTCAATCTATCGACAATCTCACCCGCAGATGAGAAAAAGTCAAATTTAAGACGAAGTTTGGGGCTACAGCCCACCTGTGTGGCATCGAAGATTGATGACGGGCCCTGCTTCCGTCAAGAAAAGAGTGTGAGCGAAAGTGGTGACTGGGACTCTCCTCTTTGAGTCCAGAACGCTTGGGAAAAGTCTATCCGCGATGTTTGGGATTGGGCACGCGCGAGTCGCGGTTCATCCTTTCTCGGTACGGCGAAACGGAAGTGCGAAAGATTGGCCACCCCGGTCACAATGTAATGGCCGGCGCACCGCCGGCCCCATGTTATCCGTACGGCGCGCGTCAAAAAAGGGGGCAACAGGGTTAAAAAAAAAAAAATTAAGGTTAAGCGGCAACGATTGGGGATACGACATCACCCACAGGGATATATGCTGGCACCAAGCGCGAGGCTTTTTGACAAGCGTTCGTTTATGTACGTTGGGATGTGGTTTATTTACATGAACAACGGTAGGGGGGTTTCGCCGCTGACAAGGATTTACGGCCTTCATCTTGTCCTATCCCGGCCCCGCGGGCTTGGCCGGGGTCCGGGGTGCGGACAGTATGGTGTGGCTCATACGTACGTACTTCGCTTTTCCCTTCCGCAGTGCACGCGGAGCTTCGGTTTCGGGCGTGGATTCGTTGCAAGGAAAGCAACCAAGGTAACAAGGCAAGGAGGGTAGAGGGCGCGCGGGAAGGTCCAGGACGATGCGACGGCTGCTTCGACTGCATCCATGACGCTGGGCGGGGTTTTTAGCCGGCGTCTCGCGCGGTGTGGAGATTGTGTAGTTATTCCGATCATGAAAAGAAGCCACCGGACTGGTGGTGGTTCATTCTTGCGTGGTAAGCAGCACTGAATGGGTTTCTGCATCCGTCCGAGCGACGGACGACTAATCGGCGACTGTGCGGATTTGTCATCTCGCCGTCGCCGATGTGGTTACCACGGCTTTTTCCCAACACACACGGTCTCCCTGCAAAGCCCATAAGAGCTACGGTCTTCTGACGTGATCGAGTTCGTCGCACTTTGGGGTCTTTGTCCACTCGGGGTCTGGGAAGGAATGCTTGATAACGGAGGGGAAGTCATGATGACTGACAAATTCTCCTCTTCCCCCCCCCCCTTTCGAATCCCATCCCGGCTACGCCCCTTGATCAACAGGTTCCCCTTCTCGGAGGGCAAGAACCCAAAGCACGGGGCAAGCATTGGGCATCCTCTCGTAGATGCGGTTATGCCGAGTCATTACTCTTTTGGGCTGGATCCCGCCTGAAAACCGAGGGAATGGAACCGATATCCTGGGCTGGGAGCGGGATGGCGACTTATTTGCATGGTGAGCTTGGTGACGGGCAAGGTGAAAGCTGGATACCTCCGTACACCGCCCCCCGTACACCGCCCCCCCGGGGTTCCCCCACACCCTGACGGGTCCTTACCGGGACAATCTCTATTTATCGCATACAACTACAGATACATCGGGGAGAATTCTGGCTTTATGGTGAGATGGGGGGCAGTTGGTTTATCACTCACTCACTTTCTTGGTCCACGGCGTTGGACCCCTTTTGAGGATTAGACTGAATGCTTCTGCGAGGTTTCAGTCACTGTTGGGAAACTTGCAGCGTGTGTTGACCAGTAGAAAGGCTTTTTTGCTTCCCGGAGTGCGGTGGTATGATATGGCTGACTGATTAATGAGTGCGGCGGCCGTGACCGCTCTGGGTTTCGGTAACACGAATGGCGGTCATTTTTCTCTTCTGCCTCCCCCTCACTCTCTATGTTGGTGATTACAGGTCACTGAAGTTGCGGTCTACATCCATCCTTCCATCTCGCCATTAGGGTGTGATGATCTGACACTTGTGCTGTTAGCATCTTGCTCCTGAGATGGCGGTGAGTGAGGTGACAGGCCCCCTGGGCCTGTCGAGGACGAAGGAAGAAGATCTCTCCCCTTGGAGCTGGAAGAGGCGAGGGGCGATCTGCTTTGCCTATCCCCCCCTCCTTTGCCCCTCCGCAGCGCAGGGGGTTGGCTGTCATACGGGGTTCGTTGAGCTTGTTTTTTCTTATTATATCATCTTTTTGCCGGTTCGTCGGATGGCTGGGATTAGGTTTTCTTACTCAGGTCTGTGTCACCGTCACTGTCACTGTGTCAGGCGGGGTAGACGTTCTGTTCTTGATTCTCTGTTGGATAACCTTTGGGTAAACGGGCCGGGGATGGACGTGGTTTGGACCCGACCTGTTCCATGGCAAACGGTGATGGTGATGGTGACGGTGACGGACTCGAGTTACGGAGCTCGCTATCCTGTGTTGACTTTGTTGATAATGTACACGAAAGCATGGAGAGCGAGATGGCGTCTCGTTAGAATCAGTCGGGATGTTGGTTGATTCGAACAAGGAACCCGGCATGATTGTTGCTGCCGTCACCACCCGAGGCTGTGCTGACTTGTTTGGCATCTACAGACAGTTGTGACTACGATTCCTTATCCTCATCGTAATTAATATTGAAGTTACATATCGAGATGCGCTTGATCATGTTCTTTCCACACTGATATCACTGTTCTGTTAGGGTCTGACACTTCTCAATGTGTGGCATGGCAAGAAACCAGCGCTCCTCTTTTATTGAATGAGCCATCACCATCAAATAATGTGTACGCTCCATTTTTGCACATGTAATGGTCCAGATCAGCAGTTTCTTGGTCGATACTCGTGATCTAATTTCTCGGCTTGTTGTGGACATTCAGGTCTTCATTTGCCGTGAAAGGGGATTCAGTTGAAGGATTGAACAAGGTTTTATACCAAACTTTCCAATATTCAACTTGGTTCAGCATCATTGCTTGTGAATGCTGAATTGATTTCATCTTGTTCTCGCGGGAACCCGTTTGCTAACTCGCGGACTACACTCACCATCTTCTCAGACTCCATCAAAAGACTACCTATAAGTGTCTCTTTCATATAGAGCTGCTAAGGACTTTCCATGCGAAGGAATGATGCTTGTGTTCAAGCTGGTTAACGTCAAGGAACCGGTCTCTGAGGTTTGGATTGCTTCTGATGTCAGGACCCTCTTCTACAACGCTACCTTCATATACGACGACTTCACTGCTTCACTGCTTTACTGCACTAGCCTACCTTGCCTCTCAGCAGAACAGTCAAGGTTTGCGCTAGATCATGAGGAACACTCGTATAGCTCGCACACACAAACTTTGGGGAGTCCATCATGCTTCTTACTCATAACCCTAAATATTTCCAATGTTTGCTTCAACGCGCCTTTCTGTCATTTGCAGGAACGAGAGTGCCCTGTTTTGCGAGTCCTGGTACAAAAGTGACATTAGGTCATTCCGTAAGACGAATACATGTGATATTTATAACGTCGTTTTTATGTCAACCATGTTGGGTAGGCAATATCGAATTCTGACCTCAGCAGATGCGCGCCTTCAATGCTAACGCGGGGTCGATCTCGGCTACAATGACAACGGGGCAGTTTTGAAGTTGACTATATTGTCACCTTTTGGTCTTGTAATGACCAGAATACCAATCAATAATGAAAAACCAATGGAACAACGTGGATTTTGACAGATGCCCGTTCCACTGCCCTTGGGTACTTCGAAACCCATGAGTCTTCTTTCCTTGACTAGCCCACGACCAACATGTTCGACGCATTCAACCTTGAAGAGAACTTACAAAGAATCCCAGAGCCAGGAAACCGAGAGGGCGATCTGCTGAGGCTCAGGTGGACGGAGCCTTACATAAACGTCATGAAAGTCATTTCTCTTAATAAATCATGTCTCCGTGTCTTTTGTTTTCAGTAGCATTGTAGCACACAGTAACCAAGAATGACTGGTACTCATCAGATCCGGCAAATAAAACTATTCCATAACTAAGAAATCACATGATACCGACTACCTACCTTTCTTCTTCACGAATGTGATAGGCGTCACGGCAGCAATGCGTGGAAGATTTTAGTCTCGGCTTTCGCCTACATCGACGCTCTCCCCGAAAAATATTCCAACCCGCAACTCTACACGTCCCCCAAATCTTCGCTCATCATGAAACCCCATAGATCAGATTCGTAGGTTTCTTCGATCTCATCTTTCTAAAACCTTTCCCTTCAATCGAGCAGATGAAAGTGCGACTCGAAGACCTGACATGTCGACCACCGTTGGCTAACTTGCCATTGGTTGAAAAGCGAGTGCGTTTCATCTTGAGCAGGAGTCCTACTATAGTTTCTACACGTAGTGAAGTTGTTTGCCGGCATGGTTGGGATAGGGGTCAAGGCATCAAAACGCAGAGATTTTGGTCGCTACAACCACTTACATAGCCGCCATACTGATGTCTTTCGTCGAGGCTAGCCCTTTAACGATATTGAACTGTAGAAATATAGAAGAGGTTTGATGGAGCTAGGCTGTCAGAAGTCAGATATGTCATCGTGACAGGTAGAGCAACTTTCGAGGTCGTAGCCTTGCTCCGAGCGATGATGTTCCATGCAGACCAGATGCTCGCAATGTGTGTTTTGGAACACGTTCATCAGCTTGCGCATCATGTTATAAGATTGTAATCCAAAACTGTTGCCAAAGACTCGTAGCTGCAATCATGCTGGAGCTAGAAGGACGCGGAAGGTAACGCGAGCCCAACTGCGACGAGCCTTTTTGATGGCCGTGAAGCAGATCCGATGAATGCGGAAACGCTGGTTGAGTGCCGGAGAGCGAGATTTGGCGTAGGTGGGTAGAAAATGCTTCAGCAACATTTTCTGACACAAAATTTTTCAAGTTCCGTAACGTATCAAATTGCTGTGCCGTAGGTATTGTGTTGATGAGGCTTGATCATTTCACGTCCCCGAGGTCCTACTGAATTTGATCCTTAATTTTTATGCTCGTACTTCCTGCTCATCGATAGTCGTTATGAGTGGTAGATGGCTCTCGACTTCAACCAGTCACAGCGTGCCGCTCTGGCTACCATGCTCAACGATACTCATCGTCTGCCTACCATATAGAAATGTGGAATAGGCAGTTTCATTCAACTAATATGCATCGCATTGATGCCCTCAGAATATCGCAATGGGTTATGGAAATATTGTTTGCAATACCTAATGTCCAATAAGAGGAGACCCTGTGCAAGGCTGCGTCAAATCCCTAGGCTTTCCTGTTGTCGTACGAATGGACCACATGCTTCGATAGGAAGCAATAGTTTGTAAAATCGGGATTAAATTCATCGAATTTCTACATAATCAGCATCTAGAACTCTGCAGACACGGCAATGAACCCCGTTGCCTTGCCCTCAGCCGCCTGCTTCATTAGCTCCTGGTAGATTGGGTCCTTTGTCTGGTAGTACTCCATATCCCTAGTAGTCAGACCGCCACCATTAGTAAGATGTTCGCAGTTTCGATTTTGGAAAGGAGACACAGGAAGGGAGATACACACTCTTCATTGGCAAACGTGATTTCATAAACGACGGACCATGCCTGGGATCCCGGGACATCGGTCAAGACCTTGCACTTGCTAGCCTTTGAGGCGACTATGTATGTTTGGCCATCCTAACGTTCCCAGAAGAGAAGAAGAGTGAGCTCAATTGGTCTCGCAGTAGCGTATGAGATGTGCCGAGCATGAGACTTGCCTTTTTGCAGTCGTGGACAAAGTTGCTGAACCTCTTCACCGCCTCCTCCTGCTTAGCGACATCGGCGAGGGCGATGAGTCCGATTCTAGTGATGGTCATGTTTGTGTATTGTGCGAAGGACTTGTGCTAGGTGAGTTTGTTTTGTGGCAGATGATGAAAGTAGCCGCGTTTTAACTCCGTAGATTATTTCCAAGAAGAGCGCAGTTGATGTTGAGTCTTATATAGACGTCTACGAACTCGGTCACTTTCCAACACAGGAAGTCACCGCCGTCAGCCTCGGCGCACCGTCTACGTCTCATCATGCCGATGGAAGGAGGCGGAGCCAGATAACCCCCGTCCCGTCCCCCTTTCTCCACGGCCCAGAAGCCACCTCCGTATTGGAGTAAATTCCCCTAATGGACCCGTACTGGTGGAGCTATGTCAACGGCACTCCAGGCTTCCTTTTCTATAGCGTCGAAATTGCCGGGCAGGACGAGCTGGGGCACCACAAGACATGTCGTTGGGCGTCTCACCAACAAAAGAGAAAGACCGAGACGGAATACGTAGTGAATAGGGAGAGGGGTTCAAATCCACTAATCTTCACTTGTTCAACGGAGACCAACGTACACTATGCATAAATCCTTTGGCACCGCTCAGCGCTATACCCCAAAACGCTACGCTCTGCCGAGGCATGAACCCAAGTGTTCCAGGCGACCAAGCAAAACACTGGTACCGAGACCTGTGCCCCTCTCTCACTTCCTCCTCCCTCAAACTCCCGGTCTGGAAACACGGAATCGGGCGGGACGTTCTCTGACAATTCGGCTGTAGTCAGACCTCGTCGCGGAGCATATGCCGATTCGGGTCGCTAGCTTGCGTCAGTTGACGTGTGGGAGTTGTGTGCCGGGCAGATCCCGGCTTCCCGCTAGTGGAGTAAGGACCCCGGACGGTGGGCGGGCCTGTGCTGGCCTCCGGGAACAAACCCCCTCCACCACGCGGTCCGGTATATGATCGATAGCTACTTATCCTTCTTCGCCGGCCGGTCAGTGGTGCGCGTGTGCATGTGAAGAGGCCTAGCTTGGTCCTCAGAGCCTGAGGAAGTCAAATGCCGGGAAGAATGGGGTCACAACTTTCGCTTAAAGTCACTCGCCCCCCTCCGTTAGGAGAAAGTTGGTCACGTAATTGTAGGAGAGTCAAGTTGTCGGTCAGTCTTGTCATTCTTTCTATAAACATCAAAAACTTTTTACATGACCAACTCCCAAGATAAACTCGAGGCCCACAAACTCATCATATCAAACAGTTCCCCTTCACCCCTGTAGGCATGTCTTTGCGAACCCATGGTCCCGCCATCCCTCGCCCAAAGGTCTTGTCCTTCCAAATACCAAACGCCTTGTAACATTGAAATATGCTTTAGAGTTAGAAATTAACGAGCTGTGATGCATGAGACATTTCTTAATCTCCGCATGTTCCAGCAGCCAGTTCGCTCGGATACAAACGATCTCGCTCCAAAAACGCCTTACCATAAGAAGATGCAGGATATCAGATGCTCGCTAGCTTGAAGCCAACACAGAAAAAGAAGAACAAAAAGATGAGTCATCGATGCAATCGAATGACGAAAGGGGGAAAAGGGCGAAACAAGAACCAATCTATGTACGTGTGAAATCTTTTATGAAATCGGAGCAGCACATCATTGGCTTCCCCTACGTCGCCGTTGATCCCTGTAATTAAGAGAGTAAGGAGCGGGCCGCTCCTGGCGAACCGTTCGCCGGTCCGGGAGGCCGGACCTCATGTCCTGATAGTAATTGGTCTGCGCTGACCCCGGACCCGGCTGGAAAGAGACTGGAGACCGCGGGGCGTACGCAGCATGGGACATCTCGGCTCCGGTCGTGGGGTACAGACAGTTTGGTGGCGGTGGTCGCAGGTAGAAGTTGCTTTCTTGCTGCGTCGTGTAGTGCTGCGGGGGAAGACTCGACACTGGCTGCATCGGCCGCATCATCTCGACCGAGGTGGGGGTTGGGTATGCCTGCATTGTTCGATCCTGCATCGGGGCTCCGAAATCAGTGATGGGAATCGTCTGCTGAATTTGTGTCGGGAGAGGCTGCTGGAAGAAACCGTGACCAGCGGCGTGCGGAGGCTCGGCGGGCGCAGAGTGGGTAGCCATTGGTGAATGGATCCGAGATGACGGTTGGCTGTAGCTAGTGGGAGCATAGTACTCCGGAACAGTGTTGGCGCGAGGCTCAGGACGACGGCCATGGGCAGTAGTCATGTCCCGGAACATACGGGAGCGATCTCGGTTCAAGGCCATCGCCGTGGAGCGATCCGGTGGCGGCGTGGCTTGGCCGTCCACCCAGCGGCAGGAGTCAGACTCGTCCGCAGTGTGAGAAGAAACGGACGCGGGGGCCGAGGGGACTCGGCTCGCAGTAGTGACTGGAACATTTTGGCTTTTGTCCGCAGCTGCTGTCGCGTGGTCCTGCGCGCGCTTCACCACCTCGGGGTGAACACCCTCAACGTACTCAATAAATTCCTTGAGGCTTTGTACCTTTTGGTTCAGCTGTTCAATATTCTTGTCAGAACCGTCGGAGTCATCGGAAAGTAGACCCTTGACCGCATCAACGATCTGGTCGGCAATCGACTGTAGCCTCTTCTCTGTGCCCCGCAATGGAATGCCAGTAATTGGCTGAAGCAGGCCGAGAAACTGCAGAGACTCTTCAATGTTTCGTCGAGCAGCCTGAAGCGACTCGTTAGCTTGACGAAGTTGATCATCGCTGGCTTGGTTCTGCTGCAATTGCTCGCAATGGCTCTCCAAGGAGCTGACGTGTGCCTGTGTGCTCTGGCGGAAGGAATCGATGATTCCACTTGGTGTAAACGTATGAACGGGTTGGGATGGTGCTCGGCGAGCCATGACTGGCGTCCCACGTGTGCTCGAAGGACGAGATTCGTGAGGGCGCGGGCTTCGCCTCGGCTGTTGACTTTGGGAAGTCGAGGGCAAGCTCCCTTCTTGTACAGGGCTGTAAGAGCTCGACGGAAGTGGGTAGGATGGCCGAGGCGCGGAGCGGTTGCTCTGGATAACGTGGACCTCTTGAGGCGCAGGAAAGGAGGTGCCTGGCATTGGAAGTCTATTTGACTGTTCTGGATACCGGGGTGGCATCTGGAAGTCTTGTAGGGGTTGAGAAGCGTTTGAAGGAGGAAGCTGAGATGGCAGGTAGTCTGCACGGGGGTCGTTGTGCATGTGAACAGCCTCTGGGTGCTGAGAATGATGGCCCACGGGCCCAGGATGATTGTTGGAGCTGCCGTGCTCCTCCACAAGTCGGTACTGCTCGTAGTAGTCGGCATGGTTGACTGCCCTCGAGGGCAGTGCCTGTTGCCGCTGGGGCACTGGCAACTGCGGCTGCCGCATTTCCGGGATGTGTTGTGGTGGCATCTGCAAAGGATCCCAAGCATTGCCGTTGTCTGCGTTGAGGCCTTGTGTGGCCCAGAGAGGCTCTTGGGCGGTGGCGCCCGGCCTTTGCTGGTCCTGTTGTCCAGGCACGTAACTACTACTCTCATTCTGCGGCATGAAAACAAAATTGACTTGTAAGTCGTTCTCCGCAATCATGCCATCTAGCGGATGCTCGCAGATGCATAGGTCGAGGTTTTCAGCAAAGGCAGGATCAAGGCTGAAAGAGGGGTCGATGTCGAAGCTAAACTCGTCATCTGATTCCAAGTCTGACCAGGTATTGCTTCCGTATTGCTGGAATTTCGGAGCTTCAGCGACGATGCGAGTATTGTGCTTTGTCACGAAAGATGTGGTGGAAATGTGGAACGGCTTAGGCGAGGCGGACTGTGCAAGAATGGTTAACTGATGTTCTCGAAACTCATAAACGGCTGTGACAATGAAATGCTTACCATTCGTCCTGCAGAAGACTTATAAATGGGAGAATCAGGGTCTCGAATTTCAATGGCAGAGTCTCGACGCCCTTGAACGCGGTAGAATCGTGGTGGCGGAACATCGTCTCCCGACTCGGAAGGGCTCCTGGACGATGCACAAGACGACGCGGAAGGAGTCAATGCAGGCTGCTGCATATCTACACTGTGTGAAAGTGCATCCCACTGGGCCGTGAACAAAGAGACTCTGTTGACGGGCTCCAAGTTGACTCTTGATGCGTTGCCCTCAAGCATGACCTCGCGTCCAACGTAGACACAGGAGCCAAAGAGGGTTGCGATGCCACGGTATCCCATCTGAGGAAGCTCCAAGGCGGAACGGCGAAAATCCAGGCTCGGACCGTACAATGTGAGGAGGAAAGTGGTTCCGGCTCGTTGCTCGGTGTGGGTCGGAACCCAACAGACAGCTTTCAAAGGCACGAGCATACACTGGTTGTTCCGGAGATTGAGTATGTGAAGAGCGTCTGCGAGGTCCTCTCCTGTGCTGCTCTCGACAATAGCCACCGGGTCACCTCGCTGGTACTCCTGGCCGTCGAGGGATCGCCCGTCATGAACGAGCGTTCCATGCGCCGGCTGCATGTTCGCGTTCACTGGATCGCTATCCAGAAGCGTAGTATTTGATGATGATGAGGACATTACGTCTCACAGGGATGACTGCTGGTCTGGTGAAAAGAGGAATGAAAGAAGAGGGGAGGCCGTAAGGCGCAGATATCAACACCACCACGAGGATAAATGGATTCCAGCGTGGCACATCGCTCGGTAAGAGTTGGTGTTGCGTTGATGAATGCGTCGTGGCCGAGCTGCACTGTGAAGAAAGAGTAGCGTGGGTGCGAAGACAACTTCGAAGCGTTAATACCAGACAGGGTGTTATAGGTGAGGGAACATGGAGGAGCGGTGACCAACTGTGTTGACGAGGAAGTGACGAATTTTATAACACAAATCGGAATATGGGAAAAGCGTGAACGCATACGCCTACGCCTAGGGCATTTTCGTGGCACCAGATGCGACTTGGCATCGATTCGGGTCCGATACCTAGACCATGGGTCATGGAGTAGCTGCAGCGGAAGCCTCGTCGCACATCCGCCTGTATGAACTCGTACGCAAATCCTAGTCGACACCCTCCCATCTCTTGCGCACGTAGGAACAAGGGGTATGGGCGTGTGAATGGAAGAAATCCCAGGATGCACTAGAGGGCGATCTGGTAGGTACCTAGGGCCGTAAGGTACAGATCCTTGTCGACGACAGCCCAGGGATCATGACGGGGCAGGCCGGCACGACTGGGGGGGGATTAACAAGGCCATGCCGCCATGGCTGTCTCGGACCCTTTCTCCACCCTCGAGACCTGGCTGCTCTGCACTGGCTTGTGTGGTTGTGGGTGAAATATGTAGGTATACCACCCAGTGCCTTCGCAATTGCGTACCAAGTACCTACCAGCTTGCATCGGAACATGGCTTTCAGCCAGTTCGTATCATCCACCTCTCTCGTCTTTGGCCACTTGGATCATCACTGGTAGTCGACATAAGAAAGAGCTTCGAGTCAAACGTCTCGGGAACGGGAAAAAGGCATCATCTGCGACAACTACATCCAACAGCTAGACTTTTTTGACGCCATTGACGCCGTCTTAATAGTAGAAAATCCTTCGCGGCAGCGTAGCATAGCGCTTGTTCGGTGCAGATAGAGACTCGTTTCAAAAGAAATGTCATGAACATGGGACGCAAAATTCTGAGAAGTGATAGGGCGAGACACGCCATTGGTTATCGACCATGCCGGAACACCATCCAGCCTGCGCCGACGTGGAGTAGCCCGACGCCTGCAAAACCTCCTAGCCACTGGCTTCTCAGCGGTGACCCCGCTAGGATCCCAAAGTCGAGCATGGGCCTATACCATTTCTTCGATGAAGTTAACGAGTCTTTGCGGCCCACAAATTGGGGTTCCGAGGCAGCTCTAAGACAGCATAACTGATCGTCATACTATGTATGCTGCCAGGACCGTCGCGATGCAGAACAGGACAGCCCCCATATAGGCTGGGACTCTAGGTGACCGAATCACCGCCACGGGCTGAGACCAAGGCAAACACAGCCGTTCTGGTGGCTTCGCCAGTTCGATATAGACCGCTCCGGTCTCGCACACTCACGAGCGCCAGCGCCCCTGCTGGGTAACAAAGCCAGCTTGGAGCGGGCAGTGCCAGTTGTTGAGTCGCTTGATGGTGGGATGTGTCTTAAGAGGCGGCATTCGCCTTATCAATTGTACATTTCGTCCCGCCGGGAACGAGCTTGAACCAACCACACCAGTGAGGCTTGCCCAGGGAGCGCCCACGATTCGCGGGAGAGGGGGGTAACATGGTCTAGAGGTAGCCACTTCACCGTCCTTACTTGCTTGTCTTTGAATCGGCCTCGGTCTTGGTATCGTTTTGTGGTTTTTTCTCTTCTGGCATCTTGCCGAATTTTGTCAAGATGTTGGCAGCCCATTCCTCAAATTCCTTCTCGGCTGCCTCGTCCGTCTGACCAGCAGCTCCGCGGATGCTTCTCCTAGCCATCTCTCTCAGGTCGTCGACTGAAGACACGTCCAACGCCCAAGAAGCGCCTCCAGTCATCATGATTGCGAAGCTCATAACGTTGAGCGTTGCCAGGTTCAACGCCTCAAAGGCAATCATGCCACCTTCGGGGTTTCCTTGTTTGCCCGCAGCGTAGTGGCTAGGTTGGTAAAATTTCGGAAAGGCAGCTAGTTGTTTACGGGCCACGGAGCGTCGGGTGATCATTGCCGAAAAGACGAAGAAGCCAGCGCCGGCGAAAAAGAGGCCAAGTTGTTTCGCAGCTCTCGATGGGAAGATTGAGGATGTTGGCTGTGCCTGTGACCGCGTCAGGCGAGTGTCAGGCGACTCATTCTGGGAAGCCATGGCGGTTGGGGAGAGTTGCGCGAGCATCGGGTTTTTTCCCTTCCATTGCAGCTATTGTCAGACAAAACTACCATCGTGGCTTTCTCGAGGTAGCTCACCAAGCTCAGAGCGGCATCGGCCGGTTCAATTGATCGAGACAGGTGTCGATGCAGTCCCTTGCGCGGTTGGTGTTGACGGGCTGGGGTGGTAAAGCGGAGCTCTGGCGGGACAGACTCGGGAAGGGAGCTCTTCTGAATTGGAAGTCGGGGGGATGGAAGTTTCCGCCACTAAACATTTCGGGCCCGGGACCTGAATATGCAATAAACCAGACCCAGCGTTCCGTCTTGTACATATGCTACCGTTAGGCTACTAAGCGAGCTGTCACCTCACCACGTGCTCACATAGTAGACCTGGTGCCTTCTTACGGGTAAGAAGCTTGCGTGCGTGTGCCGGCCAAGCCTTCCAAGGTTCTTACCTAAGGTACCTTGGTCATCTCCTCTCCCCTTGCGTGTTGTTCTGCACCCATATCTTCTCAGCAACGCAACGCATCTCGCAGTCGCAGAGGAAATTGATGACGCAAACGAACTCGCTCGATTTGATTTGGAAGAAACCTCTCTTGCCAATCTACCTTACCTTCGTATCCGTATCTTGCAATTTCGCGGCCTGCTAGCGAAATGCTACCATTCGCTACGGGCGAAATGCACGTTGGCCCACTGTCAACACTACGACGCACATCTTCCAGAAGCCACGCATCCAGACTCGCCAGGTACCCTGCGATTGCAACTACAATGTACGGCTGCCGCAGCCAAGCCACAGTGTAGACGGCATAAGAAGAAGGGCGGGAACCTCGAGATTGCGTTCGCGAGAAGCTTCCGGCCGCCCCTCCGGCCGCCCCTCCGGCCTCTGCAGATGACCTGCTGGCAATCACAGTGGTCTAACATGCTCCTTGGCGCTAGCTGGCTGCGCTAAAGCCCTTGTCGAGCAATGGCACACGGCACTCCCCATGATTACAATGTCCAATCAACATGGCCCGCAAGACACTACCAATATGCCTTCCACCCCATCTTGGGATGACAACCCACCTTGTAACGGCTGCTCCCATCAGTCGAAATCACCTGCAGATGACATGCCAGTCAGATGGCCGGATGGCTTCCCCGGGGGCCTGTCCAGCTGCTCTATGGCTGCATCTGGCGAGTTGCCTAGACCCCGTCGTCTATTCCATTTGTCCACTGAATACTCAAAAGCACCACAGCAACGAGTATCTGTGCAAGACGTTCAAAATGACAGATCAAGTGTCGTTTCTCAGCTACCTGCACTTACACGCCACGCCCACCGACGCCTCACGGGCCTGCATCTATTACGATTCATTCCCCCAGCTCGGAGCCCATCATTCGCCAAATGCAAACAGTCCTGAAGACATGCTTGTCTCGGCAGCGATCGATTGTCCGAGATCTTGATTGCTGGATCGCCAATGGGTTTTTGACGATTCCTTGATGCTCTGTCGGTTTTTGGTTCCAGCGTTGCAGCGTTGTACCACACTGCTGGGTTCCCCAACGCATGCGCCCGATGCCTACCTTAGCAGAGGTGCACGATGCAGGCTCGGCAAATATCCAAACACCAAACATGATCCTTCACTGACGACACGTCGTTTGGTTGGCATTCGTTTGCAAACTCAAGTTCTTCATCTTTCTCGAGGGTGGAAAGCTTTTCCTCGAGCTTGTTCTCAATGCGACGTCAACGCAGCAAACTTTCAACTGTCCACTCGCTCGCAGAATACCATCTTCTGCCTAGCTCGTTGACCCTTGCTTAGACAGGCCACGACGCTGTCGCCAAACCCGCCACAATGACAAAGGAATGGGCAGAATCGATCGTGGTCTTGGTGCCAAACCAGAGCGATCCAGGCACTTGACGGGCGCATCAGGGTGAGGGTCTGCAAAATGATGAAAAGACTGGGCCAGGGCATCATGTGCTCACGCTGTAGATTAAGGAGGGCACAAAGTGGGTGAAGCTATCGCATTCATGTTCGTGAGATGTGATTATTTCAGGGCGAGTCGCAAAATGACATGTTTAGCGCATCGCAAAAAAAAGAATCATCAGCGGGGTGCGTTGTCGGTCGTCGTCTGTGGAGACTACAGAGCTCCCCTTCCTCAACATGTTCTGGATCAAGGAGAACGGCGTCCCGACAGTCGGGCACTTGGTTCGACAAACACTTCAAGACAAACAAGCCACATTCGAGTTAGATGGGAGACATGTGTTAGCTCACAGTTACTAACGAGTTCCAAATTGACCACAATGTCTCAGGGCAAACTCAGTTTCATCACAAGTTGATTGTCTTCTTCATCGTCAAAGAAGGATTCCTGCAGTTTCCCGTCATGGGGTAGACGATTTATCCGTACAGCACGAGACAAGTCGCCTGCGATGAGCAAGGATGAGTCCTGTTCTTCAAGGTCAAAGCCACTGACGAGAAAGATCAATCAGGAGGTTGGCAGCCTTTGTGACGCGACAGGCCTATGATTTCTCGGGTCCTGTCACATATCACTTCCTACGAGATCTAGCGCCTCAGCCAGGAAAGGCAATAGTTACGAAGTCGGCACCCAATTACGTCGAGGATCCCGCCAAAATGACGCCCATCCATAACATAGTCTTTCTGTTGGAAACTCCTAGTCGCTACTGTTGATGAGGGATTTTCCCATTTGACCAGATTTTTCGACATGCAGTGCAGGTGGGAATCTCCGCGATCGCCGAGGCGCAAGTTTATCGTACTTTTCAACCTGGGGTGCCACGGTTCCTTTACCACAACACTGGGTCACGGATCAGATTGCATCGTGTCATTGTCAGATCGATTAGATGGGCCAATGCAGCCATGCTATGACGGCCAAGTCCAAGGCTGCCTGCCTATCAGCAATCGCCGTTTGACATGCAATGAACTGATTGACCAACGTGCCTCCCTGAAGACTAGCAAACTTGTATGACCCAGGTTTCGATGGCCGACGGGAGCAACCGCGCTGCCGAAAGTTTGCTCCCAACCGCCGTGGGTCCCTCCCGTCGCACCCTTGGGTACCCAGCGCTCCTTTTTTCGTCGGCTTTTTGTGATTCAGCATTGTTGTCAAATTTAGCAAGTTCACGAGAGCCGACAGGATATGGCGCCAAACCGATGGGACGCAGCGCACAGACTGAAATCCGACAGAGAGGAAAGGGATGTGTGCGAATCTTGGTCGTATTTACTAGGAGCACACCACGCTTCGCTTCTGCCTCTGGTCATAAGTACCGAAGATGGCAAGGAGGCCCCAGACACGGCAGAGGGGAAACGCGATTATGGTCAATTGTCACTTTCTGATGAAAACTTACAGAGACGGAGGCTGGCTACGTGAGATATGACCAAGTGTAGGATAAGGTAGGGAGAGTTCCCTGGGAAGAAGAGGAGAATTTCTCAAGATCGAGCGAGACCAATGCTTAGCGCCGCCTATCCATCCCATCGCCAGGCCCTGGTCCCGGCGGCGTATCCCCCGGGCCCCCGGAGAAGCGGGCCCACCCTGTCCTGGGTCCATTCCATGGGGATCTCAGAAAAGCGGCGGTCGGGTAAGGCGCGGCTTCCCAGGCTGGCACACGCCAGCGAAAGCACCGTCCACACTGTGAGCCACACACAGTACGACCACCTGGGCCACACAAGGCTACTCTGTATCCGTACATACCTTACCTGGTAGGTTGATTGACCTTGGAGCCTGCATCATTCGAGCCCACTTCCACCCATCATGAACCACTCACGTCGACATCATTCCCTTTTTTCTTTCTGCTGCCCACAAAGTCTCATTCTCCCTACGCACGAAACCCCCAACCTGTCGAGAGATTGGACGTCATAATTAAAGGGTCAGCCAGCCAACGAATCGCGACTCGAACCTCAGCATCCCTCATCCCGGCTCATCCCGACCCATCCACGCCAGTTCTCACGTGGGTTGATATTCAGGGCTTCAACGACATCTCGGAGCACACAACCAAAGGCAACAGCGATTTGCAAACTCGATTCGGCCAATATTCAACAGCCAATCACCACCCGCTTGGTATATCAACTGAACCCTGCTCAACGTTTCTCACAAAGACCAGCCTGTCGGCGCCCACCCCTCCTCTACCACGCCACCTTTGCTACAAACTAGCGGGAGCCTCAGTCGTGTCCCAGACAGCCGTCAGGAACCATAAGCCACCTGATATTACTTGGCCCGCTGCACATCATCCCGAGAAACACGTTCCATTCTTTCTGTGCGGCACAGCACGAACCATATCGGGATACCATGGGGAAACCCAAAAACACAAACCCCGGGAAGACAAAGGCCGGCCCTGGAACTAACAATGGCGGCAACGCAAAGTTGACCACAGCCTCGATTCCCGCCGCTCCGCCCGCGTGGCCCCAATTCAAGCCGTCGTTACCGGTTGCCGACCTGGCTGCCGACCAGCTCGCATCCTGCCCCGACAAGGTCATCCTGATTCGCAACTTTTGGCCAAAATCCCTCTGCAGTTCCTATGTCACATTTTTGAGGGGTTTGCCGCTTGTCACCACCCCTGGTCGACCTAAGCGGGGAGAAGCGGTTAGGGTGAATGACCGTTTTCAAGTGCAGGACGCTGCCTTTGCTCAACGCCTGTGGACGGAGACTGGACTGCGCGAATCGCTTGCTCAAGAAGACATTCAGGGTTTATGGTGAGTCCACTGTCTTCTGTTCCCTACCCATCCCCCGGCCCTCCGAATGCACCCTTGCCACGGACAACGCATCCCAGGCGCTTCCGGCTAGATCCGCCAGCATCTGCGCACAATCAAACGCACCCAAAAACAGTTATAACAAACATGAAACCCACCCGGAAGAAGAAACCGCCTGCGTCGAGCTCTCCTCGCTACGGGATTGTCATGAGACTTGCTGACATGGATTAATGGTCACAGGGGCGGTGAGGTCGTCGGTCTGAATCCCAATATTCGCATCTACCGTTACTCAAAGGGCCAGTATTTTGATGCACATTGTAAGTCTTATGGTCATATCATTTTCTTGTCATCCAACGCCACACACGCGAAGAGCGCTAGGCACTCTGCCAGTCAACCGGCAAGATTTCTGCCGCTGCATGCAACTAGGCCAACGGCCAAGTGCTCCGAGGTCCTCACGCGGTTGCCATAGGTTGCACATATTTGTCACTGGTCAAGATACGACGATGTGGCAGGCAGAGCTCTGCAAGCTTTTGTCTTGGGGGGGCAACCTATTTCTCATGACATCAACGAAGAGCTCTCTCCACACCGACACTTCTGGGCCCTCGAAGCTGGGTTGGTTGCAACGAGACCGTTGCGAAATCACTGCCCCTGTCCGAGTGGACTTGCCGCAATGCCTGTCACTAAGCAGCCAAGCAGATTGCGCGAGGATTTGGTAATTCTCGGTCCATACGTTTCCTCCTTCCCATGACAATTACCTTCATCGACCCATTCCTGTGGACACCATGATTAACATGGTTCCCTGACTATGCATGTCTCAACCTCGTCGAACCCAAGACCCGTGTCTACCAAGCAGGTCGTAACTTACGACTCCGCATGAGGAACCTGCTGAAAGATGTGAATCCGTTGAACCACTTGCCCTTGAAGACGATTTGCGGACCCACAGCGAGTGTCTGGGCCAGCGATCTACCCTTCAGATGGTCATATATGATATATGACATCTTGCCTCCCCCGCTCAGTCCTCTTTTGTTTGCACTCTCCTAGTCATCACGATCTTTCATCCGAGCCCCAGAGACCCAAGGATTTGTCCCAGAAGCCACAACCCTGCGGATCGTTCCATCCCGATCCGCTAAATGGCGTTACCTCCCCCTGGCTGATGTTGGAAGTTGAGTCCGGGAGCCTGCGAGTCCGATCCAGCAATGCCCCTCGACATCTCGCATCTTCCTATCCAAACAAGAAAGTCGGCAACGAGAAAACCAGGGCCACCTTGCCATGCCTTTTGGCGACCCTAGGTGTTTTTTTTTTCGAGTCCTGACTCTTTGCTTCTGCATCCTTCACTTGTCTTCCGTGCAGGCTTCCTCATCATCTCCAGCTTCAAGATCGACGACCTAGGCTGACCAGTGGACCCCCACACACAGACGACGATTCCAACAACGTATCACTCACCCTCGACCCCTCCTCCGGACCCGTCACGTGCAAGACAACCTGGACGTTGCTCCTCTATCTCACCTCTTCCGCTGAGGGCTGTGCTGGCGGTGAGACCGTCTTCTTCCCCAATGACCGCCGCTCCGCCAAGGAGGAGATCCCAGTCGCCCTCGAAACGGGGATGCTCCTTTTACACAAGCACGGCGACGACTGCATGCTGGTAAGTCTTTCTCTGTTCAGAAATTTAGCCCTTCCTATCCGTCCGTACTTCCAAAAACCCCCATGCGTCTTCCCCTGATCCCCGAACGAACCATGGTCAAGGCAAGACGTCTGTGAGCCTGTCTTTTTTGTTTCGTGCAACATGGACCGTTGCCACCACCACGATGTATTCGCTAGCAATTCCAGCCCAGGTACCTGTTTTCATTGCTTTTGGTGGCGCGAAACGAGGACCCAACCACGGCCACCACAGCTGCGGCCTCACCTCTTCACCTCTCTGTCTTTCTCACTCACTTTCTCTGTATCCCAATCCCTTCCCTTCAAAGTCCCCTCCCAACCACCGAACTCGATGCGCCCACTCTGCACCACCTGGCAACCTGGGTAGAAAAGAAAACCCCTGCATCCCTTCCCGCTCACCTTTCCCCTGATATTTTTCCCGTACGTGGTCGCAGCAAAAGGTCACTGCAGACTGACACATGCTCCGCTTATCAACAGCACGAGGGGCGCGAAGTCAGCGCAGGCGAGAAGTGGGTGCTTAGAACGGACCTCTGCGTCAGAAAGTGAAGAAACAAGGAGAGGAGGGATAGGTATGCGATTAGCAACCCCCAAGCAACATCCTTTCTCTCCCCTGCCTTCTTCCGCTTCCTGGTCATATTGTTCCTAACTTACCGATTCGACTGCTGTGTCCCCTTTCTGCCCGCTCGGACGTGGAACATACGAAAGAAGCTGAAGGGCACATGTCGTTCACTGTTTCTTTTGTATGCCTTTTTCCCTTTTCCTACCCCCTTCCCCAATCCACTGCCTTGGTACCAGCAATCGCCACGCAACACTGAGGACGTCCCTTCTGGGCCCAGAGACAGGCCCCGTTCGACCACGGGATCGAAGGTCTTGCTATTTTCCCCTCTTATTTGGTCAGATATTGCTGCGTCTTATGGAGAAGTGGGAATATATGTTTGCGTTGTAGAGGTGGAACACTTGACAATGCGCTGGCCTCTGGGCCAAGTGATCTCGCTGTATGCATGCTGCGCCGGATTATGTTGTCGTTTGATCGACGACTGTGGATAGACAGACAAATAGACAGACATGCTGTCGTCGTCGGGCTCGGCCAGACACCAGACAAGCTAGACAGGTGGAAGAACGTTGGAGACATGTAGGTCACACAGGTGTGGAGTGAGAGAGTGAGAGAGAGAGAGGCACTACCAAGGAAATGGGGCATTTCTGGAGGGGACACTGGTAAACCTGATACCCCAATCGCAACCCGACAATTCATACATTCAGGCATCACCAGGGCACATACACGCGCTCACACACACACACACACACACACATATACACAGCGCAAAAAAAAAGGTCCTGTCATGGCGTGTGCCAAGTAGAAGTCCTTCTCGATGTGGTGACATTGACACAATCCGGGAAAGGCTGACTACCTGCCTACTCTGTATACAGCCCTTCTTTCCTTTGGTCCTTCCCATCCCCCATTCCTCCCCCCTCCGGCGCAAGTCCTGTGGCCGACGCCCTGCCGCCCGATATTTCCTTTTTAAACTGATGTGCACGAGTTTGGATTGGATGGCACCGGGCTTGCAACCCCCTTTTCCACCTGCCGCTACCTTTTCTGCGGCCACCTCGACTTGCTTGCTGCTGCTGCTGCTACCGCAACCCTTCTATTTCCCCTTCCTCTCTTCCGCTGCCGAAGCAGCCCACGAAACATTACACATCCGGCTAACCTCCCGCCGGCTCCCCGAACGGCAACTGGGAAAGCAAGGCTACATTTTACCTCATTTCCCTTGGCCCTTCTATCCTTCCTGAGTCCTCCCCCCCCTAATGCCATGGCGGCTTTCCCGCGGCAACGCAACTTGAGCCATTTACCTACCCACCCAAACCAACCCCCGTCGATGCGGGAAATCAAGGATGTATCCGGACCCAAGACACGAGCCGGGACTTCCCCTAAGGCCAGAGTGGCATTGAGAAAAAGGTGATTTCTGCGTCAAGAAGCGAAGTTATCTATCGTGTATATTGTACATGTCTACCTGCGAATGTCGAAAAAGTCAAAAAGGGCGTCTGCCTGAACGGGGGGTTGGCGGCATCGCGGCCCAACCATGAAACAGAAAAGCCCTCTCTCTCTCTCCGTTATCGCTTCTCTGCTCCTCCGTCTTCATGATTAATGAATCTCATTGCGGATTGCGGGAATGACCTGTCAAACGCCCCTGTCGCAGCAGAAAACAAGCCATTTCCGGCGGCGCAACTAGACCATGGCGCTGCTCATCAGTCGCTCCATGGCATCCATGGCACTGTCTTCCTCCTCAACGTGCACCTCTTCCAAGCCAGTAGCAGTACCACGGCTCTCAGGTGATGGTGAGACTTCGGAAGCCTTCTTCGTGGGGCTCTCAAACACCTCCAACAGGTCACCGCGGTGCACCACTCTGCCGTCATCAAGCTGAGTCTCTTCTTGCTGCTTCGTATCCTCTGTCTCAACCCGGCGAATAGGATAAGACTTCATCGCGATCGCCTTGGCCTCGGGATCGATGGTCGGCTTGATCTTGACGTGGCCTGTGGCGATGCGGCCCATGATCCAGTGAAAGATCCACGGGAAGCTGATCAGGGGCATTGATTGTCGCTTGTGGTCCTCATCCTCATACTCCTCTGCAAGCCTTGCATTGACCTCCTGCTCGGTCACTTGATACATGGCAGCCACAAAGGGGGCGAAGTCTTCGAATCTTCTACTGCCAGCCACTGCGTAGCAAATCTCGCGAAATCTTTGCTTGAGGGCCGCTGATTCTCGGCCAATGTCCTCTTGTTGCTTGTAGTCGCTGCCAACCCGTGGCCTCGACAGGATGAAGCCTGTCCAGGCTTCAAATTCGGTCCCAACGTCACGGTGACTCATGAGACGGCGTAGAGCTGTGTCGTATTGACCTTTGATCTTGCGAGCCTTTTGCAGAAGGTCTTCGGAGAGTTCAAACCTTCCCAATACCCTTCCGTCGAACTTCTTCTCGTATAGAGGGTTAAGCTCCTGCTCTTTGACCATGTCGTAGATCTTGCCAAGCGCAGTCCGTGATTTATATGTTTTCGAGCGGTTCATGAAGTGCGGCCATCGTTTGGGGTCGAGCTCGTTAGGATATTCGGCTGGGTCCGCAGTCTTGACGTAGTCCACCGCCTTGGAGTGCAGCTGTGCCAGCCTCAAGCCTATACGTTCTGTGTTAGCATCTAATAGCACTCACAGGCCATGTACTCACATTTCGGATCATTGGCCCCCTGTTCGGAGTGATCAGCATGAGCTAGATGCGCCCCGGCAACTTTAGCCAGGCAGTCGTTCTGAATATAACGAACGAAGAACGTTCTCAGGTCTGATACCTTGACATCCCGCTTCATTTTTGGTGCTTTGGGTGCGATGTAGTCCATGGGTGGCTGGTGCCAGGTTTGGGGAATGAGGTCCGGGTTCCAGATGACAAAGAAATCATCACCGTCAAGGTCGCCTCCCGAAAGCATGCTGGGGACGTCCCGATCACCAGTGCTCGGGAACACCACGACATTCTGAAGGTGGTGTAGTCCAGGGATATCGACCGCTTCCACAACCCGAATGTCACCTGGATGAAGCGAAGGATTCCGTCCCACAATGCACACACCGGTGACGCAGGAGTACTTTCCATCCTGAGGGTTCGGAATCTGAAGGAAAATCTGTGGCAAGTCCTCGATGTTGTTGGTTGTCTTCCCCTCAGTTGCCTGGCTATGGCCTCTCAACGCGCCCGTCTCGTCCAAGCAGCCGAGAAGGAAAGCGCCTTGGTCGACGACTACTCGAGCCTTTTCCTTCAACAGCTTCATAGACCAGATGCGCCAGAGGTCCAAAATTGTCAGCACGAATGGTTCTTGAACCTCTGCATCCATAAAACCCCAGCAGACTAGGTCTTTGATGGTCAGAGATGTCATGTTTTCGTCAATGTATTGCCCTAGTAAACTTGCAGCTGCCACTCGATCTTTCATGGCCTTCTCATAACCCTGGATTTGATTTTGAGCAAGATCCAGGATGGGAATATCCTTGACACCAAGCGTCGTAAGGATCGTGATGGTTTGTCGATTCAAGGTGGCTGGTGAAAACTGAGCGAACTTGATAATCTCGAGGCCGTTGAACTGGGCTCTGAACTTTGATTGTGAAGGTCGTATGTGAACATTGAGGCCCTTTGCGTCAGGCCAAACAGCGAGCATGCCTTTGCAGCCACCCATGCGGAACTGGAAAGCAGAGGGTATTCCAACAGAATCATGACCCATCTCATGGATTACTATTTCAGCCAACAGCTTCGAAATCTTGCCAATGCCATCGCTGAAGCAATGGCCTCCGCGCTTGATATCGTGCATCTGCACGATTTGAGGAACCGTAACTCCTCGAATTTCTCGCGTCGTTGAGAAGCATTGACCTACGCGAGCGGCGTATTTGGCGACATTCTTGATGTGTCTGAAATGTCCCATCCAGTCACGAATTTGATCGCATGAAAGATGATCGGTCGGACAGAAGAAGTAGACAGCGCATTCTCGAATTTGCGAGTTTCCGAATGCCAGAAATTCGTAGGTGCGATTACCAATCTTGATGCCTTGCTTCAGGGCACGGTATATGCGGTGGTGGATCTCTTCCCCTGCGTCGCTGTAGACCTTACCTCTGTACAGCTCGTCCGTGAACTGTACTCTTAAGAAGCGGTCTTGATAAGAGTTGTATTTTCGCAGTACCCTGTTGGAGGATTCGACGCTTGGAGAGCAAAAGTGCATGGTCGATGGTGTGATAATGACCTTCCGGATCGTAGTGCAGTAGTACGGCATGCTCATACCGGGAAAGTAAAGAGCAGCCTCTTCGCTCTCGAATATCTCCATCGGATTCCATACCCTCTTCCCTTGATCCGCAAAGTACTCAAGCATCCATTTCGCCCGGTCCTTGTCCATCTGACACAGTCGGTCGATGAATGGCTGAGTGATTGAGTACTCGGATACAATGCCCCGAGAAATGCAGACCTCAAGCTGGTAGTGAACCTCAAAGGTCAAGTGGTGGTTGTCGTAGGCAGGATCGAAAGTACCCAATTGACTCTCGGGTTTTTCAGCTCGAAATAAAGTACCGAGCAGAGAAGGTCGCAAAGGTATAGTCATAGAGTGCTCTATAACGATGGTCGCGACATTGTGGGCCTGTAGAGCCTGCAGGAATCTCTCCAAGATGTTGTTTCCGGCCTTTGGAATAGCGAATCTGTAAGTGGTCCAGCGACCAGTATTGATGAAGTCCGGATCTTCGAATTCTGCTTGAAGGGTGACTGGGAAGTCTCTTGGCAGTTGATCATTGTGTAATATGACTGTGCGTCTTTCCCACCTGTCCATGGTGCCCCTTGAAGTCTTGCCCACGGCCATCTTGCTTCGTTGCCTCTTATCTGCCTTGGTCCAGAATATGGGTGGAAGCTCCAAAGGCATGACTAGAAGTGTATTTTCATCTCGGTCGGCTCGGTAGACACTGGTGAGACGGGCGAAATCAATTTCGCACTTGTGGTGGTGTGTATCTTCGTTATCGTCGTTGTTGTGGCCTTCCGGGGAGCCCAGGGGACAAGTGTCGAAGTAAACGGTAAGCTTCTTCTTATGCAAATCCATAATGATACGCACGCCTTTCTCGACGGATTTGAGCAACATCATCTCATTCTCCTGGAGGCGCGTGCCAAAGTCCATACGCTCCACTTCGAGCATCATCCTGGAATCGAACCAAATGTTGGGGTCAGAGGGGCTCTTGATCAAGCTACAGTATCTTTCATTGCGCGGTCTGAAAGTCCTGAGAATGACACGGGCAATCTTGCCTCCACTGTATCGAACTATGTGGAATCCTGATGACCAGAAGTTGACTTTGGGCGGGGGCTCAAAGCGAACCAGGGCGTAACCATCACGGGAGCCGTCTGGTTTCTCTCCGAACTCTAGCAAGGAGATATTGCCTTGATGTTTGAAGGACTCGTATAGCTCAACTAGGTTGATGATGGGGGGGAGGTTATAAACTTTGAGGCTGAATTCCGGCCACGTTCGCCAAGGTTCATCTGCCACGTCCATGACGTGGGATGGGTGCTGGAAGCGAAAGTCAGCAAAATTTATTGTTCGTCTATTGAAAGGAATATTCAACGCCGAAAAGTTGAGCTCGGGCTGAGAAATGATGGAAGGCAGTCAGGTGGAAGGTGAAAGGTGAGGTGTGCGAAGTTCCTTCCTAGCAGGTAGCCCCAAGAAAGCAGAAAGGGCCAAGAATGCCTTGTCAGAATTAGGCAGTGCTGGATAATGTTTTAGATAGACAGCCTCTCTGAATCTCTTGGGAGATCATTAAATCCCTAGCCGGGGCTAGCACGGGGAGTAATTGAAAGGAAAGAAGTGATACAGCATGAGAAACAAAAGTGCTCGAGGTCAAGTTGGACACACCTGGTTGTGCAACAGCGCGTCTGGTGTCTTGTCCGTCCTTCCTGGATTTGAGAATATATCTCATGAAACTACTCTGCCCTTCAGTTACCTTACGCGATGAGTGTGAGTTTGTTTGCAGACAAAGTGAGAGGGAAGGACTAGTAGAATGTAAGGTAGACGGGAAGGTTGAAAATCAAAGATTGAGGGAGGGGAGAAGGTGGGTGGGTGTTGAGGATGTGGAGGGTGCCTGGTGGTAAAATTGAGGTAAGGAAAGTCAGGTACCTAGGCAGAACTCGGCATATTGGTCGTGAAGGAAGGAGCTGCTTCATCGCTCTTTCTTGCCTTCAGGAAAATGCTTGAATTCTTCTAGATTCTGCTTCCTTGTGATTTCCAACCTTTCTTTGCCCACCAAGGTAGGCGCTTTGCATGCGCCTACCCGCTACAATCTTGGATCGATTGCCCGCACTCCATCTCCTGCTGTGATTGCTTCGGCATTTGAACATTGCTATTACCTAGCCAGTTACTCCCAGCCGTCCATCTCAAGATCTGATTCAATACTGAAATGTCGCACCTCCGCCTGTCAGGCACTCAAGTATCAGCACGACGGCAATTGGTAATTTGTTCCTCATGATCAATGGCGGAACGAAGCTTGAGGTTTAATCTACATCCAGTAAATAAAAGCACGCTTTTTCGGAACTTTTTCCATACAATCGAAGTATACGGCACTCCAATTTGAAAAATACAAGGCCTGGAGAAGATCTATCTACTTTCTGCTAGGTAGCTAAGGCCCCCTTTTGGGAACGCGAAGATCGTGCAAAGAGGTAACGGGCACTCTCAATCAGGTTGGAGAATAATGGCCATCAGATCAACCCCATCTGCCTGGAAGTACGAGGCCTTCTATCGCCTTCTACCGGAAACCGTTATGCATCGGAAATGGACAGTGATACCCCCAACGTCGATTCCTGGTTGAGGAAGCCACCTCATCAACTTTGACCCCATATCAAAGGACCGCAGGCTCATGATGAGGCACCTTGGTTCGTCCTTGAACCCTCAGGAATATCCATGATTTTTCCTGGGTTCATGATCCATTTCGGATCGAGCGCCCGTTTGATCGACTTCATAACGTCAAGGGTATCGGAGCCGACCTCGAGAAGCAGCGATTCTTTTTTGCCCCAGCCGATCGAATGCTCGCCTGTACACGTACCCTCCATATCTATCGCTCGCTTCACCATGTTGTGCACGCATTTCTCGACCTTTTCTCTCTCTTCAGGTATCGTCCGGTTGTAGATGATGCTTTCGTGGAAATTTCCATCGCCGATATGGCCAAGGATACTCGCGAAGAGCCCCATGTCGTCCATTTCCTTCTTGCTGATCTCGATGAGGTCGGCCAGACGGCTGAAGGGAACAGCAACATCGGTACTCCCTACGCGTTGTCAGTACATGGATCCCCATAAAAGCCAAGACAGATGACGAGCAACTCACAAACTTCTTCACCGTCCTTGCGAAGCGCCAACATTGACCACAGTGATTCTTTCCGGGCAGACCATAGCAACTTCTGCTCCAGCGCGTCCTTTGCGAACTCGAAGTTGCCACCCTTATGATTCTTGGTAATTTTCTGGACGAGACCAATATTCTCCTTGACGCCGGCCTTGGTACCGGAGAACTTGAAGAATAGGGTTGGGAGTTCCTGCCAGACACGAGGCGCTGTTGCGCCACCCAGATTGACGACCTTCATTTGGACCTCATCCATGATTTCCATCGCTGCCACAGGAATACCGTTCCGCATAACCTCAGCTGCGGCCGCAGCAGCGTCTCTGATACTAGGGAACGTCACCACAGCAACTGAAAAGTCCTCAGGCACAACAGTGAGCTTGAGGGTTGCTAGTTGAGGTTAGCATGCATCCAAAGGACCTCTGGCGAGTTGGAGCCAGCACATCCGCCTCTCTCGACTTACCTTCGGTCACAAGGCCTAGCGTTCCCTCAGATCCCACGAATAGACTATTCAGGTTGTAGCCGGCAGAAGACTTTCTTGGCCGCCTCCGAGTCTTGACCACAGTACCGTCTGCCAAAACAACAGTGAGGTTGATCACCCAGTCCTTCATGGTTCCATATCTAACCGCATTCGTTCCCGAGCAGTTGGTACCGATCATTCCACCAATTTTTGCGCTTGGGCCTGTATTTTCGGTTAGTCTTGGAAATCTCACTTCCGGGAAACACTATGTCGATCTCTGCTTACCCGGGTCAATGGGGAAAAAGAGACCGCTCTCCATCTTCGCAAGTTTCTCGTTCAAGTCCTGCCATCCGATACTCGGTTGTACAACAATGTCCATATCATCCTTATTGAAGGAGAGTATCTGGTCCATGAAGGCAAAGTCGACGCTGATTCCTCCATAAGGGGCCGAGAAATTTCCTTCCAGACTAGAACCACCCGAGTACGGAATGATGGGAACGTTATACTTGAAGCATACCCGCGCGATCGTTGCCACCTGTTCTGTTGACCGAGGATACGCAACAGCTACGGGAAGACCATCAGGATTAGTTGACGACCACTCAGAATATCCGTGGGCATGTAAGTCATCAGGGTCCGTGGAGATGATATCCTCGCCACCCAACTCCTTTCGAATCTCCTTCAAGGCCTGAACACTGAGTTAGAGACGGCACTCATTCTGACGCTGGGGTCGTATTACCTGCTCCATTTCGGCCATACTTGCATAAGCCACAGGGCGAGACAGGCTGTCCGGAAAAAGCAGACCATTACCAAGTGGGAGAAAGCCAGCGCTTGCAGAATTGTCCTTTATCGAACTAGCAAGACCCCAACCAACAGTGCCGGCGGCCAAAGCAACAGTCCAGACTGATTTCCCATTCCAGCCGCTTTGTGCGGTGTTGGCCGAACCTTCGGAGTTGACCCGAGGGCTGGTCCGTAGGAGGGTCGCGGCCGAAAAGCTCCGACCGGCACGGAGAGCGGGCCTAGCGAGTCGGCCCCTCAAGCCATGGCTCAAAAGGGGCCTCGCAGAAAGTTTGGCCGACATGCAGGGAATGAAGGTCATTTACACGGACACAAAATCCGTTTCTTCAAGGAGACTGTCTGCTATTGGCCAAGAGGTTGACCGGGGTGAGATCCTGAAATCGACAGGGTTTAGCGGTGGGTTACGTCGGTGAGATGGCTTGTGCCGGCGTTCAAGGTTGATGTTAGTCTGCGCAGCTGTACTGAGTTTGAGCCGGGAACGTCGAGTCGAACTGTGAGCTGTGGATAACAATTCCTAATATCGCGAGTGTAGGACGACACGAAAGTCGACCAGGTATCGATCTGTCGAAGGATGACTACCTTAGGTGAAGGTCTAGCGAATGGCCTTTTGCCGAAAGGGTCGGGTGTTGCGCGAAAACGAGTCCGTGACAACCGAAGTCGGGACGATGAGCCCAGGGGAAAGAGGAAGACGACGTGTTTATATTCAGAAAGCGAGAGAACTCGTCGACCACGTATCCAAATCCACGGCCAATGTCGCAATCGCCCTCGGGGCAAGCTAAGAAGCTGAGTGTCGGGGCAAGTGGATATGGTGGATGACAACGGGGCCCTTCGCCTTTAGCAACGATGCCTCTACCTCTTTTTTTTTTTTTTTTTTTTTTTTTTTTTTAAATGGAAGAAGTTGAGAGCATGACCCGAACCTCAAGTACCTTGGCGTACCGCATCCCACTTTAGGAACAAGGTGCAGACAAGGCAGAGGAAGTGGGTGGATAGACGGCTATCTTACACCCAATCACGTTACCAGAGAAGGGGGATACAGGCCCAAAAAGTGAAGAGGTCAAGAGCCGGAGGGCTAGAAAGATGAAAGCGTGGCTAGCGAGTGAGCAAAGGTGGTTGCTCTGAGTTGCTAGCGGGGGTGAGACTCTGGACTTTTCCACGATGAGGTACTTTGTAGTACCTCGCTTCAGTAGCACCAGTCCGAGCAAGCTTTCCATGTGGAGCAGCGAGCTTGGACTTGCCATGTTGCTAGAGACACAAGAGGACGACATCGGGCGTGGATCCGGGGCACAGGCGGGGAAGATCCCGAAGCTGAAACAATCCGAAGTCGTCGATGCTCTCGGTGAACGGTACATTTCCCCGCGGAGCGGTGCGTCGAGGACCGACGACCAGGTTCGATGTCGATGCGCAACCTCTCCGGGCGTGGTGTAGCTCAACGTTTCTCGGCGACGCTGGGTGAGTGATGGCTTACAAAACCAATAAATCGGGAATAGAGACATGGGTATCGGAGTTGAAGCAGAAGAAGAGGCCAACTTCGAAGGACTGGGTGAGCATAGATACGAGCCCGATAATGGACAACGGCAGAGCCTTTCACGTCATCAGTACGAACTGGTGCTGGGTTGTGATGCAGGTGTGACCCCCGTTTCGTGGGGTGGCGTGGGCTACGATGGATGGGGGCAGCAACAACCTTCCGCAGTTGGCCTACTGGAAGTCTGGTTACCAAGACTTCTCACCGACGTAATCAAATTCACGGCAATGGCAGCGGCAAACCACCATCGGCAAGCGAACTGAAAGTCGAGTTGGAAAGGCTGACGAACCTCGTGTCCGAAGATGGCGCTGCTGTCATTGACTTAAGCTGCCTTACTTGTACGACGGTGAGACGGACAGGACTCTATGTAGTCTGGCAGAGCGGAATGCCATCGACGAGAAACTGCAAGCATACCGACGTACCCCCAACGAAGAGCATGGGTACAGGGGGGCCGCGAAAATTTCAATCTCCTCCCATGACCACAATTTCCAGCCTCTTGTGAGCGACAAAAGGGCCCTGATTTCTGACGAACCCCCGCGTACCGGCCTTTTCGGTGTAGAGTCCGCAGTGGGGCTCGCGCGAGGGGTAACGGTGGCCCACGGTGACCGCCGAGGACGCAGGCCGTTGGCCTCCGGGTCAGCCAAACAACAGGTTAGTGAGGGTGCCGCTTGCCGGCTGGAGCAGGCTTTCTCGTCTGTGGATATGACTGCAGGTTTCTGAGCATCCGCTCAAACGTCAACCACTGCGAAGTCGCGCTCACCTGGTGGATCAATCACCAGACAAGGGCAGACACGGGCCTTCGTGTTAGCAAGTGACAGTCTGCCAGCGGGAAGTCAACAAAGAGGAGTGTTCCGAGATGAGGACCTTGGTTGCTGACTGTCCCACCCACTGAGTGTGCCCCGGACGACCGCTCCCGATGGCAGCGCCGACACGGAGGTTTTCCGAGGTCAAGATAACAGAACCTACAGCCGATATGTGACGAAGCAGCCAAGCAGAGCAGCTAAGCCTCTTGTTCCATCTGCAATAAGGGATATTGCTGTCATCTGACTCCCAGAAGACAGAGTGACATAAGCTCAACAATTTCTTGGGCTACCATTGCGGGTGAAGGTGGTAAGCAATAACATTCACTCTGACAACTACGGATAAAGTACCTAAGCTAACGAGACGCCATCAACGGGAATTTCCATTATGTCAGCGGTGTGTCCGAGGTGCATCAATGTTACACCATACCCCAGACAGGTCATCAGACGCTGTGAGACACCGACCTTGCGGAACCGTCGCACTCGCCCGAGGCATATCGAACATCCTATCCTCTCCTCTAGCCAAGACAGTGGCACCGCTGTTCGTTGCAAGAAGGTAGTCTTTAGTCACTTCCGATCACAGTCTCGTCGTGCGGCTTCCGATGACACAGCGCCCTCTTTCCACGCCCGCTCAGCCCTCCTGACGACCTGCCCAAAGGATTTCCAGTGCGTCTTTAGTTAGGTGCATCCCACGCTGCAAGCCTGCAACGCAACCCCCCCTGCCGCTGGCCATGCGACCCCAACAATCGATGAGATTCGATCATCGGTCTATGCTAAAGTACCTACTAAGCTTGTATGCTGGATGGACTTCCAGGTACTCAGGGTCGGAACCCGGATAACGCATGGTAGGAAAGCCGCTCGCAAATCGTTCTTCTCGCCGCTGTTCCTGACAGAGTGAACTGGCGGAAAAGACCCCGATCTCACGGTCCTAATTCACGCTATTGTCGGCGCAAGACAGCAGCAGGCTCGCAGCGGCAAACACCCATCGGACACATGGCTAAGAGTTGCCCACTCTAGATGAGGACGGCCAATTCGGATGTGCTGTATCAATCCAATGGCCATTGGGGCTGCCAGCAACCGGGAAGAAGAAGCTTTGGATGGGACGGTGCGTGACGGCTTGGCGGAGTACGCACATGCGGATTCTAGAACGAAGCAGAGAAACAATGCCTGTGCCCGGGGCGACTGCATTGGATACCCCGCGTGCCCCCGATTGGTTGCTCATGTCTCACACACTCGGCGGCAAAGTCGCCGAACGCTTGCCCGCCGCCGTTGTTACTACTGCTGTCCGCTTTTGGTGCCAAACATGCCAGAGCCTGCCCAAGCGTGTTCAAGGTCCTTGTACCCGACATCGTAACTGACCGTCAGTTGAGACCGCGGCATATATCGGTGCAGAGGACGTGGAAGAACCAGATCGCCTGTGCCTCTTCTCACCGACCTAAGATCGAGTATCGAGATGTCTCAACATGGTCTCCAGGGACTCGAAGAACATGGCAGATAGGCTGTCGTCTCGGTAGCAGTTACTATTTGTAGCACAACAGCTCCTAGACGAGATTTTGCCCGGGTTTTGGCAGTGCGGGTGTTACGGCGGGGTTGAGTGACCACAATGGCGAGGTGGTCCACCTCCACAAAGTCTAGTCTAGAAGCTGCCCCAAAGCTCCTGGCGGCAAGCGAGAATTCTTTGGACTCGGGGTCAATCCAAGACACAACCTCTTGACCCCTGCTACAACCAATTCAGAGCTTCTCGTTTCCGGAGTGCAGAATATGGAGAACGTGGTGGTGCGGGTTGCCACGGCAAATATGTCGACCAGTGTCAAGGAAAGTAAATCGAACCCCAGAATCGCGGATCAGCAATGGTGTCACTCAGGAACTACCGCCCGGTTGGAGATGCTTCGCCCCTGGGACGCAAAGTGATTGTGAGTTGTGACGAATGTCCCATAAGACATTTCGATACAAGGCGAGGAGTCCCGCCGCCTCTGCTAGATCTATGCTCTGCTGAGTCCCCCCCTCCTCGGTGAGGGTTGCCTGTGCCGTACCCAGTAAGACGAAAGGCAGCCGCCATGCCGCCTTCTCCAAAGGGTGCCTATCGTAATACAATGACCAATCGATTGAATGGTGAGAATCCCACCACCGAGGCAAAGACGCTAGCATCCTGCCGCCCCGGATGAGGCCCCATTCCCCCGCAGTCGTTCACGGACTCGACACACACAGAGAGTGTGTGTGTATGTGAGAATGATCTTATGGCTTTGGCGCACGCGGACTGCCGGGTGTGCCTGCGTCATACAAGCATACAGAAGAGAGCACGAGACCATTATCGTGCGGTCTTTCCGCGGGGTTGCGGGAAACGTTTTGAGCGGTTCGCCCTTGGAGACTTGGCGATGTAACAACAGCACACTCTCTCTCTCCCTTCTCCTCCCGGGAAGGATACAGCGGGAGGGGGGGATGTATGTGTTGGAGAGAGTAGGAAATGGAGGTTACAGCCTGACAGACAGCATGGTGTATAGTTGACGAGTTGAGGAGAGGATGTGTTCAAATGGAAGGCATTGCGTGGGCGATATCCATCTAGAGCAGATTGTATCCTTGATCTCAACTGGCTCTCATGAGGATGAACAAAACGAATCAGATGTACATCTCGTAAATATTTGGACCAGCCACAGTATATCATCATCTAAGGCCAATCTCGAAGGTCGGGACCTGCACTGTACCACTTCCAGGTAGGCAGTCTAGTACTCACAGCTTAAAAAGTAACAGGAAACGACAATATTGCCTGTTACAACAGAATGTGATGACGTCGTAGTAATCTCATAGCCAAGGTGAGATAAGATGGTTTTCACAGGACAATATCACAAGTGTGGCAAATGGGAACTCAAGGTTGGGCGGAAGAGTGACCTTCAATGGCTTGGTATTGGCCGCAATACAGCTATCTGCCGGGTAGTCAAAGCCGACAACTCTAAAATCAGCCCTAGACTCCGTAATTTTTTGATCATGCTCAATCCCATTTGCCCGACCCAAATAACCGTTTCGTCCCGAAAGACATCACGAAAGTGTGTGGTGTAGCAAGGTTGTCACCTTTCGGAGCAGCCCTGGACAGCACACGCAGCAGACTCACTCGCAATCTTCTTCAGTTGGTAGAAGAGTCGCTTAGTTGCCGGCGAGGGCGTTGGCGCGACGGCGGTCACGCTCCTCGGCAATGGAGAGCTTGACACCCTTGCCCTTGGGCAGGGAGATCCAGGGCTTCTCGGAACCGATGACGAAGACGTTGGACTCACGGGTGGCGAAGGTGTTATCAATAGCGTCCTTGATGTGGACGATGTTGAAGCCTCCGTCGTGGCGCTCACGGTGGGTGATGACACCGACACGACCCATGTTGCGACCGCCGGTGACCATGGCAATGGAGCCGGTGTCGAACTTGATGAAGTCCTCAATCTTGCCGGTGGCGAGGTTGATCTTGACAGTGTCGTTGACCTTGACGAGGGGGTCAGGGTAGCGGATGCTGTGAGGAGCAGGTCAGCAAAAAGGGTTCGGATAGGGTGATACATTACAGCCGTCGGATTTGTGTAGCTCCAATCTCTTTTCTTCGTAATCGACCAATATTCTTCTTTTTGACGTTGCAATTCCGCCTCCCTCCCACTTCAAAGGAAAGGGGATATGATTGGGAAGTCATATTCCAGAAATTGAACAAGAGAGCATTTTGGGTGATGACGAATCGACCAAAGCTTGATCCAACGGCTGAATGATGTCTGACAGAACCAGTGCAGAGTGTGCAAACTCACGTTCTCGCATCGTGCGTGACCAAGAATGGGATTCCACCGCGGCCGAGCTGAACGCGCTTGACCTTGCCAAGCTTGTACTCGGCCTCCTCGGCCTGGATGCGGTGGACGGTGAAGCGGCCCTTGGTGTCGTAGATGAGGCGGAAGTTCTCGCCAGTCTTGTCGATGGTGATGACGTCCATGAAGCCGGCGGGGTAGGTCATGTCGGTGCGGACCTTGCCGTCGACCTTGATGAGGCGCTGCATGAGGATGGAGCGGGTCTCACGGAAGTTGAGGGCGTACTTGAGGCGGTTGCGCAGGAAGACGATAAGCGGCAGGCAGTCGCGAAGCTTGTGAGGACCGGCCGAGGGGCGGGGAGCGTAGGTTCCGGACAGCTTGTCCAGGAGCCAGTGCGAAGGCGCGCTAAGGCGCTTCTGGTGCTTCTTGCTGTGAGGGCATTGTCAGAACGTTTGCTCGTGTCGAGGGTGTGTCGGACATGTTTTGCCATCGTCGTCGGATTTTTTCTTCGCTTCACCGTGGCGGGCAAGTCGAACTCGCTCGAGTAGCGAAAAAAATCCCGGATTGTATCGACGACAACGATGCTTCAGGAATTCAAGATTGGATGTCAAATACTTACAGTCCCTTGCCCATTTTGTCTGACTGCCGGTTAGTCTATGGGGGTATCTGGTCGGTGGGTGTGAAGGTCGAAGTCGAAATACTCAAAGTCAACTCGGGACGTGGAGTACGGAGGGATTGGAGTGGGAATTTTCTGTGAGGCGTAGGTTTTTCGAACCCTACACTTGTGTCTCTGGGCGGTCTAGCGGGGCTTCGATAATCCGGCGCTGCCCATTGAGGTGGTCTGGTGAATTAAGCGAGATGGTCCGTGTGCCTACTTCCTGCTTTGCCTTCGTCCTCCGTTGATTCGGCGGGTGGTGGGTCCCGTATACGGGCGGCACGTGGCCTCGCAACACGGTTAAGGTTGGATCGATGACGGCGGCCCCACCAACAGCACAATAATAATACCTACCTTACCTAACATTACGTCGGTTTGATACCTGACCAACGGCAGAAGTAGCTTATCAAGTGTCTCTCCTCTTCGGGACAATCGTCCAGTTCCATCACGAGCGTACTGAAACGAGAAGCCTTCTAGATTCAGAATACACACAGGTCATGTGCACTATCTTCGAAACAATCATCTAGCGATTGGTGCTCTCTGGCTCATTGTGCCAGGTATTCGACGCTCTACCCAGATAATCGGTTGAAGGCCTGAACCAGCCATTCCCGAGAACTTTCTCGTTCTTGCGCAGAAACGACTGTAGTCCATCTAAGTCACTCCCGAACCCATTTTCTCCTTCCTTGGCCTAGAATATCTGATTATGCGCCGTATCTCCAAAATGTGATTACGGAAATCAGTTGGTATAAGTTTATGTCCAGAAACGACCGTTCAGGGAGCAAAGCGCCACATTTCCCCATGTACGCCACACAAGCAAAGAATACGCAGCACTTTTGATTCTAACGTTTGATACAAAGCCCCACAAACAAGACAGCAGGTCGAAACCTAGTATATGTACTAGGCTGTTGTCAAAGGACGGTGTTGGGATAATTGATAATTCCGAGTTGTTGAAAGTGATGTTGGAGCTCCCTGGGATCCAACAAACTCCTCAAGGTCCGTCAAGGCGATGTCGATTCGGATGTCTGATCGGGTGCGTATATCGCAGCCGAGCTGGCGACCTGCGAGTCGTCCAGAAGCAGGCGAGAGATATCCATCTCTCCCGCGCTTCCCATGAACGTCGCCGTGGTCGTTTCGCCAAAATCGAAGGCCTGCTGGCTGGCAGGCAGCTCCACATTGTCAATGACAGAAAGAGGCCATCTAGGGAGGTCTTCCTTTGAGTTGGTTCTATTCAATGTCGCCTCCAGAGGAGGTGGTCTGTTGGGCTGCAGAGTATTCGAGATGCTCATGCTAACCGTTGGTTCGAGCGTATCGCCTCCTCGCCCGTCCTGGGGTTGGAACAATCCTTTCTCAATCTTGGCGTAAACGATGGGGTACTTGTTCCGAACCCTGTCTCTGAGGTCTGTCGGTTGTCGTCCAGAAAGACTAAAACGTGGATCTCTCTGGATCTTGGTCCAGGCTGGTCCATATTTATCCAGCCCTTCGAGTATTTGCTTATCGTCTTGGTCGGTAAAAGGTCGCCTTTCTCTTCTGTGCGACTTCTTGAATGGACCGTGTATTCCCAGCTCGGCCAAGTCCTCCAGCTTCTTTCGGTGTGCCCTGCTCCTCTTCATTTTTGGGAACGCGTCCAACTCAGCCTGGGTCATCTGAGGCTGCTCGCTCGCAGTAGCCTCTTCTTGGGCTATGAGTATGTTTTCGGACAACAGTCCGGTTTTTGCTTTAGCCTTTGGTTCGGTCGGCGTGGTTGGCAGCGCCGCAGCAGACGCAATTTTCGGTTCGCTATTAGTCCTGCGCAGCTCGTTGGGGCAGCAGGTGCGAAAACGATCCTTCAAGTCACCCGCAGTTCGGTCATTGAAGTTGAAGTCGGGATCCGCAAGGATATCGGTCCACTTTCCCACGCCATGGCGATTGACTCCTAGCAGCAAGTGGTTCGTCTCAGCTTCGGACCACTTCCTTCTCGGCTTCATGGCCTTCTTTCTTGTTTTGCCACCACCAGATTTCAAGTTCTTGGTCGTCGTCGACTCAGCCTCCGCAGGCTTCTCAACTTCGATCTCCATGTCCTTCTCCTCCGGCACCGGCGCGAAATCTCGGAGCGGTTTAAGCTGGTTGTTTTCGGGTTCGTTGAAGTCGTTGGAGGCGATGGGCGGGAACAGCGCGGCGTCGGGAGGAGGTTCGTGTAAGCCATTGATGATAGGCGGCATGGTGGGCATGACCTGGGGTTGAATTGGCTTCTGTTTCTTGACCGGCTGTGGTAGCTGCACGAAGTCGTCCTTGGTAGCAACAGTGCGGTGCCTCTTCTTGGTCGCGGAGTCATCTTTGTTCTCGGGCACCTCGTCGAGGATCTTGCTTAGGGAAAAGGAAGAGTCTACATTATCTCGGTCCTCGCCCAAGAGCAGTCTCAATTGTAGATGCGCGGTGCTGTTGACTGTTCCTCGATCGACTGCTGCTTCATCGTCCTTTCTTGAATCCCGTACGGAAAAGCTGTCGTCGAGGGTGCCGGCATTCTGTGGTGGGGCTCCGTGGCTGGTGGCAAGCGAGAGCCCTTTGGTGTTTTCCTCGCGATGGGTCGTATCAGGCTCGAGTGGAAAGGGCCGCTCAGAGGGACGGGAGAAGGCCAGGCGGAGAGGCGGCAGATCAGCGTGAGCGAGCTGTGGCGTGGTGGAATCGTTCAGCAGGTGGATGAGGCGTGGCTCGATGTAGGCCATCGTGGGCGAGAGGAGTCGGAGTGGGCATTTGGTTTAAAATTTGAGGTAGGAAACAACACAGACGAAGAGAAGGGAAGCGAAGGGGGGAGGCGAGGGAAAGAAGAAGAGACAATGGACGCGGGATCGATGGTGGAAGGTCGGCGTGCGGGCAGGATGGTGACGAGGAGAAGGAAGTCACTCGAGGCGGACGCGGGAGACTTGTACTCGAGTCTGCAACGAGTTTGCTCAGGTAGCAGAGACTGGCAGTGACTGACCGAAAGGCGGAGGGGGAGCAAGAGAGGTAAGGGTAAAGCAGCTTACGATTGGCAGTCAGCCTTTCAGGGCCCGGTCTGACAGGCAGACGGGCTCACCACAGACACACTGACTGCAGGGCTCCTCCCAGAAGATTTGCCCAACGATGAAAAGTCCCACGTGAAGAATCCCCACCAGAGAAGCGGCAACTGAGACTAGCGCGGTTGGGTCTGCGGTATTTGCTGATACCGATCAGCAGCGGACGTGGGTGTGCCAAGTAACTTTAATACTTTACGATTATCATTAGCTGGTGCCAAGCGAAGCCAGTTTCTTGTCTCCACGCCGGCACGCAGCTTTCCCTCTGTCCCTCTGTGCCGCCTCTGTGCCCATCTCCCTTTTTCCCCAGGTTACGACCAGGCGAGGTACATGATATTGGCAGTCAGTATCTGGTCGAGCTTGGACTGTCAGGTGGAAGACAAGACATGAAATGACAGATGGCTGCCCAAGCTAAAACAAGCGCCAGGCAGGAGATGGATTGATTGACCTTGACAGACATTGGCACTACTAGATGGCTCACTGCGCACACCTCTCGTCCCACCTTAGGTTCACTAGATCTCCCTTCCCTGAGCCTGAATTGGGGCCGGCCGCTGCATAACCCCAACCCAACTCGGTGCGGAGCTCGGCAATCTTGGAGGCTTGCTGACTGAACAGTATTAGTACCTTACCTGAGGTACCCAAGACATGTTTCTCGCTCCAGTTTACAGCCGCCCGTGGTCTCCGCCTCCGCCTCCGCCTCTCCGAAGTGCTGCATGACACACCACACACCAAACACCACACACCACATACCACATACCACATACCCTCCACCAAGCTGAAAGAACGTCTCACAGCTTCTCGGTCTGATCAATTGCGTTGCCTGTTGCCCCTCCCTACCTTTGTCAGGCTGTTCTGAGCGAGTATTCTGGCCTCCAATCCTCTGCCTTGCCAACGACCCAACCGTTCTCACGAAACCACTAGGCCTTTCCAAAGAACCTCAGCAAGGGTTTGGTGGCTGCCCTTTGTTACACTGCCTTCAATCCCCTCTCCCACTTCCCACCAGCAGCTTTACCGACCCCAACGGTCCCGACTGTCGCCATGGCGGCGGCTGCGGCTCTTCCAACCTTGCCCAGACTGGTATTTACCGTCTTCGAGCCCATTTCACTGTACGTTCACTCTCGCCACCTGATATGCCAGCCGCCACTGAGCTGATGCGTCTTGTCTCAAAGCGTTGGCGGTTTCCTAGGCGCCGTTATCAACCCGGATTGGTTCATATCCGAGCAGATCGTGCAGGGTGCAACCTCGGCCGTGCCAGCTGCAGAATCTGATAATACCCGTCTCGTGGCTCTCCAGCTTGGAAACATGTACCTGCTCATGGCCATGGTTGGGTTAGCCGTGCTCAACCTCACCAGCGAGCTGAGAGTCGTGCGCGGCTACCTCGTTGCTCTTTGGATAGCCGACATTGGCCACATTTACGTATGCTATCACGTTATGGGTCTCAATCGCTTCCTCGACGTGGCAAACTGGAACTCCATGGCCTGGGGCAACGTAGGAGTCACGGTGCGACCACCCTCTCGTTCGAGCTATGAAGCCGTGCTAACCATCGAAGGCCCTTCTCTGTCTGACCAGGATGGCTTACCTTTTAGGCCTCTTCGGACAGGATTCTCCTCTCAAGAAGTCCGAAAAGAAGCAGCAATGAAGGGGTCTTCATGTTGCGCTTTCGTGAAAGTCCAGTCCTCTGGCAACAATCGTAGCCTCAAACTCTCAATCGGGGTTCCTAGCTCGAATCTGTTCGAACAAGTGCCTTGCATCTGTGTGTTAGTAGGGCTTGCCCGCCTCTTCTCCATTCATTTCTTTGTAATACCCTTGGATATATAGGCCTTTCATCAACAGAAACGAAACAGCCACTTTCTTGGAATGCTTTTGTGATGCTCGCCTGTAGCCGAGAGACTGATTGCCCACTTACACGACCGGGCGTCGCCAAATTGGCCCTCAACCACTACCAAAACACCTTGCGCCAGTACCGTGTACAGTGTACCTTGATGATTGTTGTTACCATTGCATGAATGATGAAATAAAAGCACATGAGAAAAAGTGTCGGTAAAAGCATATCGAGGTAGTGCAAGCAGCTCGGCACCCCAGGTGACTCAGCTTTGGAGGCGGCACAAGCATGCGTCCTACCTTCGGTAGTATCCATAGCTCTACCGCCTGTACAGGCATGCTCAACCACTGAAGCAATTATTTTTGCTGCCGGAAACAAAGAAAGGATGAATAGCATCGAACAAAAAGATTCATCTATAACTCGATTGGTTACGCATGCCTAGAAGAAGACCAATGACAGGCGTCGCAGGCGTGCGCTGCGTGACGAAATTACCGACTTCTTTGGATCGCGCAGTCTTAGTGCGTACCTTGACTAATGGAGGCCTGGGAAAAGGCGACTGGGGTCTGTAAAAACACCTTGCGGCGCTTCATTTCCCGCAGCCAAACCAAGACATCGTATCTGTACCTTGTGTGGAAAAGAGGAATACTTTATTTAACCTTAATGTTCCCTCTGTCACTCTGAAAAGGTGACGCGAGTGCTGTGGATACCTAAGGCACCAGCTCGCTGAGGCCAGAAACCGCGCGCACCTTGTAAGCCAACTCCCTCGTGAGGGTTAGGGTTAGGCGATGAAGGGAGCTTGTTTACATTTCTCCAATACGTCCACCCATTCCCGACGCCGACGCGTCTTTTGGGAGCCGCAGTCGTTGGATTACCAGAACCGAGTCAGAAATGGCCCGAACAAGAACTGGCCGCGGTGCTCCGGAGCCCCCGGAGCAGAGTTTCGAAGACGCTCGTTCCGCCCGGTTGACGCGACGTCGTGCGGGCGGCGCTGCTGGCACGGCGGAACGCGTCGAGTTCACCACCGCTACTGCTGCATCTCAGCCGACGACGCGAGGTAAGGGGAGCAATAAGGTCGTCCCGACGAGCACCACGTTACGAGAGATGGCGGAAGAACAAGACGAAGACGCGACAGAAAAGCAAGAGGAAGACGGTTTCAGAAATGAACCGGTCGCTCGTTTCAATGCGAAGGAGATTGTCAGAGATATCAACCCGCAGGACAACGACAGTGGTGAGTCACGGCGTCCTCCCTCATCATGTGTGCTCGTGATGGGTATCTGAGGGCCGAGACTAACAGCCGCTACAGAAATGGGATCGCAGAGTATTTCTGGCAAACAGAGGAACGCAACTCCGGCTTATATGAGTGCGGCATACACGATATTTTCAAGTCTGTCACTACTGCGTTTCCTCCCTTGCGAGGCAACATGCTAATCTTGTCACAGGCGCACCCAGGGTACCAGGCTCGTCAGCACCGAGAGCATCACAAGGTGCGATACTTACATTGCGCCTTTTCGCTAGGGACGAGTTACTGACTGAGGCAAAAGGTCCCGTACAGCTGCCGGGAATAGAGGACGATGGCAGCGATGACGAGTCGGAGATGGGCGATGACGACGAAGACGACGCCGCCCAGGATGTTGTCGAAGCGGAACTGAAAGAGAACGCCCTCGACTCACTCTGGCACGAATCCGAGGCTCTGGCGAGGCTGCTCCGCAACCCAAAGCCCTCCAGCAAATCCTGGTGCCGGTTACTGCCCGTCTTCCGGGGCAACTGGCTCCGCACCCGCGAGTTCTTTGTGGAGAGCGACGCGCTCTTCATCGACCTCTTCGCCAGCATCGAGGACATCAGCGAGAGGCAACAGCTCAAGGCGCGGGCCGTCATTATCGGCGCCAACGCCACATCGCTGCTCAACGTCATATCAGACGCCGAGCTCCGCAAGGAGGGCAATTTTGATAGAGTCTGGAAGATATTTCAGCGCCTCGACGAGGACTTCCCCGCCCCGCTCTGCCCCTACGACGAATACGCCGATCACGTTACCGAGGACGATATCGAGCTCGCGCTCGACATCCGCACGCACAGGCTGATCACAAGCCTGAAGGCCTTGCAGGATGGTCAGCAGAATCCGGCCGACATCGCGGCGGAGCTCTTTTGCGTCACCCTGAAGGCCTCCGTCGATGCGGAGGAGGCTCTTGAGCATGGACCGTTCAGGGGCATCGACGGCCGTATGACGGAGCGATTTGCAGACAGGGCGAGGCAGATTCTCGCCGCCATCGAGGACAAAACCGTGTACGATGCCATTCAGGCTCTCGACGAGATATTCCCGCTCGAGGGATCCCCTGACCAGTCACAGAACGAGCCCGACAACGAGGCGACCGATTTCATCAGCAAGATTTCCGCCTGGTGCAGCAGGATGATTGACGAGCTCAGCGTGGTTTTGAAGGATCCGCCGCAGGAGGAAAGGCCATTCTCTCCGACAGAGTCTTTGGCGTCGACCGCGTTGCAGGACATAGTCCGCAACGACGTGTACGGTTTTCCCAAATACCCTCAAAGTCCTAGACGCGAACCACACACTAACTCTACTACAGACGCGAAGACATCCTGTCCCGATCAAACGTGCAACTCCTAGCAAAACTCTCCCGCCAGCTCCCCTCGCGCCTACGTACATCCCCGTCGCTGGCAAACTCTCAACACGGAGCCACCCTCGAGTCCACCGTCAACGGAGGCCTCGGCGACGATTACGAAGAAGAAGACCGCCGCCGCAACCCCTCCCCGGCGCCCAGCGACCTCTCAGCCATCATCGCAGGCCTCCCCAGCACCGCCATCATCCGCAGTACACAACCTTCTTCTTCCGCCGAAGCCGGCACCAGCACCGCCGCCGTCCCGCGCCGCTCCGGCTTCACCGCAGTCAACAGCGGCGGCGGCGGGAGGAAACGCCCCCGCGAGGCCTCCTCCAACCACTCTCAACAATCTCAAGAGACCGATGACCCCTTCGAGGAGGACGACCGCGAACCGAACCCCCAGCGAAGGGTCCAACTCGCCCGCGACCGCCACGACATGCCCCCTCCCCCCTCTCGCCCCTCAAAACGCGTCCACCTACCCTCAGCCGCACCAGGGCCAGCCTCGTCAGCACGCCCAGCAGCAGCACCCCCTTGGTCTTCCCCGTCATCAACTTCCACCACCATCCGCCGCCGCTTCGGCTCCGAGCTACCTAACAGCGCCCCCGCCTCCTCGGCACTCTCCAGGAGCAGCATATCCAGCAGCACCAGCACCGTCGCCTCCTTCCGCGACATCAACGAGATGAACCGCCGCCCGGCCTCCCGTGCGGGACCCCAGCAACGCGTCCCCTGGTCCGATAAAGACACCCGCCGCCTCATCCGCCTCATAGAGTACCACAACTGCCTGTGGGCGCACATTGCAAAACGCCAGCTCCCTGGCGGTCGCCCCAGCAGCGGCGGCGACTTTGAGGACAGGGAGGACTGCATCTTTGATCACCCGCGGGACCAGCAGGCCATCCGCGACAAGGCGCGGAATCTCAAGGTCGATTTGCTAAAGTATGTTGGTCTTTTCTCTCCAGCCTCCATCCACCCCCCCCCCCCCCCCCCCCCCCCCCCCCCCCCCCCCCCCCCACCCCCCCCAACACAACACCCCAACACCCCCCAACCCCCCCCCCCCACCCCCCACCGCCCCCCCCACCCCCCCCCGCAGCCACACACCAGCAGCACAACCCCCCCCCGCCCCCGCCACCCCCCCACCCCCGCCGGCCCGCAGAGCCGACCTTAATCTCTACCCGGGCTTCGACGGCATTGCCCTCGGCAAAAAAGAACGTCTGGCCCTCATCAGCCGCGGCAAGAACCCGGATCGCAGGGAGGCCGACGTCGACGAGACGGGCGAGCCCACGCATACCGAGTACGTACCGCTCGACGACGACGAGGAGGAGGATGATGAGCTGTAGCTTGGCTAAGCTAGCTAGTCACCTTGCGAAGAAGACCCATCTTTTACGATTAGCTTGCTCTCTATATATACAAGGGATGTACCAAGTGAGAAAAGGAATAACGGCGACATGGCACAGTCGGCCTGGCTCGCGGGTTTTTGGAGGCAAATATTTTGTTGGCAGCATTCAATTCGTGAGGTTGAAGGCGTTCGAGGATTGCGATGGGGTGTAGTCTCACTAGCGCATATCAATTCAAAGTAGTCACGCGTGCTGCAACAGGGGCAACCTCAGGTGTTCAGTCTTCACACGTTAATAAATCATTAGGTCTCGTCATGAGAAAGACAAATTTAAATTCTTGAATAGAAATCCGGTCCCTATCAAGACTGCCCTAAAGCTATCGGCCGGCCTCTCCCGGGTAATCACCACAGTCGGCCCCAACCTGTCTGTATCTCTTGTGCTCGTCTGAATGGAACCGCAGGTCTTCCCTGCCCACCTGCTCTCCAACCAAATGTAACTGATTACAACGCTGCTAAGCTCAGTCTACTCTTTCGTCCCCATGGTCTTAAGGTCGTTATGGAAGCGAAGTGAAAAGAACAAGGAAAAAAAGGTGTGGTGAAGCGAGACATGATCGCTGCCAATGAAGAAGCTGGGTAACGTATTTTCGGTGCCAAAAGTACAATAAACTAAGTCTTGCATCCTTCTCGTGCGTAACAGGCGTCTTGGCGATGCTAGTGTCATCCGGCCGCTCGAGTCGGAAATGCCGATGTACGTCGTCATCTTGCCTGTGCTATCGTTGAGGTAAAGAAGTAACAGGGATATCAAGGATTTTCGTCATGCGAAGTTGGGCTGATTATGCTGTCATTTCGCCAAGTTTTGGGACGCCCTCCAACCATAGAAGTTCGTAAGAGTAGGTATGTGACAGAGGAAAAGGGGGTATGCTGCGCGGTGCTCTCAAATCTCAACAAGTGCAGAAATCAGGTGTAAAGCCAGCCATTAAAAGAGGCTGTAGGGTTCAGAAACGTAAGGGTATCGAAGGTCCAAAGGTATGCGCAAGGACCAATTCTGAAGCGGTCTATCGGCGACGAGCGTTCGGGCTATTCTTAAGTCGCGAAGTTCGCCAGCCCTCATACCACTGTTCTCTGCTGGCCTCGCGGAGTTCGGCTCTCCACTCGCTGAAGACGGCATCCTTGAGTCTCGTGAAGTCACAGTGCTCCTCATTGTAAGGGTCCGCGAAGCCCCAGGGGAATTGACGCCCCAAAATCTCGGGTTCGTACAAATCAGGGCTGATAATAGAAAGCGGGAGGAAAGGCACTTCGTCCTCCTTGGCCTCCTGCTTTGCCTTGTGCTGACGGATGGAGGACCCAGAAAGCCGTTTTGAGCCAGGAGAGGAGGGTGCACCTTCCCGTCCTTGGATAGGGAATGCGTCCTCGTCGTGGGAGTCGGCATGCTCGTCATCAGACACTACCTCTTCCTCCTCTTGGATTCTGGTGGAGTCGTCGTCCTCGTCGAGGCCCAGCGCCTCAAGCGGGTCCAGTCCCAATTTCTTTATGGTTTCCCATACCGTCTTCTTGAGTACATTCATGTGCTTGGTCGTGAGCGTGTCCGACTTGGAAATCACAGGGATGACAGTCGTCTTGCCCTGGAGTGTACGGAGCACTTGAAGGTCCAGATCCTCATCGAGACCTCCCGAAATGCGAGCCGCGGGGGCGTATTTACCATTGTGCCCATTCGACACACTACCCTTGACTGACGCCAGATTACGGTCGAGACGGGCGGGGTCGAGAACCATGAAGACGGCATGGATGTGGGTATCTTGTACGCCAGGCGATCGAATCACCTTCATTTCTTCGGTAAAGGTCTCTTCAAACTTGCTTTCAAGGAAGGCCGACATCTCCCTAAGCTGGAGATCGACAACGTTCTTCTCCAAGCCTTCCGAATCCCATAGCGTGAGACCAATTCGCTCGCCGTCAATCTCTGTCTCGAGATAGTGAGGGATGAAGTTGCCAGAAGGTGGAGATCTGGGGGCGGGGTCTTCCTCCGCCTCGGTCTTGCGGGATCGCTTCTTCGGCGGGAGCGCCAGAGCAATCTTTAGGAATTCGAGGAAAGATGTCTTTCCAGCGCCTCGGGTGCCAATGACGAGAACGCTACGCAAATGGGGTCAGTGGGCTGTAAAGAGAGAGCAGGCATGGCAGTGTCTCGGAAGTTGACCTACTTGAAGGGAGTAGGATCCTTTCTTCTCCGAACCCTTCTAGGGCTGTTGACAGTGCTGATGGCGCTGCTAGCATAGCTGTAGCGACCACGGTGCGTCATGCTCTCGGTACGAGCGTAGGGGTCGTAGGCATTGGCGGGAATGGGAGGCATAGGCGGCACAAATCCCGCGGCACTGCGGCCGGGTTCCATGGAAGGCCGGGTCGAGTAGGCGGTACCTATGGTGTGGTCCGACATGATTGAAGCCTCCTCAGCACGCAGGTCAGAGGGGATGGAGTTAGAGAGCTGGTCATTGGCTTTGTAGAACTCGGGGAGCTTGGGAGGAATTCTGGAGATTGCAGCCTGACGCTGACGTTCGAGTTCGCGTTCCTGCTGTTCGCGAAGGGCTTGGGCTTTCTTACCACCCTTCCCCAGGTCGCCGGACTTGGAACGTCTGAGAAGCATACCGAAGCTAGAGCGACGGGGCTGGCTCATTATCTAGGGTCCTCAGCATAAAATAAATGTTTCAGAGTCGGAAGCCGCAAACGGAGTGGGCGAGTAGCACATGCGACCACACTGCTGGCTGGCCGTTGCGCTTGTTGGTTTATTGAGGAGCCTCTGCGTAATTAGGTTGCGTGGAAGCGGCGAAGGTGTGGACCGCTAATCAAGAGGATGTCGAGTGGCACGGTGGCTTAGACTTCGGAGTTGGAAAGGGACAAGAGCGAATTGGCAATCGGATTTCGCAGGCCTTCGATCTTGCTTGGGCTGACTCTTCTCTTGTGCTCGTTGTGAGTGGTAAGAGAATGGGAATTGGTACGTCCGGAAAGAGTGGAAAGGGGGGAAGTGATCGGAGAATGGGTCAATGACGGAAAAGAGTGTCTGGTAAATTGAGGTTAGCTACCAAGTAACGACAACCCGGGTCGACCGCAATTGCCAGCCGCCCAAACGCCCTTCTCAGCCAACCGCAGGCGTTGTCGTGGCGGGTGCAGCGCAGCGTAACAGGGAAATGGCAGCCAGGAAGAGGTTTGGAGACGGAACGAAGAAGCCAAAGTCGCGTCAGATCAAACAGGAGCAGACCAGGGACCAATGCGAGAGGCAGCTCCCAACTCGAATTCTGGAGACGTGGGTGTCCCCAGCGACCGTCCTCGCCGTCTGGTTGGTTGCGATGCAGCGGCAGATCTGCCGTCTGCAGAGGGTGCAGTGCAGAGGAGGGGCGGACTCGCAGCAAATAGGGGCAGGAAGAGGGCAGAGATGAAGCGGACGCAGGATCGTCGCCGTTATATGCACTTACCAATGGAGTGCCGGGCCGATGGCTGAAGCTAGTGTTGATACGTTGTTGCTATTCTCGTGGAATGGCAGTGGCAGCAGTAAAAGGCGTAGACGCAGACGCAGTCGAAAGAAACAGGTATGCGCTGGCGCCTACACAGAAACAAAAGTAAGAGGACCGCAAGCGAAACGTCGGACGGATGGTGAAGTGAGATCGGATGAAGAGGCGTGGCTGCGCGGGGAGGGTCAAGGAGAGTCGAGTGTCCGTGACCCGCGCAAGTCTGAGGACAAGGACGAGGAAGGGCTGGACGGGCGACGGTAGGATTTTGGCCGAAATGTTGACGAGGGGAAATGGTGTAATTAAGTGAGGGTGAGAAAGGAAGGACCTGGGCGGGACGAGCAGAGAAGGGCAGATGCGGGTCGTGGATTGGGAAGAAACAGGGAATGGGTACTCTGTATGGAGAAGGAGAGCAGAGGATCTGAACTTGGGTAAAAGGTCGCCAGATGCGCACTGGTGCAAGCAAGTGCAAACAATTGAGCTCGAGTTGTTGGACCTGGGCTTGGGATGGCACGATGGGTAGATAGACTTGGGACCGCGACGACGTGTTGTCGGGTGTGTATCCGCAATGTGGTGTAATTATGCCAGTGGAGGTAAAGGTGACATGGGCGGTGGATCGGGGTGAGGTCAGTGCAGTGCGCAATGGTGCGCAGTGTAATGCAATTAGAGATTTGCTAGTTGCGCCGAAAGGAGATTGTTCTTCTTCTTGCCAGGCTGAATAGCGCATGCAAGATGGTGATGGTTGCTGAACGGTGTGATGTGTAAAGGAATGAAGACAATTCGGGAAGGCGAGATTTAGTACCTTAGCTGGCGCAGGTATACGGATCAGTAGGGTACCTAGGTAATAGAAAGGGCAAGTACCTACGGATACTCGAGGGGCGCAATAGATATGGGGAGCGCATGAGAGAAGCGCATCAGGATGGGCCTGTTTCCCTGGTGCCGTGTTTCTGTTCCTGTCCCTGTCCCTGCCTCTCTCTCTCTCTCTCTCTCTTTCTCTTTCCATCTCTCCCCGTGCTGGATCCAATGTACCATCCAATTTGAAAGCTGGGAGGGGCGGCACCGATACGCAGTCAGGATGTGCACTGAAGCAATAGCAATTCGCGGTTGTCATTGGCTACATGAAAGGCAATCCGCGCTCCGCACCCTGCAGCAAGACATTCCCCCGACGCAGGTACCGACGGGGCTACGCTAATTTGGGTTGAGGTCAAGGTATCCGTCGCTTGTCTCGTCTGAGGTGAGCCTCTGAGGTGGTTTGCTCTCACGGGCCACTACCAGTCCACCACGGCCCAATGCTCCTCTCCTGAGGTGGTCCCCCCTTCACCCCTCGTCTTTCACTCTCGTCTCCTCCTTGAGTGCTCCACGAGAAATCACCTCCAGGCTCCAACCTCCGCATGGCGTGTGACGCAGTCAGGCTCATACGGTTCGCTAACCTAGCCCAAGGTCCCCAGAGCCACTAATGAGAGCTAATAACGCCATTGGGGGCCACCTAGAGCTGTCCAAGGCCCCCATGCACTCAAAAAGATCTCGCCAGCCCGCTCCCACCACGAGGGAATGGGTCCCCCTCCTGGATGGCAGAAACACCGTTTGAACTCTGCATTTGGCTGCCACATTTTGCTTATCTCTGGGCCCGTCGTTGGACCAGCGAGTTCTGCATTCGCATCCAACATGTCAGATTCGAGATGATTGGAGCCTGTGGACTTGGAGTCCAGCATATGCAGAATGCTGCCGCTGTACCACGCATATTTCCCGAATTGCATGGTGGTGAGCTGATGCATTTCGGTCAAAGGCAGTGATAATCTCGATAAGGCAGTCTCTACACCGTGTCCATGCATGGGACAACATCCCGCTAAACCAGTAATAGTCCCCGGTACAAGAATTACAACGTCGCTGCCCTCCCCCCCTTTTCCCTTTCCCTTTCCATTGAACACCCAAGACACTGAGGATGACGTGAGGGGCCGTTGAGACCGGGATTTGGGAACACCGTTACCGCCTGAATAAGAGCTTGCTTTTTTCGTCGTCAACTTTCTTGCCGTCTCAGACACCAGCACAAGACATCTCGCCATTTCGTTCAGCCGCGTAAATCTGCAGAATGAGACGAAATGCTCTGTGCTTGTAGTAAGGTACATAGAAACCGCACTCGCTTAGACGGGTAAGCGCCTTCCCACGACAGAGTTTCGATCGCTTTCAGATGTAACTTACGGAGTGCCGGGGCCCAGAGAAGGCCAATTCCATGGAAATTCCGAAGCAAAGGGACCTTCCCTAAAGCAACATCCATTGAATCACAAACCTGCCTTCCCAGCAAAAACAATCCAAGAGAATGTGCCTCAGGCCCAGGTAACCCCTTAAGATTGCATCCCTTGACTGCAACTTGCAAGTCCCCTGCTCCGGCGCATCTCGTCGACTTCATCCTCCGACCAATCATCTCCCGCCAACTGAACAACTGCAGTTCGGTTCCCTTTCGTCGTTTCCTCCCGCGCGTCTGTCACGCGTGGCCTTCGCGAAGGTTTCGCTATGCTTCGTTACCGAGAGCCTAAGGTATACAGTGGAGGGCGACATTCTTTCAACCTTACGGATAAACTGGACATCGAACATTCGGACAAGGAAAGAGGCGGCTTGGCAACTCACGTGTGCTTACACTACTATTACACACACACACACACAACCACTCGGCATCCTACAGCATCGCTCTATGAAGCCAACTCAGTTTTATTGAACTTGTGTAACACGCCACTGTACCAAGTGGTACCGAAGCAATCACTTGAATGTTGGGTTGACTCTACTTCTGTCGTGGCCTGCAGGGCTCATGGCACGGATGGAAACGTCTATGCTCCCGCTGCCGCCCTGTGCGCTCGTCGACCCGACTCGTCCTTTCCCGAATGCCCACCGGAAGATCGTCGACATGCTACCTCACTGACAAGTCCAGATGTGCTCGATCTGGTATTGCAACACACACTACTTCCGCTACCCTGCCGTCATCCTGCCCTGCACACCCTACCTAGCACCAACAGCAACCGTCACGCAACTGTCAAAAGGCTCTCACTCACGGTCTCCCCAAAACTCCCCAAAACTCTAAACACTTCAACTGCCTTCACCTCTCACTCGACCCCCATAACCAACCAATCTCGCTCCTCATTCACGGCCCCTCTTTCCTCTCGGCTCCCATCACCATGAACTGTGGGGCTTCCGACGCTGAAATGGCCCTTGTTTCACATTAACCACGCGGTCCTTCATGCCATCTCATCCCAAAAATTCCTCTCAAATTGTCCGAGATCGATCGGCGCTCCAATTTTACAATGCTTTTAGCTTGTGGAGCAATGCACAACCGCATTCCAGGGTCCAACTCACGTTGCTTGATTTTTCTTCCTCTCTCATTTCCGCATGGGGGCCTTACTGTAAGGGATTGTCCGTACCATTCAGCCAGCGTGGCCGGCCACATCCGTCACCTCGCCTTACATGTGTAGGCGTGAGACAAGACGGGTGTCTCTTCCCAAGTGGCAAGCCCCAAGACAAGACTACTACGCGTAGTGTAGACTATTGCCTGCTGATCTGCTTCCATAGCCCTAAGCTTAAGTCGACTTCATGCAATTCAAGACATGAGCCATAGTGAATATCAATATCCCTCTCATTTCATCGCGCGGCTCATAAGAACCGATGGTTTCGTGTGAGCCCGCCAGCCCTGGCGTCTCATTCAACCAGGTCTAGGAAGATCCCGTGAGCCGCAATATTGCGGAAACAGCTTCCAAGTTCTGACCCCAGGTGTGCAGCCCTGACACCCTGGTCGCTCGGGTGGCGCCCCCGTCGGCCCGCTGGCTCATGCCTCTCCCGCTCCCATGCAATACCGAGTCGAGCCTCCAGGCCCAAGTGACTGGTTAAGTTCATATCTTGAGACGTTCTGAATCCTGTCATCGTTGGCTTGGGCTCGCAAGCCATTGGTCTATCGAGCACCGTGGATATGCGACGGCCTCGTACTTCAGCAGAGACGTCGTGCCTTTTCTCGGCCCATTTTGATAGTCTCCCTCTTTGTCAATTGCTTTACTGGCCACCGGCTTCTCAACGAACATTATATTGACACCATTTACTGCAGATTCTACAAATAGACAGCAACCGACTAGCCGGGCCTGGGATGGTTAGAAACAAGGTTACCTAGCCAGTGGATGGTCTTGTTTGCATCAGCCTTACAAGCAACCGAGTGAGCGGTCGGCATTCGGTTAGGTAGTGCACTTGCTAAACATTACCTTTCTGATACAGCCAGGATGAAGTCTGAAAGGCGTGAAGACGCGTCCGTTGACCTTCGTAGTCAGTTGGTGGTTTGGGTCCTCTCTATCCTGAAGAATCTACAAGGGGGCTTGACCAGGTTGATGTTTGGAAGTCTCCAATAACGGGGGTTTCAACCAACTCGTAGAGAGACGAGAGGACTGGGGTTCTTGTTGCCCTGTCCAAAATTACTCAGACGTCATGAAAATTTTGTACTTTGAAGAAGCACACCAGATTATGTACTGGTCTATAGCCGAGTTTTCAGAAACGATCGTATAGACAAGGGCTATCTGACACGGGCGTGCCAGACTGGTTGTAGGAGAGCAAGTGAGGCTCGCGGGCTACCCATGAATAGCGACATGTCGATCATAGACGAAAGCGACGCTTGGGATGATGTTTTCATTATACACGGACCATTTATCCTCGTTGTAGACAGCCCATATATGTTCCTCGGCCCCTGCCCCTTCGTCGATGATATGCTACCTTTAACCCACGATCATCATCTACGATCTGCATCTCTTTGAACTCTCTTGCAGTTTTCGACAAACACGCCGCCGGATACAAATCGTTCCATACAGATATCTAGCCATACCAACCCATGACAGTGACGCTCAGTTTCTCTTTAAACGTTTCAAGCCGACAAGCATTCCACTCTCCGGCTCTTACAACGAACATAATAAGCATTATCTTTATGGATCAAGTTATGTAAATCTTGTCCCAGGAGAAGGAAGAAAGGCTTGACGAAGAAGTTATTTCAGCTTCTAAAGATGATATACCGGACAACAAATAGGATTTTCAACAAGTCACGAAAGAGCGTCATCAAGTTGACGCTATTTTTATGCCAGGACATTACCTACGTCTCGCAAGAAAAAACAGCTTGTGCTTTGGTCTTCATCTCGTACCTACATCGAGGGAGGTGTTGCCCGCGCCCAGTGTGATGCTTGTAGTGGCGAAGGAGAGGTTCTGCCAGGAGATGACGTACTTGATTGCCTATCCTCTACAAGAGAACCTGTGCTTCGAAGAAACAGGAAGTCTCGAGCCCAGGAACACTGTACTGTGACGGATAATTCCACGTTCACGCATGAGACTTGCACGTCGATGCTTGGTAAACAGATGAGTGGTATCTTTCCCATATCGAAGGGCTTCTAGAAGGCCCTCACCAAGCCCCGAACACCTCGAATCTAATAACCTATGATTTCAACTCTATAACGCACCTCTTCCCGTTTTGCGTCTACTCCGTCTAACCCTCAAAAACCTCATGCTGCAGCTCGACTCCGAAATCCTGCGCAATATCCTTCATCCTCTTCTCCATCTCATCCTCCATCCCGCCCCCGAACCCGAGCAGCTGCTTCACCTTGAAAAAATAAAACGCCACGTCTGTCAGCGCAAGCACACTCTTGAAAATCAGATGCCGCCACACGTTGCCAGCCCTCTTCGCCCACGGCAGGTTCGGGTCCTCAAACAGGCTCCGGCTCGCCCACTCCCCCATCAACTTGACGCGGTTGACGGGGCTGCCGAGGTACTGGTTGTTCCCCTGCACGATGCGCATGTTGCGCCCGATAAAGATGAGCTCCTTGGGCCACTTCTCCTCGTCCGCCAACATGTCCCGGATCCCCTGCTTCATCCGCTGCTGCATCTCGTAGTGCCGCTCCGCGGGTGTCTTGCCCTCGAGCTCCTTCATGATGCCGTTGCGCGTCCGCTCGTCGCCGCCCTCGTACGGCCTCAACAGCGTCGCGCTCGCGAAAAGGTCAGCCGCCTTGATGCCCCACTCCGTCGTCACCTCTTCAATCGTCTTGTTGTCGAATGTCATGAGCGCCTTCCAGAAGACGCCGTACTGGTGGCGGAACGTGGGCGACATGTAGACGTACAGCCCGTGGTCGATGAGCACGAGCTCAGCGCGCCCGTTGGGCAGCCGCCGGATAAAGATGTTGCCCGGGTGCGGGTCGCAGTGGACGACACCCCATTTGAAAATTTGCGCAGAGAAGAGGTCGATCATGGTCGTCATGACCTCCTTGCTCGACAGGCCCAGGCCGCCGCGCCCGCGACGGCCCTTCCACTCGCTGCGCTCCGGTTTGATTTGCTCGGCGTAGGGCCGGTCGCGGAGCTCGCGGCGGACGGCGGCCATGTCGGGGGGTTGAAGCTGCGCGCCCTTGACGCCCGGCGACCCGTTGCCGTACCCGCCCATCCACCGCCCGTTAATGCCCTGCTTATCCCACAACCGCGTGCCCTCGATCCACTCCGTCACCAGGACGCGCCGTGTTGACAGCTCCGGGTAGACCTTGGGCACATACACCCGTCCCCTGAGACCCTTTTCCGAGTTGATTAGGTCCCTCATCGTCTCCGAGTTCTTGGCCTCATTCAAAAAGTCCGTCTCTAGCTCCAGCCGCTCCGTAATGAAGGGTACGAAGCTGTACAGCGGCAGGTCGAACCACCGGCTGTAGATCCATGCGACGGTCTTGAAAGCCCACAGGTCCCACGTGATCTGCTTCGCAATCTCTCGCTTCTGGATCTTGACGGCCACCTCGCGGCCGTCGGGGAGCCGCGCCCAGTGCACCTGCGCGACACTGGCACTCGCCCTCGCCCGCCTCTCCATGACGCCCTTGCCCTCCTCCCCGCGGAAACTGACGCCAAAGACCTCCTCCACGCTCCGACCGCCAAAGTCCTCGCGGATCACGGCCTCGACGTCGCTCCACTCGTCCTGTGGCGCGTCGTCAAACATGCGGGCAAACATCTTTTGGAACTCGGGCGGCAGCACGGCGCTCTGCATCGCGATGGCCTGGCCGATCTTGAGGTAGAGCCCGCCATTGTGCCGCAGCAGGTCAAAGAGACGCTCGGCGTTGCGGACGTGTAGGTCCTGCACGGAGCCGCCCGTCAGCGGCTCCGGGCGGAAGTTGAGCTTGTAGTCGAGGGCGACGAGTAGACCCGTGCCAAAAGTGCGGAGGGAGCGACCGAGCCCGGAGGCGTAGATCTGCCGGTCGGCGAGGTAGATTGCGCCGCCGACGGCAGAGAAGATGACGAGTCTGCGCAACCACTTGCGGCCGCGAGGGTATGTGCGCGCCTTCTTTGGGGCGCCGAGCGATTCTGGCGAAGGGGGGATGAGGGCCTGGCGGATGCTGCTCGTGTGCATGCGCGCTGATCTGGTGTGCGAGAGGAGTCGTAATGTCGTCGTATTCGCCGCTATCGTCGCCGTCGCCGTCACTGCTGTCGCCATCGGTATCGTCATGGAACTACGCAGAAAGTGACGCCCCGTGGCGGCCGCGGAGGTAGAGACGAGACATCTCTGCGCTGGTGACCTCGCGGCGGAGAGACCAGCTATGCTCTGGCGTAACATAGCTGGTGATGGCGAGGACGTGTGGAGAGGAAATTAAGGCTGAAGTGGAAGGCTCCCATTACCTTGCCTTCAAGTCGAAAACAAAAGTGAACGAAATTAAATGGTGAAGTCGAGGGAAAAAGTTGTAGAAACCAGAGGTGAATCGGTTCGGCACGGCCGCCGGATCTGTCGTTTGCGCTACAGGCAAGTCCAGATCAATGACGAAAAGAGGGCCAGGCCACCGAGGTACGCCAGCGCCCACCCAAGGAAATCTCCGTCGGCGAATCAAGCACCGATGCGTCTATTGCGTCCATTGCGTCCGTTGCATCCGCTTGTCCCCGGCCCCGCCCGATCGCTCTCGGCACCGCTTGCAGGTGCCCACCTCGGACCTGGCGATGGACCAGGGTAAAATAGAACGACTTGGGAATTGGTGTAGTCTCCTTTTAAGCGGTCTACAGAATAAAGGCATTTGGTGTAGTTGGTCAAGGTCAGATGAATAGCCCTCAGACGTGAACTCGGGGTTTGGTTGGTTCTACGCTGTTTTCTAATAAAGATTCAGACAGAGGCACGAGGCCTCTGACCCTGTTTGACAAACTCAAGAGGTCGCACGAGCCCCTGTCCGGCGTAATTAAGGTACTCAATACACAACTCTTCGCGCATGGTAGTCTTATTCCGCAGCAATAACAGCAGCAGCCGCATGCTGGCTTCTTTTTTTTGGCGGGTCAGCTTTGAGCCATCTCGAGGTATGGCGAAGTAATATGGAATGAGTTTACCGAATCGCACCTGCGAGAACTTTCGATACAATCGGATTGTCTCTACCCCTACTAGTTTTCCGGTCTTAAATCCGAGACCGCCCGGATCTTGACGTAGAGCCTGAAGATAATTTTCAGTGTGAAGGAATTGATAGCAAACCTTAGGAGGAGGGGCACGTCGTCTTTTATCTAATTGACACGTCCAAGTAAATGTTTAAATATGCCTCTTCCAATGGTTGTTATCTAGATCACGACTGTCACCACTCCCGGCCCCAAAACCAATTAGACCTCCTAGCAGCATTGCGCATCAACCACTTTTTTGCCCCGGATGCCCTTACCTTCTAGTCCAGTCTGGTGTATAAGTGGCCAGCGCCTTATTCAAGGTTGACAAACTGGTAACGTCAGAACGCCCACTCGCCGGCTGACTGACAGGGTTGGTCGCGGCTCCGTCTGAAGTGCCGCCTTCTGAAGCATTGGGGATCGACGGCGTCCGGTGCCTGAGATTAAGTGAAACAAAAGGGATGTTGTGGGCCGACTCCATGAGCAAAGCCTGAACGACGCAGCTTCTGCCGTCGAACCCTTTTGGCAGGCACCACGTGCGAGTTCTATGACGGAGGGGGGAAGGGGACGCACCAAAAAGGTTGACCAGCACCTCATGCAGTTGGACGGCGGCCGTTCCCGCCCAGAGGCTCAGCGGGCTTGGTCACTCGATGTAGGGCATGTGGGTGATTCCTTCGTCTGATTTCCTCATTGCTGGCGAGAGAAGGGTGCTTGCTTGTTGTGGCAGAAACGGAGGCGGCACACCACCTTCGAGGGCACTGTGGTCCCGACGTAGAAGATACACCACCACTCGGGTTGGCCATGACGCAGTTGGTCGACAGATGTGACTTCTTGGTTTGAGCTTACAGGATCTGGCAAGAATGACTGCATGAACCCTGTGTCCCTGCACACCCACCAGATCTTCATAGTTTGCATGGCCTCACTATGGACCAGAGGCAAACATAGAACATTCGATGGAATGAGCGCCATTCCATGGGTAGTTGGCAGAAGTCCCTTCTTTCTGCCGTTCTAGGCAATGTGCAAGTTGATGTGTAAACCGCCCACGGAAACTTTTGAGCCAGGGAACAATAAGGCTCGGTATCTTGGGTTTCGTTTCGGCGGACCGTCTGGCATTATGCGACGCCTAGTCTGTCATGCAGGAGCCTCCTACTGTGCCCATATACCGAGACATGTCCCGACATTGGACGCAAAGTCCAGTCTGTTTACCGTCGCCCATCTTTCCTCCGAATATTCCAACATGAGCTGAGGGGCCCTGGTGGTGCGCTCTACAGATGATCGAGTAGCTTTTGGCTGCCACTGACTCTCCCGGGCATGGGTTGGCCAGGTCTGTTAGGGTAGGAAGATGAAGGATGAAGCATTGTCCAAAGACTCAACGTAGCAATCGGCAGGAGTTTGGCCACAAAACCCCAAGATTCGGTGTGGCGGCTTTGCCTTGATCGATATGAGTCGATCAAAGACGCCATGGCGCCTGGAGGTTGTTAAAGACGGAAGACACTGACGCCGACGTGACCATGCGTCGAACAACGGGACAAGCCAGGGGAGTAAGCTTTGGAAGGGTCAACGAGGCCCAGAACAAGCCGTCGATCGACGAGCGGTTCGTACTTTGCCTCGTCAAAGTCTGATAGTTTATCATGTTGCCCTCGCTTCTCGTTCACAAATGGCGCATTGTCTGGCGGGCGGCATGGGCTGTTGCGTCCCGCGTCGACTGGAAGCTGGCGGCAGAATGGACTGGGGAGATTTTGGCATGGAAGCCTGCGGGAGACGCAGGGCGAACAACCTTGGTGCCTGCCTCAGAATCTGAGACGGCGAAGCGCCCGTGTCACAGAATCGCCTGTTGTTAGCCACTTGCCTCAAGATTCCCTCATCTGAACGAATGAATACCTCACACCTCAATCACTGTTAACGACGGCATCACGGCAGGTATCACGCGCGATATACTTCGGCCAAAGGCACAGATGGAAGAGGCTCTGGGCGGCGGTCATCTTGTAGGCGACATGGTTTCGCTCCCACCTTCTCCCACATCTCTGACGGCTTCTTTCTACTGGTAGAGCACGGCCAAAGCTTGGACAGCCTGAAATAGCCCGGGGTAGCGATGCTAGCGCCCGACAATACATGGTTGCGGCGGAAGGCTAGCTGTCTTGGTCAGCGGAACGGTTCGGTTTCGACTTTCGATCCAGAACATGGCCGTCGCCTTGGTGGTCGTCGGCGCCGGGGGTTTGTTCTCGCATTTCCGATACGCCTGAATTTCTCGACATTGATATCGACAAGGACAGGTTATTGGAACCAAGTCGAGCGACGCAGCCCGAGTCTTTCTGCTTTGGCTTCCGACGGTTCAATGGGCGAAAACTGTGGAAGCTCAGAACGTCAGAGAAACGGTGCAGTATTAACGAGGAAGATGGCAAATGAATGCTTACCGCCGATTGACGTGGAGCACCGCGCTGGCCGCATGTATCTGCTACGCGGGGTATCCACGGTTCTCAAATCGCTACAGTAGCTGCTTGGGACTTATCGACGGCAGAGTGGATGCTTGTAATTGCAGTGTAGGGATACGACCGACAACGGCGTTGCGTAGACCCCTGGGCCCTGGATACCGAGAGAGTTTCTGGTGCCCCAACCCGACAAGGGGGCTTGAATTCACGATGTTTTGCCTTTGCGTCGTCCGTTTGACCACGGAGTCTGGGACCGCTCGCCAGCTTGCAGGAGTCTGCTTGGAAGCCCACGGGAAGATAAGCTTGAGAACCCCCTAACAATGGAGACCTCGAGGCTTCGTACGGACAGGAGACGCAGAGTCCACAGAGTCAATGGGAACAAAAAACTGGCTGGCTAATTCGGATCTTCAAAACAGATAATTGGTGGAGTGGTGATCGGACCAGCATCTCTGAGCGGCGGGGTCCAGACAAGCAGCACCCAGCAGATTTGCTGCCAGATATCAATGGTTTCCCTTAAAAGGCGTAAGCGGGTTTGAATGCCGAAATGATAAGTCGGGCCCGCCGTGGAAGCACGCGATTGCGTGCAGTCGATTGTAGATAAGCCGTATTAGAATCAACCAGGACCTGACTAGAATGTGATGAATTGAGTTTTTTTCCCTCTCTCTTTCCTCGTCGGTGTGATATCGGTCGTAATTTGGGAAATTATATGTGACATGGTCGTCGTTCGTTGGTTAGAGGTTCGGGTCGGGTGTGCGTGCTGCTGCTAAATTGACATTAGCGGACTCGGTCCCGGCTTCCTGGGGCCAGACTAGTGGATGTGAACCTTAGCTACTGTCGTTTGTGCCTGGCTTGGGGACAAAGGATCCATTGGCTGTTTTGTGTGTATTCGTCCCGTCTGTATCAGTATTCCACGTATCAAAAGGTACTTTATGTTTCCACGGATAGCTTGTCTGGTGCGTGAAAGAAGTTAGGTAGGCAGGGCGTGCCTACAGCGTAAGGTATTGCGTTGAAGCCTAATGGCATTCAATGTTTCTCGTCAAAGAGGACCAGACTTCCGTAAACACAAGGGCATTGTTCTGTCGAGCTCGGAGAAACTGTCCTTTTGGGAAAACCACGCAGTCGCGGCGGCATGTCTTGGGAAGAGAGAGGTGGAATGGTGTGGCTGCCGGGGGACTGTTGGACACGCGTTGAGGAACAAAGAATAAGGTACCTTACCTTCCGTCTCGCGCTAACCTAAGATCGATACATTGTCGAGGTACCTGCCATTTGGGGTGCCTGCCCCCCATCGATATTGGGGCAACCTGCGCTGCATCACGGCGGCGGGGAAAGGATATTGATTCGAACCAACGAGTTAGCGAGCACAGCACCCGCTGCAGAGAGCCACTTGGGGGTATTTGTATTCCAGGCTCTGATGCAGGCTGTCTCCGTTTCTCTCGTACTCCAATCTCGTCGCCCTCGTTCTGACCCTGTCATGCGGCTTGCGGCTTGCGGTGGGCCTGTCTGCCTCTCGACTCTCTGCCAATCTGCATTGCTTGGTGCCTCACTGCCTGCAAGTGCCAGGTGGGCTGTGTACTTTGACTTGCTCTGAGATTCTTGTAAAAGGTACGTGCTTGTCTCTCCATCGCGCTACAATAAGTCCAAAATCAACACCGGGGTGCAGATAAGATTAGACAGCAGTACTGACGAGCGACGCATTTTGCCCTCAAGGCACACAATCGATCAACGCTACCTTACCTCATGTACAGAGACTATCAGCGAAATGTATTGTAAGAAGTCATGATCGACAACCAGCCTCGCATAGCAGGCCATGCAAATGAAGCTGGCTGGTTGCAATTCTAATCAGAGGCAATTGGATTAATAGGCATGTCGACTGCAGCTTGGCCAGCGCCCCAGCCACATCCAGCTGCGCAACCTGCCCTAAGATACGCCTCCCGTTGGAGCACTGGGATCCTGCACCAACCGGGGCTATCTATCTTGGGAACTTGTCTCCAAAGCAGTCGGGCTGTTGTGCCAAATGTCCTTCTCGCCACAACCCCCCTCCTAGGCTTGACCACACCCCCCTGCTCCCGAACCCCTTGGCTCCCCTGCCGTGTGGCCCAAAACTGCCCACTCCTTAGGTACCTTAGGTACTGCACCCACGGTCCCAATCCACTTTTCCATCTTCGCTCCCTCCACACAAGTAGCCCACTCTCCCACTTGCCCGCCCACATCGTCCTTCCTCCCCAGATCATTCGTACCTTTGTCTCCTTCTCCCTCTTCCCTTCTCCAGGTCGAACAGGAGGAACTCGATCCTATTCACATCGCACAACCTCAACCAACTTCCTGAATGCACACTTGCACATAGGACACGACAAATCTTTACGACTTACTCCCATCTTCGTCCGATTCGATTTGATTCAAAGCCGTCGACCGAAATACCGCCTCCTTGCGACCTTACTTTAGGACCAATACAAGAACCCGTCAGGACACCGACTGAGCAGACTTGGGGACAATTGAGCAAGAGTGTTGGCAAGAAAGAAAGAGTCAGGAATCTATCGCATTACGCTCTCATCGGCACTTCGTTACGCTCATTCATGTCACTATTTCCGACCACGACTTTTGTCAACCAGTAGACGATGCCGCGCAACGACTTCATCTTACACTAGCCCACCCCGAACGCTTCTCGACGACACCCGGAAATCTCGGGCGCAACTCACCCTCTCAGTCGCCGCGTCTTGACGACGCCGGCTCGCTGGGTATCCCTACAGAAGCAGGTTTCTTCGAAGATAAACCGCCATCATGTTGCGACCGGCGACTCCCATGTCGGTGCTGCTCTTTGCGGCCTTCGCATTGCTTCTGCTGTCTACCCTATCGACCCCGATTATCAAGGCCATTCCGCTGGGCAGTTTTAAGGGAGCCAACTTTGGAGTCTTTGGAGTGTGTAAGGCAAACGGCGCTTGCGAAGGTCCTGAGATTGGCTATGACACGAGTAAGTAGTTCGACGTGGTGTACTGCTGACCCCCGAAATGGACCGTGGCTGACACTCTATAGCACGAGTTTTTGGAGCTGCGGACAGCAAGGGGGCCTTTGATCTTCCAGACTCTGCCCGAAACACCCTCTCCGCCATCTTGATCGTACATCCTGTCGCGGCTCTTGCGACCCTCATCATGTTTATCATGGCCGCCGTCGCTCACCTTCACTCACCCTCTCACTCAGCGAGATATCTTCTCGCCCTCTTCATCTTCTCCTTCATCGATTTCCTCATCTGTCTACTGGCCTTCCTCGTTGATGTTCTCCTCTTCGTCCCTCACATGGCATGGGGCTCATACATCGTTCTTGCTGCTACTATCCTCGTTGGAATGAGTGGTCTGGTCTCTTGTGCCATGCGCCGCATGCTGGTTAGCAGAAAGGCTAGGAAGAAGAGGATCGCTGAGAACGCCGAGATGAGCGGAGAGAACTACTACAACCGCGAAGCCCAGGTGAAGACTTCTGCATCAGTCGCCTCTCAGCCTGCTTTTCCCGTTGTCAGCGGTGGAAACGGCATTGACAAAATGCCGACTTTTGCCTCATTTGAATCTCAGAAGAAGGATGACCAGGTCAGCGATGAACGCATCCCTCTCACAGCAAGAAGTCCCGTCAATGGCTCTCAAGGCGTCATGACCGCAAGTGATGCTCCTCCTTCACGATCTGGCTCTGCTCCGCCGATCCAGAGAGATCCTTACGGAAACCCGATGCCGCCTCAAGATGGTTTTGGACCAAGGAGAGGGCCCTCGCAAGAACGCATGAGAGGCAGAGGCGGCATGCCTCCTGCAGGATTCAGAGGACGCGGTGGTGGTTATGGTGGCAGAGGTGGATACAATGGCTACGGCCCTCCGCCTCCAGGAAGAGGCGGCTATGGGCCTCCCGGGCGAGGAGGTTACGGTGGCCCCCCTCCCGGCGGTCGAGGCGGATATGGACCGCCACCGCCTCGGGGCGGTTTTGCACCAAACGGTATGAGAGGAGGCCGCCCACCTCCGCCGGGCTATCAGCCCGGGCCTGGCGGTCCCGGTGGTCCTGGACCTTACGATCGTCGACCCAACCCAGCCAACGGCTATGGCGGCCCCCCTCCCGGTGGCCCCTACGGAAGTCGTCCTATGGACATGGCTCCAAGTTACACCGGTGCGAACAACAGCACAAACCCATCCCTCCCATCTATCCCTCAGCAACAGCAGGGATATGAAGCCTACAACCCTGATCGTCAGAGCTTGCCGAGAGCTGAATCACCACCGCCTCTCCCTGGCCATGATGGACCCCCGCCGGTCGGTCACGCCGTTGAGATGGACGCATCTACAGGAAGCCCCGCCCAATCACCTCCGGGCTTCGGTCAGTTCCGTGACAGTGACGCTGACATCGCTGGCATGGTCGGACTTCAGCAGCAACAAAGCGGTGAAAACAGATCCCACCCGCAGCGACATGACACGTACATGAGTGAGGCAAGCAGGTACAGCCAAGACGAGTAAGTCCCTTGAACCTTGAAACTTTGAGAGAGAGCTATGCTGACCCGGAAAATTTAGTGCCTATGTCCCGCCTCGTCAGGCTTGGAACCAGAACCAGAGCTCATCGCGCACGGCGTCTCCGCTGCAACAGCAACACTCTGCTGAGATGCTTAATCGAAGCTCGCCTGCGCCAGCAGCCAGTGACTATTACGAAGATGTCGATCCGCGCTTCGCGGACGCGCCAGCACCGGCACCGGCTCCCAGAGCAGGTCCCCCGCCTGGCCTTCAGGTACCTCTACCCGCGCCCAATATGTATGATGACGCTCATGCGGATGCCGGTGCACGTAGTCCTGGCGCCGAGTCTGATCTCTCCAACTTTACCTCGATATCCCAGAGAGGGGTTAACCCGAGGTGGAATCCTGCGCCGCCTATGCCAGGTTATGGTCAGCCGATGCCGCCTCGACGGCCCGTCCAACAGCGACGGCAAGACATGCTGTTGAACAACAATCCCGACTTTGAGCTTCCTGGCAGTCGGTTCGGTCCCCCATCCAGAGCAGGAGGCACCGGCATGATACCCGGCAGTGCATACCCGCAAGGCCTCTAATTACAATTTCCTCCCGTCACTCGACTGTAATTGGTTCTTTTCCGTCAGTCGAGTCAATTCGCCAAGTATATAAACCAATCTTGGGATGCCTGGCATTTCATTTCTCAACCTTCCTTGAACAACACGAGTCGCAATTTTCGAGTCTCAGCACAGGCTCATGATGTTTTCACAGTCATGTCCTTCAGCCGATACCCCAAGCAACATTCAATTCTCGTCCGCCCAGTACATACATCGGACTCGTGGATTCCTTTGAAACGGGCATTCTCTTTTTTTCAATGCTCCATTGCGTCGAAGCAGGGTGGATACAGAGGTGTTTCAACTCTAGCATTCACCAAAACTTGTCCCGAGTCGCCTCTTACAAACGCACGGGCCTTTTGGCCCTTTTTCCTTTTCTAGATGATTCAGGGGTTGCACTCCATGGCTCATCGATACCGTTGCCTACTAGGGCAGCCAACTCTTGGATCATTTCTGATTTCTCAAGCTCGACGATCCAACAAAACATGTGGGATATGATAGAACCCTGTTGAAGCATGTGTAGGTTATCTGGTCGCGGTTGATTACGACCTTTTTTGATGAGCGGTTTCATGGCGGAGTGTGTGGATATGATTGAAGCAAATGGTTCAAGCTCGTCGGCTAGGCTCTTGAACTGCCCTTCAACTATCCTGCATGTGACGAGGAAGATACGGGTTGAGGAAAGCTGAGTTTCGTCGCGGTTGGCGGTTGACCCGCGTCGTTCGCTGCCAGTGCGTGCAAGACCAGAGTACCACAGGAAGGGTGGTTGCAGAGAGAATACAAGAGATGACACTATTCTTTTACGCTATCCCATGAACAGTGACCTCCATTTATGTCTCCCGTCAACGCCGCATGACAAATCTGTCACTGGTGAGAATTGTAGTAACTTGGATAAGCCAGTGTAATTGAAGGCTCTCGGAGTTTGGCTCACAACCGGCCTAGTCATCCGGAGCATCCTGGAGAGCTGATCTCCAGCTCCCTTATTCACATGGTAGGCCTTGGCAGTTCTTTGCTGATCAAGCTTACAAGCAAATACGGGCCGAATCAGTTAGCGTTTGGACCGGATCACAATGACTTTTCATGCGTGCTACCAGCGGATAGGGCTGCCAGGCGTCCCTCAAGATCTGCACATCAGGCCATCTTACGGACGCAGGCGGCCGTGATAGAGTTTAGAGGGGGATCAAGAGGCAACAAACACCCGAGATCAAGATGGTCTAGACTGAAACACTTCCCAGCTCGAATGGCTACCTATGGCCCGCATCACCTTAAGCCTTTTGACCTAATCTGTCAATAGGTGCGGTGCGACGGAGAGAGCGAGGGCGGGGAGGCGGGAACCGATGGGCGCCTCCTATCCACACGTCGGACGCCTAGCGGGATGGTATCGATGCTGCTTGATTAGGTTTAGCCTTGTGGTGCAAGTGAGAGGTAGGCAAGCCGAAGCTGGAGATGGGTCGTGGTGGATGTCAAGGTACCTACGCGGGGCTAAGGCAACCTGTCAGGAGGGGAGGTTGAAGCCCTAGGTTGGTGACACGAGAACCCAGAAGGAGGAGAACAAGCCACCCCCAACCTTAATTCTTGACTCCTTATTCGGGCATAGAAGATTCAGTTGAGATTCTCTAGTCAGACAAGCAGGTAAGGCAAGCTAGATGGAGCGACAACCAAATGCAGCGGTTTTGACTTCGGAGGTCCTTTTGGTTTCTCATTTCGAGGATCCTTCTTTCGACGTTTCAATACCTAGCGTAGATCCCGTGGCGTAATCTGCGAGACGATTGGCTGGGGATTCTTGATATTCGAGAGAGAGACGGAATGGAGAAAGCTTTTCCCAACTCTGCTTAACGCGGGGATGGCAAGAGAGAGAGAGATATTCTTGCTCGCTCATTGGGCCGGGGAACGAAGGAAGGAGGAGGGAATAGGGGGCGATCGGGGATTGTGTAACCCGAGGCTGGGAACCTTTGATCGTTGCGTTCTATGGAGATTGTGGCTGTTGTTGCATATGCGAACTCTTTTGTATGTTTCGTTGGAGCGTTGAAGTTTTGGTCAGTTTGTAGGTAGGGCGGCAGCGGTTTTTGCCGTTGGCAATAGTGGATGGAATAGGAGGGGGGGTTAGATTTCTTGATGCGCTTAGGTTACTTTCTTGCCCATGGGTCCAATGGGAAGAGACGCACCCATTCATGGTGGGAAGAGAGATGATGACAAGTCGCAGGCTGCGGGCCATCAGGGGTGGAGGATGGATCGAGGACATCTAGGTCAACAGGCTGAAAAGCTTCTTTGAATATAAGACTCGAGTACCTCGCATGCCTTGTCGGAGAGATGAATCAAAGTCGACTATGACTTTGGTATCATTTCGTCCTAACAACTTTTTCGTCGGAATATTCACATTCACTCTCATCCTTAATCCGTCTTTGTCCCATATTCCGACTCCGGACGACAACATGTATGCCACCGGTATTGTGCGTTCTCCCAAGCACCTCATCGACAGAATGAACCTTGAAAAGCATGACCACTACGTCGTCTGCTTTGCCACTATCACACGCAATAGCCCCGGGCATCCATCCAACAGAACGACGGCGACCGAAGGGGATGTGTGTCGATATCACCTGTGGGTGTTCGACGCTCCGCCGCTTGTCCTCCCTGCGCTTGAGGAAGACCTTATCGTTCTGAATGGTCCTAGCAACATCAAGATCAGATTGAGTGGCTTCGAGAAAGGAGTCCCGACAGGATGGTTGGAGAGGATTACCGATAACCTAAGAGCTCGCATACAGGCTTCTTACTAGGTAGGTACTGATATGCTCTTCTCCTTATTCCGCATTGGCTAGGCAGGGCGGCGGCTGGGACTTTGACTTTCCCAACGGGTTGCCTTGCAACCTTGCTGGCGATGTCTTCCTTGGCGTCAAGTTTCCTTGGTTGCTCTGCTGCGGAAGAGACCGAAGAGAGCGAGGCTGAGATGGAGGGACTGTCCTGGAGGTTTTTTACGCGACTCCTGCCTCACTCTCCCTTCGCTGTCTTTGTCTTACCTGGCCATCTGCGTATATCTATTTCTGAGGCGGAAGGAAGTAGCGCCTTGAGTTGGCTCATCGCCTCGGCGAGGCTCATGCCTTCCCGCTTCACCTTCAATTCACCTGCAACGCTGCCTGCACCTCCCACCCGCGCCTCGTTCCTCCCCGGTCTGGTAAAAATCCACGAGCGCGCCTTCCATCCGACATTCAGACCGCGACCTTCCACTCAGGTCCCCTACGCACCCAAAGTTCCTGCCTTCCACAGCATCAACCCCGGGCACCTCCTCTTGACCCTTCATCCCCTCCTCCTCTCGTCTTCCCTCCATCTATCCTCCGAACCATCAATTCGCCCCCTTCAACTTGCAAATTTCGTCAACATCCGCTGTGTCACAGCTTCACCCCCGTCTCAACTTCCAGACGAGATGACCTGAGGCTGCTACATCTAAAGCAGTTGGCACCATCCTTTTCTTGATTCCTTCCTCAGTCTCATCATCAATCGTTCCTTCATCCGCCACAGCAGCAGCAGCACCACAGCACTCCTTTGGATGCTCCCCGTCTGAGCCATATTCTCCCCGACTGGATCAACAGCAGAGCACATCGTCTTTGGCCAACGCTTATCCATATCAGGGTTCCCGATTTTTGTTGGATGCTTCCAAGTATTGCGGATGCCTCTGAATCTCAACATGGACCATCTATCTTCCTCCTCGTCGTCGGCGGCGGGCACTACGACCTATACCCGGCAATCTGTCAGCACCTTCCAACAGGATGTTCCTAAGCAAACCTACACGACCGCTGGTACCATCTACAACCCCAGCAGCGCTCAGCCGCTCCAGCCTCCTGTCCGTCGCGGCCGCACTCTCAAGTGGCCTCCCCCAGGAGTTGCTGCCTCGGAGCTGTCCCTCTTTCCCAAGTCAGTCCTTGCTGGCTTGCCTATCAAGTCACAGAATCTCGTCACCACGCCCACCAGTCCTCGCCCACCTCAAATCCCCAAATACTCGCCTCTTCAGCAGAACTACGACCGCGCTGTCAGCCCCCTCACCGAGAATAGCCTTGAGTCTCCGAATGAATTGGACGGTCAAAGACTTTCATCTTCATCTCTCATGTCGTCTTACAACATGGATAGCAACCAAACCTCGCCGGTTGCTGCCGTCATACCCACTTCTGTCGTGAACAAGCATGCCGATGCCAACTCGAGCGACGATGAAGATGATGAGAGCTTTGGCGAGAACCCTCTCCGGGGCCTGACTGTCAAGTCTCTCCACAACCTGGCCTCGTACCCCAACCCGAACCAGAAGAGAGCTCAGAGGGCGCTTCTTCGTGCTCGGCCGGGTGCCACGCCGGCTCCCTCTGCTGGCAACATCAGCCGCACGGCCACCCCGTCTTACGGAGCCCAGGCCTTTGAGGGTTTCGATATAGGAAATGACGGCTCACATTCTCCTGGTCTGTTTCGTTCTGCCAAGACTGACCCGAACGAAATCCTCAAGATGAAAGCCGATAGATCGGTCCATGACCTTGATAACTCCTGGCGCATCAACTGCACAACTCCGCCCCCGGGTCTCTTCCCAGCTGCCAACATCCAGAGAAATCTTTCGCATGCAGCGTACAAGTCTACTCTTGCAACTGGCCCAGGTGCCCCTCGCCCCTTGACTGCAGGCCCTCCCGGCCAGCGACAGTATCGAACTTCGACGTTTGAAACTACAATCAAGGCCCTCAACAACGGCCTCAAAGAGATGCCAGTCGACGGACCCATGTTCGACGATGCTCACCAGGCACCCCCGTGCCTACAGAAGAACATGACGCTCGATGCTTTGAGGTTCTCGGGCACAGAGACACCCTCTCATCTTACAAGCAAGCTCCCTTCCCTTCTCTGCGGCTCGACGCCCGACACAGACGACTGCTACCAAGACGCCGTCGATGAGTCGAGAAACCTGTCTGATGTGGACATGGAGAAGATTCTGGAGTACATCAAGCTTGGACAGAATATGAACGAAGCCACGAGCCGTGCTCAGGCTGCATCCGCCATGCCCATAGTGTCTGGTGATGACTGGCAAGCCGATCACCCCAAGGCCGCTCGGCCTCCCTGGACGAACGGTACGTGGGCCATCACAGTAGATGCGCTCCGGAAACGCAACGAGAGAACCAGCCAGCTATTTTATGCAGGCACGGGTGCGCTTGGCAAATCGATGGAATCTGTTGCCCAGGATTCAGAATTCCGCAGTTTCAAGCGCCAGGTTGGTGTCATTGGTGACCGACGACCCAAGGTCAAGCCTGAGAAGGTTGAGTACCCGCCCATTTCGGTTCACCAGGTGAGCAACATGCCGGCCCCGGAGGCAGCAGCGCCCCTCATCACTTTGGCCTACTCTGCGCTGGTGAACCACGAGGAAGGAGTGCACAATCATCCTCAGTTTCATCAGTGGAAAGACCCGGAGCCACACATGGTCGACACGTCTACTCAGGGGCTCCGATCGGTGTTTGGACAGTGATGGATAGATTTCGTGGAGGTTTCCGTCAGTCAGTCATCTTCTGCTTCGTTAGCACCGTCGCTTGGATGGGGACCTGGTTTGGGCCCCTTGGTGTGGATTACCTGGGGAAACATTTTGGGATTGGGGAGGATATCTAACAGAGCAACAACCCCTACTACATAGCTTAGAGGGGACACGAAGCAAGCTGTCCGTGGGGTGTTTGCTGAATTCTGGCCATTACACAGGACAGCAAAGGTGGTCATCAGTCTTTCCCACTTTATCATTCTCAGATAGGCAACCAAAAGTTTAGGTATCTTCAAACTGCTCTCCTTTTTCTAGGAAGTTTTGTGATGACGTTGCATAATATGGAATATTGGCATCAACTGAATTCTGAAGATCAGGACTGGACATGATCGATGGATCATGTGTAATTGGACCGAAAGGGTATGTATCAATGGACACAAGCTACCCTTGAAGCCAGATAAGAAAGACGCGACGTGGAAGTGAAGTGTGGCTCCATGTCACGTGCAGAGACCCCACACCCATGTTCGCAACGCTACCCACCGGTCATCAGTAGCAGCCAACTGTCCCAATCGAAGTCACCGACGCCGACCTCAAGCAGTCCGCCAAAAAACCGCTGCCCAACATGAGCTACGGCAAGAAAGACGAAGATGCGGATTTGGGCCTGGTCAAGGTGGATAGGACCCAGGTTTTCCAAGAAGGTGAGTTTCTGGCGGAATTGCATCCCATCCTCTGCATCCCTCTGGAACCCCTTCAAGCATTGGCGGCGAGCAAGCTGGCTAAAATAGAGTGAACAGCACGACTATTCAATAGCTCCCCCATTCAGCCGCGAAGATGTCGAATCCTCCTTACCAAGATCGCCCTTCTGCTCTACACGGGCGAGAAGTTCCCCACGAACGAAGCGACGACCCTCTTCTTTGGCATCTCGAAGCTGTTCCAGAATAAAGATGCCAGCCTGCGACAGATGGTCCACCTCGTCATCAAGGAGCTGGCTCACTCGGCCGAGGATATTATCATGGTCACCAGCACCATCATGAAGGACACTGGAGGCAGCACCGATGCCATCTTCCGACCCAACGCCATCAGGGCCCTGTGCCGCATTATCGATGTACGCCGAAGCTGTGAGCTTTGCCGAAGGGAGAGGATAGTATGCTAACTAGCTATCAGGCGACCACAGTCCAGTCCATTGAGCGTGTTATGAAGACGGCAATCGTCGACAAGAACCCCTCCGTATCGTCCGCGGCCCTCATTTCCTCTTACCACCTCCTCCCGATCGCCAAGGATGTCGTCCGCCGTTGGCAGAGCGAGACTCAGGAAGCTGCAGCCTCCACCAAGTCCTCCAGCGGGTTCTCCCTGGGCTTTTCCTCTTCGAGCGGCCAATTGCCTGCCAACAATTCTACCATGCCCCAGTACCACGCCATCGGCCTGCTATACTCGATGCGCATGCACGACCGCATGGCGCTCGTCAAGATGGTGCAGCAATTCGGTGCCGCCGGCGCTGTGAAGAGCTCTGCCGCGATCGTCATGCTCGTCCGTCTGGCCGCCCAGCTCGCCGAGGAGGACCCGTCGCTCAGAAAGCCCATGATGCAGCTGCTGGATGGTTGGTTGCGCCACAAGAGCGAGATGGTCAACTTTGAGGCCGCCAAGGCAATCTGCGATATGCGAGATGTTACCGACGCCGAGGTCTCTCAGGCTGTACACGTTCTCCAGCTCTTCCTCACCTCCCCTCGTGCCGTCACCAAGTTCGCCGCTCTCCGCATCCTCCACAACTTCGCCTCCTTCAAGCCCAACGCCGTAAATGTCTGCAACCCCGACATTGAGCTCCTGATCTCCAACAGCAACCGATCCATTGCCACATTTGCCATCACCACTCTGCTCAAGACGGGTAACGAGGCTAGCGTTGATCGCTTGATGAAGCAGATTTCTGGTTTCATGTCCGAGATCACGGACGAGTTCAAGATTACTATTGTCGAGGCCATCCGCACGCTGTGCTTGAAGTTCCCCAGCAAGCAGGCTGGTATGCTTGCTTTCCTGAGTGGCATCCTCCGCGACGAGGGTGGTTACGAGTTCAAGCGCGCCGTCGTCGAGAGCATGTTTGACTTGATCAAGTTTGTTCCAGAATCCAAGGAGGATGCGCTCGCCCATCTCTGCGAGTTTATCGAGGACTGCGAGTTCACCAAGCTGGCGGTTAGAATCCTGCATCTGCTCGGTCTCGAGGGACCCAAGACTTCTCAGCCCACCAAGTATATCCGTTACATCTATAACAGGGTGGTTCTCGAGAACGCTATTGTGCGTGCTGCTGCTGTTACTGCTCTCGCTAAGTTTGGTGTCGGCCAGAAGGATCCCGAAGTCAAGCGCAGTGTCGAGGTTCTTCTTACAAGATGCTTGGATGATGTCGACGATGAAGTCAGAGATCGTGCTGCTCTCAACCTTAGACTCATGCACCAGGAGGATGAGATCTCGGAGAAGTTTGTCAAGAATGGTATGTTTGTTGTAAAGCGCCGTGAGAGAACTCTGACTGACCACTTTGCAGACAGCATGTTTTCTCTGCCGTACTTTGAGCACCAGCTCGTCATGTACGTCACGTCGGAGGACAAGTCCGCATTTGATAGTCCCTTCGATATCTCGCAGATCCCTGTCGTTACTCGCGAGCAGGCAGATGCAGAGGACCGGACGAAGAAGCTTACAGCGACTGCCCCGTCTCTCAAGCCTCCCAAGGTGGGTCCTACAAAGGCCGCTGCAGGTGGCGCAGAGGCTGCTGCATCGGCAACTGCGGCTTCTCAGCGATACGCCCAGGAATTGATGCAGATCCCCGAGATGAAGGAGTTTGGCAGCGTGCTCAAGTCATCGCCCGTTGTCGAGCTTACCGAATCAGAGATGGAGTACGTCGTTACCGTCGTGAAGCACATTTTCAAGGAGCATATTGTTTTCCAGTATGAGGTCAAGAACACGCTGGATGCGACCGTCCTTGAAAACGTCTCCATCGTTGCGACGCCTTCGGAAGAAGAGGATCTCGAGGAAGTATTCATCATCCAAGCTGACAAGCTTCCTACAAACGAGCCGGGCAAGTTGTATGTTGCTTTCAAGAAGGTCAACGGTGAGGGATCCATGCCGGTTAGCAGCATCTCCAACGTGCTCAAGTTCACGAGCAAGGAGATTGACCCCACGACAAATGAGCCGGAGGACACTGGCTACGACGACGAGTACGAGGTGGCCGAGTTTGACCTCTCAGGGAGTGACTACGTTATTCCGACGTTCGCTAGCAACTTCAACCACATCTGGGAGCAGGTGGGCGCGGCTGGCGAGGAGGCCGAAGAGACTTTGCAGCTCAGCAGCATGAAGAGCATAGCAGGTGAGTACTCGTTGCGCGAATTCGTCATGAGTCGAGCTAACAACGATACACAGAGGCAACGGAAGAACTGGCAAAGGTCTTGTCACTGCAACCCCTGGAGGGTACGGATGTGCCCGTCAACCAGACGACACATACCCTCAAGTTGCTTGGCAAGACTGTTGGCGGTGGCAAAGTGGTGGCCAACGTCCGGATGGCGTTCTCGTCCAAGTCTGGTGTGACGACCAAGATCACGGTCCGCAGCGAGGAGGAGGGCGTAGCGTCGCTTGTTGTTGCATCAGTTGCTTAAGGAAGGCAGTTGTTTGGAGTTTTGTGGGATCGATACATGGTCGGACATTCCAAGCCAAGACGCACGTACGGCAGCACAAGGAGACAAGGACTTTGATTCTAGTCCAAGGTACTCCACCCAGCAGCCGCCACCATAGTAGCTGGGGTTTGTCAAGCAGGAGTTAGAGCGCATTAGCGTGCGCGTAAAAGGACTGGCGGCTTGCGTATAAGTAGAATGAAGACATGAAAAAGCATCACGAAGCACTGGCGGGTTCATGCGTGAAGTGGGATGTGTGATGAGGAACTAAGACAGTAGTACTATAGCTCGTCTGCTGCGAGCCACCGCTGTTGCTAACGTATGGTCTTTGACGACTCGGGAGCTGTTCATGGGTAAGATGCGTAAAGAAGTAGCTCAACGCCCGAACCCTGTCAGGATCCAGCCGCATGTTCAGTTGATCGACGTAGAGCGGAGCTGGTGCTGGTGCTGAAATTGGGCTTATTAACGATTGATACTGGGGGTGCTTGAAACGTGTGGCACGGGCCATAAGGCTAATCCCCAAGAGGACTGGTTGGGCTTTTGGAACTTCTAGAGCTCGGGGGCCCGGGAAAAATGACGTTCGGTGACGGAGTTCTCTGCGTGTGCGCTCAAGCTGAGCTGTCCAAGGAAGGGTTTAAAAAAAAATTAGCTTGGTCCTTTCGGCGCGACACGGCGGCCACGCGACGTTTTCGATGTTACCACATGTCAAGTTCTCCAACCCTTTGCTCTCATTCGACCTGCTCAACGCAACTTGACTCTGTCGGTCAGGAAACCTCTTCACTTGTCACGGGAGAACCTTGACTAGCCAAAGTCTCTACAGTCTACGCGTCTCCACATGCTCTTTGGAAGCTCACACCATCGCGCATAACCTGATCCACCACCCCGCCGAAAGAGAGTCCTCGACCAACCCCGGTTTGAAGCCATCGTCACCGCTTGAGGACTGGACCGACGTACGGATACCTTTCGGACCCATACACTGGTCCTACAGCGCTCTTTCTTGTCTTCCCCGGGACCCGCGTGGAGTCCGATCCGCCAGACAACAGGAAAGGAAAAACTAAAAAGCTTCCCGACAACAAAAGGAACAGCACGACAGCAAACAAACATCCGCGGCGCTCTGCACACCTTTTCCCAACTACGTATTCTCGAGGGTTGAACCGTCAACCAGGGCAGGAACACACAAATTCTGTTGCTCAAGAACTCAAAACAGTCGCTGCAACCAACATTCGCCCAAGATGGTCTACGTGCGCCAGGAACGCCTGCCGGCGCTCAAAGAGTACAAGTACTCAGCCGTCGACCGTTCCCTGACTTCAAAGTACATCCTGAAGCCTTTTTACACAAACGTCGTGATCAAGATGTTCCCCATGAGCATGGCGCCGAACCTCATCACGCTGACGGGCTTCACCTTTGTCATTGCAAACGTGCTGACGCTGCTCTGGTACAACCCGACTCTGGACCAGGACTGCCCCAGCTGGGTGTACTACTCGTGGGCCGTCGGCCTGTTCCTATACCAGACTTTTGATGCCGTGGACGGATCACAGGCGTAAGTAGCTTTTCCTTTCTGGTCCGTCTCCGGGCTCAAGATTGAGAGAGAGAGAGAGAGAGAGAGAGGACAAGAAGCTAACGTGGGAATGTTTGCGAAACAGTCGACGAACGCACCAGTCCGGACCGCTCGGCGAGCTTTTTGACCACGGCGTCGACGCGCTCAACACCTCCCTCGAGGTTCTCGTCTTCGCCGCATCACAAAATATGGGACAGAGCTGGATGACGGTTGCCGTCCTCTTCTCTTGTACGTATCTTCTCGCGCGTCTCAGCGCAGCCCGTGAAGTGAAAAAAAGAAAGAAAAAAAGGCTAACATAACTTGCCTTCTTCTCCGTTCACAGCCCTCCTCACTTTCTACGTCCAGACCTGGGACGAGTACCACACAAAGACCCTGACCCTCGGCATCGTCAACGGGCCCGTCGAAGGCGTCCTCATCCTCGTCGGCGTCTATGCCCTGACCGGCTACATGGGCGGCGCCTCCTTCTGGCAGCAGTCCATGCTCCGCACCTTTGGCGTCTCGGAGAAGCTGGGTGTCCCCGCTGCCCTCTACGAGCTGTCCTTCACGCAGTGGTACATGGTCCAGGGCTCCTTCGTCCTCGTCCTCAACACCATCGAGTCGGCGCGCAACGTCATCCAGGCCCGCCGCGCCCGCGGTGACCGCTCCCGCGGCGCGCTGCTGGGCCTCGTCCCCTTCTTCGGCATGTGGGTGCTCATCATCTCCTACCTGCTCCTCAACCCGGCCATCCTGCATTCTCACCTCGTGCCCTTTGTCATGTTCGCCGGTGTCGTGAACGCCTACTCCGTCGGCCAGATGATCACGGCCCACCTAGTCAAACTCGACTTTCCCTACTGGAACGTCCTCGGTCTGCCGCTCGCGTTTGGCGTCGGCGACGCGCTGGGCCCCGTCCTGCAGCGCAACTTTGGCTTCGGGTGGCCCAGCGCCCTGGGCGACGGCGTCTACCAGGTCGCCTTCATGTTTTTGATGCTCGGCATGGCTATCGGCGTGTACGGCAGCTTCGTGGTGGACGTCATTGTCACCATCTGCGATTACCTTGATATCTGGTGCCTGACGATCAAGCACCCGTGGGTCGAGGGCAAAGAGAGCAACGGCAACGCCCAGGTCAGCGGCAAGAAGTCGCAGTAATGGGGGAAACCAGCGGGTGCAGCCCTTAACCAGCCTTTGCTACGCATTGCACGGCTTGAGGTTGTGTAATCCACAGCAAAATAAACCTCTCCCGGCAGCTGGTTGTAGTCCAGGAGCCGACGGGGAAGTTGCGAGGTTAGGATTGAAGCGATCAGGAAGGCTGCAGTTTTTCATGTTATGCTCGGATCCTGACGACCTTTACCAGAAGAGGGGGAACATGAGGGATGACATGAGAGAAAAGCATCTCTCTCGTAAAGAAACATGAACTCTCATGGCCGGTTTCTGCAAAGTTTTCTTTCACTTCCCTTTTTCTGTTTTGTTTTTGCCATCGCATTTTCGCATTTTCGGTCATCGGCAGGAGATGCTTGACTCGACCTCCATTGCCCCACGATAGCCGCAGTGACCCTCAATGAGTGGGGATGGACGGAGGCTCAATACGACATGACAGGTATAGGTGATGATGACAGGCGGGAATGCCGGCCGGCTTTTCCATTTTCCTTGCTGGGGATCGGTCTGTTCTTGGGACGGACGGACGGACGGACGGGGCGGGGGCAGGGCAAAAAAAAAAAGTAACGATGTGACGGAAGTTTGTGTTGTTTTTTACCATGTCGCTTTTGTTTCGTGCTTCTCTTTGCGGCGGCAGCTTGCCTTTTACAGTTTGTTACTTCTTCATCTCCTTGTTTCGTTTCTCTGGAGTTCCAATCCCCTTTTTCTTGGCATCTGTCCTCTGGGAGTTGAGGGTGGTGTGCGTACCGGACCAAACGCATAACAGAGCAAGTGAGGGGAGACTCGACATTGGGGTTGTCTGTCTATTTTCTTCATCCAACGTCGGTTATCGATTACCGGTTCCCGATATGGATATGTAGTTGTTCCGCCTCACTTCATTCGTGAGCCGGGAAGGGGTGAGGGGGGGGGGGAGGGCCGGTTGGTTATATCAATTTCCCCTGTATTTGGGCATAATGCGTGAGCAAGCTTAGATGACATACCAACCTAATTTCTAAACACTTGAGCCCCTCCTTTTCCGTTGCTGCCTGACACTTTGGAGTGTCACGACTCAATATGTAGATAGGAACTGCAATTGAATCAGCTTACATTGAGTCTCCAAACCCGTTTGGGTATCAAATCAGCGAATTTTTGCGAGCAAGGCAGGAAAAGCAGGCACGGCAAATAAAGCACCTGAGGTAGTGAAAGGAAGAAAGTCCAAGGCCCCGATAAAGGGACCCCGGGAAATGCAAAGGAGGGGCGGGGGGGCGGATATCAATGTAATCATCGATCGAATAAAGGATCGGGGAAAGCAAGGGTTAAACAGGATGGCCACACCAGAAACAACCAGACTGCCCGCACTACCTGACCTTGCCTCTTCCCCAATCCCCCATCCACGGAACGGGCAACACGGTAAGAGAAAACCCCATTGGCGGCAAATAAGAGTTGCAGCCCAGGCGGCGGAACCCCGCCTGCTTGCGCCCGCCGTTCGCCCCAAACTCCGAAGCGACCACGGCAGACGTGAATGTGTGGATGGATGAGTCTAGACGCCGCAGACCGATATTCTTTACCAAGCTACCAAGCAAAAAGGGCGTGCACTGTGCCATTATAACACGGGGGAGAATGGGCGCTGAACAGGCGAGAAAACATCTGAGGTGGAAACATTGCATACATCGAGATAATGTCATGATTTCTTATCAACGAAAACAATACTCGCATCCAAAGAAACCCAATCATGCCATCCCGCAAGAACGTATCTCCTGCCGAATTCTCCGTGGCGTGGACCAGGCTGTCAGTAGCCTTTCCTCCGTCGCTAGAAAAACCTCTTTGATGAAACAGATTTCAGAGTGACCCCAAATAGCATGCACATTGTCCAGAGAAAAAAAATCACATTCTCCAACATACCGAAAAGGCAACCACTTGCCCTCAGGTCGTGGGCGCTTCCTCTGGCGTTACCCGATGATGACCAACATGCTCCTTAGCCCATAAACCTGCCGGCGACGACATCTCTATTGCTTCGGTCGTGTCGTCGCTGTGCAGCGCCGTTTGTATTTCCCTGTGTAAAAAGACGCCGTGTCGTCTAGTAGAAAGGATTTGTCACGTCATATACCTCATGCTCTCGGCACTGCCACGTCAAATAGCGTTGCAAATGAATGGCCATGATGCAAAACAGGACGAGCCCTGATACTATTCGACGTTTTAGCAGGCATTTCCCCCTCCATTTGTTTGACTCCGTTTAACCAAACGCCGAACCGTTATGTCCGTGAGTGCTGCACGTCGCTTACAAAGCGCATCCCTCGGATCCCGCGGTTGAGGTTCCCTGACTAGAGCAGCTCGTCACTCCCGCTCGCAACGCTGCCTTCGATGGCGTCGATAATGCAGCGCTCCGAAAAGACGGGCCCCTGACCGTCGCACCGCGCTTGGTTCTTGAGTCTTTCACTCACGTCACCGACATCCACCAGACCTCTCTTAAATAACGGGTGGCTGATAATGAAGTCCCACGTAGCGCCCGCCGCCAGCAACCGCTCTCCGTCTGATGAGATGGCAACTCGATGACTCGGTGTCTTGTTATTATGCGGCGCTAGCAGGTCTGTGTAGAAGTCTTTCGGATTGTAGTTCATGGGACCTGTTGTCCGGGGCTCTGGTGATGCCGAGCTGTGGTGGCCGTTCAAGGAAGAGGTGGCGCGGAGGATCTCGTTTTCGGTGCTAATCTTCTGCATCTCACGCTTGAGTCGTTCATTTTCAGTCGACTTTTGCTGAGCTTCCGCCTCTAGGTTCGCAAGCTTGGCCTCCAGGTCCTTGACGTGTCTCTCTTTTCGTTCCCGAAATGCTCGCTGCCTGTGACGCGGGTTCCATGTTAGCGATACGGAGGAGCGTGAAACACCATGCGGCTTGATATCATGGACACAGAGAGCAGATGAACAACGTACGCGGCGCGGTTCTGTGCTTTCCTCCTCGACTGGGCGGGCGTCATATTTTCTTCATCGTCCGAATTTGACTGCCCCCGGCGAGAATGGTCGTCGAGGGGCTCCTGCTTGTGAATGAGAGCATCGGGCTGAGCCTTGATCTGCTGGACCGGGGGAGCGCTCATCCCATTGTGTTGCGGCCGTTGCTGCTGTACGGGTTGCTGCACGGGTAGGCCATGGTTCGGGGGTGTCGGAGGGCCAGGAGGACCGGGGAATGATGTGTGCTGGGGATTGAACTGGGCGGCACCGTAGTTATCAAAGTTATTGAAGTGCTGCTGGTCACTGGGATATTCGCCATAGACATCCTGATCGGTCATGGTTGTGTAAGTGCAGGTCGCAGTACGCTAAGCAGCAATCCACCAGTGACCGGTGGGTATTCGGGGCTCAAGACGGGAAACGAATCCCGTCTGGACTTGACTTACCGGTGGAGATGTTGTATTGAAGTCGTCTGAACCTGCCGAGTTGGAATGGGATGGCGTTAGGGGCGGAATGCCCATGAACTGGTAAGGCTGCGCTTGCGCGAAATATTGGTGAGAAAAGTCCATGGTCGCGATCCTGCTTTGAACGGGTGTTGAACGACGTTGTTGGTATGGTATGGAAAGAATGGAAAAACGGCGGAAGACAAGTGGGAAGCGGATAGGTGTGTCCTGATGAGGGTCCAGGTCCAGGTCTAGTTCAGGTGCAGAGGGGGAGGGGGCGTGTAAGAACTGAGGAGGAGTCGGAGGAGGGGAGGGGGGGGGCGGAGGCGGCGGCGCAGATTGGAGAGGGTCGAAGTCAAGGTTGAGGTGCCGGGAGAAAAGTGCCAGTAACGTCCACAGGAGGCTAGTGCCCCCAGGCGACAAGGCGAGATGGCACTGTTTACTACGTAGAGGATGGGACGAGTAGGTGGGTACCTATGGGTGGCTCGGGGCGCAGGGAGGGTCTTGCGAGCAGTCTGGAATGCTGTTTGCAAGAGGCAGAAGAGAGAGAGAGAGCAAGAGAATGAGATTGAGAGAGAAAGAGAATGAGAGAGAGAAGGCGGAAGAGGATCGAGGACGTAAGTGAACCCGGCTGTTTTCAAAGGGTTATCGTCCTATGGTTGTGTTGCTCGCCAAAGCTCAATTAGAGCGTAGATGGTGGTGTACAACGAGGAGGAAGAGTCTCTTATGGTTCCTATGTCCTGTGCTCGAGGAGAAGACGACGTCGAGTAAGGTGCACACAAGCACAGCCCAGGATAGGATAGGGCGATAGGCGTGGAGCACTGGACACTGGAGCTGGTTCCAGACGCTAAGGCTCGGCAGGTTAGTGCAGGACCCTTTGATGATGAACAACGCAGGAGAAGCCGAGTCGACCGGGGTTGGCGAGAGGTTGATGCTTCCGACGCACTTTTGGACGCTACCTTACCTGAGGCACTATACAGGCAGATGTAGGGCGTGCGGGACGTCAAGGAATGCTGCAAGCTGCAGTGCAGGTTGCTGGACGGGACAGGGTCTAGTACGACAAACCGCTGGCGCAAGTTTCGAGGGCTTGTCTCAGTGCCGCTAGCGCAGTGTGGATAAATATCGGATTCGGGTCTTGAGTGTGCGGTAAGGTGAGGTGAGGTGAAGTGAGGTGAGGTGGTGAGGGTCTGGAGTACAGGCACGGGATGGCAGACTTGTCTAGGGATGCCTCTTTAAAAAGGTTATTGGCACACGAAGCATATCTGGTGACGATCAACAAGTGCTGTGACCCTGTGACCTCAGGGACTCGAGATAGAAAGGACAAGCGTCGATGTCCGGACGAAAAGCAATGGTAGTCAGCGTTCGCACGTCTTTGCCAAATGAACTGGTCACTCTTCGTCGCAAAGGTATGCTCGCCGAGACTGGATCGACCTTGTGTGGCCGGAGTGCTACAATAGCCCAAAGTCTACCGGGAATATGGAATGTAGCCAGGGCAATCTTTTTGCCTTTGATTCCTCGGGCTTCTCTTCTGATGTCATGGAGTTGGGAAACCCAATTCGGGACGAGTCGAGGTGTAATACAACAAACCCTACCTAAAGCAGGTTGGGCCCAGAGTAGTATGTCTATCCGGCGAGGTCGAAACGAATCGGATGTGATTGTACGAGGGAGACGACAATCCAATAGGCTGGACAAGCCGATGACATTGGACAGCAGACTCTGTTGTCTATTCGTGCACTACTAACTTCTGGTGGCTACACGTGGTCCGGGCAGTCCCTAGAAAGCTTGAGGGTCTCCTTGGCGACGTTCGTGACTCGTCTGAGTTGAGAGACGAAGGGTCTGACTGCTCGTCCCCCGACGTTCCCCGACGTTCCTCAACGAGGCAGAGAGATTTTGAGGGCATAGGCCAGCCTGGACCAGATGCTTCCAAAGATGCGAGGGGGTGAGTCGGGCGAGACTTTTCAGGGGATGTCAATTGTCAGGGTATTCCACCAAAAGGCTAAGTTGGAGTGACAGCGGGGATAAGGTTGCTGTCGATGAAGCAGACAAAGCCCGAATCCAAGTTTGTTGGTCGGGGCAGAGTTTTGATAGATAGCCGATCCCTGGACAGAGTTGGCACTTTTTGGTGGAACTGGCCTGATGAATCTGTAGCGCACCCGTGCAAGGGACGTGGACGTCTCTACTTGGTGCACTGACACAGTACAGTGATGCTGCGAGGATAGATGGCCTTGTAAGACCGGTCCCCGCGGGATGACTTGCTGGGTATGAAGGGGAGGTTATTGCTCGAAACCGGTCCAACGATGCGAATGTAATTAAAAAGACGGCCGCCGCAGGGAAATTGGGAAGCTGATAGTAGCTGGTATCCGTAGCTGATCCGTGACTCCGCGATGCCAGGGTGCGAACAAGACGCCGGGGATGTGAACGCTGGAGGCGTCAAGGTCTCAAAGTCTAAAGCTCCGTGATCCATAACCCATAATCCATAATCCATACCACACACCGCACACCGCACACCGCACACCGCGGGATAGACAGTGGTGGCTGGGGGCAAATACGACCCGTGCTTGCCTCATCATTCAACGCAGCTTCACAAAGCTTTACACAGCATTCCCACGTCCGCGTACTTGGGGTTGTTCAAGCACGATACATGAAGCATCAGGCACGAGGGGAAGCGTATCCGTACTACCCTGCCAGGTCTGAGATAGGTAGCCGCTGACAGGGCGCTAGAAGTTCCAGATTTCAAGACAGGGCGAGTTAAGGTACATGCCGGCTTGGCTGGCTCCGTACCGGGCCCCGAGGTAGATGGGACCTTTCCTCTCCTGCCCAAGTGCGTGGGGACGGATGCCCTCGCCGAGACGGCCTCAAGACTCTTGGGTCCTTCCTCACCCAACAACAGTCAACAGAGTACCTTAGTTACTCGTTATGGTTCGAGACCCCTCTTGCCATTGTTTGTGTCCGTACTTTCTTCTTCTCGCAACACTTTGATTACTCCCCCTTCCATGTCGCCCTTCATCAACACATCCTTCATCTACCTGTCGCTCACGTGCCCCCTCCTCGAGACATTGGCGCAGTGGCAACGGGCACCAGCACCAGCCCTGCACAACGCTTGAACGCAGCATCGCCTCGCACCGCATCGCATCGCATACATCTTCCAGACAAACACTTTGTCCGGGGGCTTCAGGTCCACGGCTTTCGTTTCCCGTTTCTGCAGGACCTCCGGCAAGGGTATCCTCCCTCCTCACCGGTAATGAATGCATTTCTGCCTCTGCCCACTGAGAAAGTCAAATCTAGTGGCCCTATGGCCGCGCCGCCTGCGCGAGCAAATGCAACCTGACCGAACCTACCGTCATACTATGTAGACTCACAGGGCTTACTTCACAGCTCCCTATTGAGGGCGGAGACCGTTGCTTCCTTTGCCCCGCGCCAACTTACACCTGCGGTACAGAGTATTGTGCCTCATCTCACCGTGGGTATCGACGCCGCGTGTCGAGCAGCATCCGAGGTAACATGTCCTATACTCTATGCTAATCAGAGTTTATCAAGCTCTTTGTGACCATCATCTTCGTCATCTCCTCTTGCCATAGAGTTGCCTTTCCCCTCTACCTCCAACCTCATCACCGGCTTCTCCTGCAATCCAGCTCAGGTGTGCCAGGCTGATAGTCCTTGGCCATCCTCAATCACTTACTATGCCATTTCTTTCGGCGACCTCGTCTATTTCCTCAGAACTTACCTAGGTCCATACGGATACGCCAGTGTACCGAGACGGATGCTCGGCGAACAATAAATCTGCAACCAAAGACTCCGCAGCGCAGTCGAATCTCCAACATCCCTGAGGGCATCAACGGCGTCTCAAGCTTCCCGTTGCATGGAAGTGTGGCCCTCACAGGTACCCGTACCCAGCCGTTCTAGCCGTCTGCTGGTCTTCCTTCCTCCCTCCCTCCCTTACATCACACCGTGCACCTACTACGTATGGTGACCCCCTCCATTCTCACTTCGTCTCCGTGTTGGCCTCGTCTTTGTGAACCCAAGTCTTCTGGAGTGTTTGACCAGGCCGTCAAACCTCCTGACTCAAGACCGCTGTGCCATCACTATCTGGAAGCCAGGCTGTGGCTCCAAGGCCAGATAAGCCGAAGAACTGAACAGCGACCATCGGAACCATTGGACGATTCACCGCTCCTTGTTCACCATGAGCAGCTATTGGCGGGCATCTACTAAATCCCATTGCTGGAAATGATCTACAAGGCTATATGTCGGTTGAGGACTTCAACCCGGCCTTGTGATCCCTTCCACCAGCATCTATGCTCCGGGCTCATCCTGGATCCGCACATTGCGAGGCCAGCAACTAGCGATATACCTCATCGGTGCTTTTCGTAAACCCAGCCCAGGCGTTCCAGGCAATCACTCAGAGGAATGTCTGCAGCCATGGTAGACGATGCTGGTACAGCAGCAATCTGCCACACCGCATAATATTCCGTACGAAAGGCGAAGACCGATTCTCGAAATCAGAGTATGCGGTGGCTGGCTTGCCGTTCTCCCACTAAACTTATCTCGAATGGCACTTTCACACACACGAACCCACGCACTGGAAAGGAAAGATGGTGTGTGGCAGCAACACTGCGACATGGAAGCAGTCTTCAAACTCGTAGACCATGAAATAATACCAATTCTCTGGTCACAGCTCTTCCCCAAGAGTCAAATGTCGTGGGTCAATCGTCTCGTCCGAGGGCCTGCTGTGCATAGCTCTGAGGCTGGATCCAAGACTCAACCTAGCAAAGCTTACATTGGACGCGTCCGGATCCAGCTCCCTGGTCCCGAAAGACTCCTTCAGCAATGCAACCAAAGCTTCACCGCTACTGGCTAGCTTAGATCCGCTTGGTCGATATCTTTGCTCGCGATCTGTCTTGACGAGTCTCCCAGCATGGCTGTCCCTTTCAAGAATCTCTACCTGCACACATGGAAAAAAGAATCCAGTGTGGCAGCGGGAGCGCAAACACCCGTGTTGTCGCCAATGATCTCAGGCGGCTCGCGTAAGGCTGAGATCGCTGGACACCCACACAATGCCAATGCATATTCCTGCGATGACCAGGTGTGGCCGCGTGGGCGACATTGATTGATTTGGCCGCGGTAGTGCCGAAGGGGGCTGCACAGCAAAACTCTGTTGGTAACCTGAAAATCTGACACAGACTTGCCGGTGTTGGACAGCCCATTGAAACGGCGACCTTTAAACTCTAATCACCTTGCACAGTATCCGTAGACTAGCTGTGTCTCCGACTAGCGCCATGAAGTCACCCCTCGATTCTCTGATTGACAGGGTCTGGGCTCGTCGCACGCGCGGTGGGCATGCTGGCACGGTACACCGGACGGCAAGTCAGATGCCGTCTTGAGGGATGAACCTGCCAGAACTTTCTATTGTGATCGAACGATCACTCAGACTCGCAGGCCCATCCTGTTGCATTGCATCTGAGCACTTTTCTCAGCCAGCCATGATAGTATTAGTATCATCAACGTCGCATGCCTCCCGACGGATCGTCGATCAAAGACTGAACAGCGCAGCTTGGAGAATCAACCACTATGCGAAAACCTGATGAAGGTCCTCGCATGTTCCTCTCCCAACACACTAGCCATGACTGGCAGCTCCATACAAAGACGAGTACGGATAGAGGCCACGAGCTCAGTGGCAAAAGGATTGCGCCTATTCCCGTACTTCGTACTTCTCGATGCGTCCATTCGGGGGGAAAGCCCGCATCGCTTTAAACCTATAAATTTATCACATAAAAAAAGAGATCGCTGACGAAGGCTTACGACTAGGGGCATATTTATGTTGTCGATATCGCGATCCCAAGGCGCCCTTGTGAAAGCCTCTGGTCTGCAGTGCCATGGGCGGGCGGGCAGGCATACGGAACCTTGGAGCTCGCGAGAGAAATCCCTGTCAGACCAGCAAAGCCGCCCAGTACAACTGAAGGCTGCTATTGCTACCGCTTTGGATTTCAACGACAGTCAAGTCTCGCAAGAAGAATGCCGACTTGACCGTACGTTTGATGAGGCAGCAGGAGCTTGCCTCGCGTAGAGTCTGCGAGTAGCGAGGAGAATATGCTCAAGGGTGGCCATTTTAGGCGCAGTCAGCAACAGAATCATACCCGGTTCGGACCCGGTTGGGAATCTCAACCGCTCAGCCCCAGTTCCGTCCAACGACAATGCAGTTGTGAAGACCGCCGCACATCACTGATTGGCCCTGGAAATAACCAAGGTCTGGTTCCCGCTGACATGGCGCCCGCATAGCCAGCGACAGCCCTACCGTAGGGCTTATCGTGGGATTCAAGGGTGCAGCTCTGGCCTTGTTTATCCAACCAGGTGTATGTGCTGGAACGGGGAAGCCGGTCGTAGCCGCATCAGCCGCTGCCCGGATGGAGCGTCCATCGCATGATGATACACCTAGCTCAGCTTGCGGATAGGCTCAATGGCCACAGCCTGCCATGCCCGCTCCCCGCCCCGCCCTCCTCGTGAGGGACAGCAGCGGGCGAGAGGGCGAGGGGGAAGAGAAGAGCACAGGGACAGGACGAAGGTTCCACGTTCGCGGCCGTCCTCCCTTGACCTACAATGTACCGAAACAGCCCTAATGTCGCGGGGTTAGGTTTCTGCTAGCCTTCCCGAGCACGTCCTTCCTCGAATAGTGCTCAGAGCTCGCTTCTATTGGATGACGGGTTCAGAAGAAACTTTCCAAATTCCGACTGCTTTGGGGGACGCATAGCTGAATACCTCGGTTGACGGGAGAGGGAATGTGGGCAAGAAACAAAAGCCTGACGGCTTGGCGCAGCTTACCGTCCCTGGCCCAGCCCGTCCCACCCGCTCCCGGGTGCTCCTCCGGGATTGCGGGGGTGGGGACGTGATCCCGCGTCCAACTTTCCGGACCGGTTGGGGGGCCGGGTGGGGGGGAGTCCACGTCCGCTGCTGCACACACTTCCGAGACATTTTGGCGGATTGATCCCCACATTCCCGTTTTTAGTAAGTAAGGAGGTCTACTGTTAGACGAGAAGGTAGGGAGGCTTTGTTGGGCTGCGTAGTTTCATAGCCGCGTGAAACTTTTTCGCCTTTACTGGCCGATCCTAGACTTTGTGTCGTTGTTCCCATGGATTAGCGATCTCCTCAAGACGCGGCTATGAAACTTTTACTCCTTTGGCTTTGTAAATCATGTCATCTTTCTCTCACTTAGCATAGGTTCCATGTTATTCTCATGCTTGGTCCCCAATCGAAGCGATGAGTACATGTCAAAAGCAGCGGCCTCCCGAAAAGATGTACTCTGGGTCTTGAGAAAAAAAAAGATGTCTTGCATAGTCACCGATAAGTCCTTGATAGTTCTTAACCTAGTATTCCACATTCTCTTAATTCTAGAAACACCGTGAACGAGTCTCCCGCAGTGACATTTCTCTTCTAGTAAACAGCACAAATTAAACGTCAAACCTGAAGGATCCATCCCGGCATGATATTGCGGATTCAAAATATTGGCTCCTGAACTCTCTGACTGACGGTCATCAGAAATTTCAATATCGCGCTTAGTATAGCGGCTTCCGCCTATTACCGTGACAGCAAAGTAACTCGGATATTTTCCTCTACAGCCTGACGAAGCGGCGATCTTCAGCCGGTAGTCGTAGCTGACGGCAAAATGGTAAGAACAAAGGGGGTTCCAATGGCAATAGTAGAGCTTGTTGTAGAGCTTGTTGTGTTTGAACCTGCAGTTGATGACGATACTGAGGGAGACGAGATGCTACTTGTACCCGATTGTGTTTGCGATGTGACTGAGCTAGATGGCGAGCTCGTTGGAGCAGCAGTCGGGGTGCTGGTGGGACTGGTGACCTGGCTACTCGTCGAAATACTAACTGTCAAGGGGAGACTACTCGATAACGAGGTGGTACTCAGTGATGATGAAAGGGTTGAAGTGGAGTTCGAAATTGAGAGGCTTCCTGATGCACTAGTAGACAAAGAGCCAGATGTTGTAACACTAGTCGAAGAAACACGAGTGCTTGATGACCCTGAGGTGGTATTCGAGAATACTGATGACGTGCTTGAGATGCTGCTGGTCGATGACCTTGACGTAGTGCCAGGCGAAGAAGTGCTGCTGAGTGAACTTATAGGTGAGGTGCTTGAAGATGTAGTAGTTGAAGAGGATGTAGATGCTACCGATGACGACGAAGATGGCGTTGTCGAGGACGAGGACGAGGACGGTGAGGTGACTAATGTTGACGAGGAGGAGGTAGAGGATGTCGATGTCGACAAGGATGTGGAGGACGTTGGCGAGGAAGAGGAGGATGTCAAGGAGGAAGACGAGGATGAGGTAGAAGTGGACGAGGACGGGGTCGATGTTGAAGAGGAAGAGGAAGATGTTGACGACGAGGATGATGACGAGGTAGGCGTGGTCGAGGTGGTCGAGGAGGATGTTGTGGACGATGTTGACGAGGTGGTGGATGAGGTGGTGGACGAGGTGGATGAGGTAGTAGACGAGTCAGACGAGGTAGTGGACGTGGACGAGGTAGATGAGGTAGTAGACGAGTCAGACGAAGTAGTAGAAGATGTAGTGGACGAGGTGGACGAGTCAGACGAGGTAGTGGACGAGGTAGATGAGGTAGTAGACGAGTCAGACGAGGTAGTAGACGATGTAGTAGATGTGGATGAGGACGAGGACGAGGACGAGGATGAGGACGAGGAAGATGTAGACGAAGTGGTCGACGAGGTAGAAGACGTTGTTGTAGTCTGCGAGTTGTCGGGCACCGCACTCGTGCCATAGACAGAATAGTAGAGGTTGCCATTCGTGTTTCCACCACAGTTTGCATTCGGAACATTCGATGCGGGCGGGTTCTCACCGCAGACGTAGTTGCAGTTGCTGTCAAGAACGCCTGCTGTGTCGGAGAAACTGATAACGGCCAGAGGTAGGGAGCAGAAGCAAGTGTTTTGGCGAAGGAGAGCGAATTCGTTGCCATTATTAATGCATATAGATTGGCAAATAATCGGTCCATTGTCGATGGCTGTTCGCACTGCCGTGAAAGCGAGGGGGTTGGAAATCATACCACATCCCCGGTACGACATGGGCGGGACATTGTAAGCAGTTCCTTGACCGAGCACGCCGCTGAGGGCATAGCTGAGGGCCAAGAAGACTATCCGCCAAAGTGAAGGCATCGCTTGTCGACGATCTCGTCCATACATTTCAAAAAGGAGATGGAGGTTCTGGAAGCGCAGGGAGAAACGGCAGGATCTGTATTTTCCAAAGGGAAAGAATCGAGAGGGCCATGGAGACTGATTAAGGAGAGTTATATGGGTAGTGTTGGATTATCTGAGTAGAAGTATAGGTTTCATCTCGATGGTATCACAAAGCTCATTCACTAGGCAACGATCATCTTCAGTTTCTGGCTTGATACAAGGGAGAAGGGGCAGATGTGGCATGCAAGTCCAGATTTGAGATGACAACGAGGCTGTCTCGATTTCTCAGCCCAAATACCAAGGATTCAGATCAGATACATTCTGATCAGTAATACGTGATTGGGCCCAGGGCAGCTCATCAAATGCTCAGGAATTTCGGATCCCTTTTCAGGAGCTCATTCGTGAGACAAAGGCGAGCTCAGCCTCGCGTTCTGGATTCCTCCTTCATCAACTCCCTCCTACATTCAGACGTTGACTTACTATCACCTTGATGAAGGCGGCAGATCCAAGCCCATTCTGCCACCCAAGGGGCCTGAGGAGACCAAACCGATATGTTGGCTGAGATTTGGACGTGGCGCTGAGATGACTTATTAAGGCTGAGTGTCTGAAATGCTTGACACGGGTTGAAATATTGGTTTGCATACTTTAGCACCAATGTGATGAGACACAGCGACCACATGCTTACTTACAACGGCGCAGCACCCGCGACACACATTGCCCGGGTCGCGCCAGGCCACTATGGCTGGGTTCGGCAGGAATATCTCGCAAATTGCGGCCCGAGGAAAATTCTCAGACTGCTTTTCGACGGCTTGGCGACGGCTAGAATGTTTTCCTCTGTAGGTCTCCTGTACCGGACGGGAGTCGAAGAGAGTTGAGCAAACGTCGATATTTCTATTCGATTTTCTTAGTCAGCACCATCCTCCCATGGCCCCCACGTGCCACCGCATACATCTTGGACGCAAGCTCGGACGATTGGGCTGAACTGCGGTGCAACTTGATGAGATTCTCAAGACACAGGACTCTGCCCATTCGACTTCAATCTCAGCCCTCAGCCCTCAGCCCACTTCTCTACTTCTCTACTCCCATAGAAGGAGGAACACGAGCAGCATGAGACGACACTGCCACAGCAAAGTTATAGCATGGAAATCTTCCATCTTAAAATCCATAGCGTTCCCTCTACCCAAGCACAGAAGACGAAGATGCCGCGTGATGTCACAGCAGAGGCCGCAGACGATATCCTCACAGCGCGAGCTTGTGCTCTGCAGGTCTACAAGAAGACCTCGGCCACGAATTACCGAACTCGTTCTCGGCAGGCAGATTCAGGGTACTCTGCAAACCTCACTCCGTCATATTGGATCGAGCATCACAACTCTTCCGTACGTCTAATGTCTTAATTGAACGACTTGATTGAACAAGATTTTCGTCTGTACTATGCCTATATAATTTGGAGGACAACCATACAAAGATACACTTAGCGCAGATTGACACGGTTGTCAGACGGAGAGGATCACAAGCATTCTTCGACTTGCTAGCTGCGAGCAGATATGTGCTTTTGCTCTGCCTTTTCTCCCTTCTCTCCCTTCCCTTCTTTCTCTTCCGTGCGGCCTCGGGCCGTGGCAGTGCAAGTGCGCTTGCGTTTCTTCTCCTCCCACGGCCACTGAACTGCGTTCACAACGCATTTAACCGGCCCAGCAGCTTCCTCCAGAAACCATTCTGCTATTTGACGTGAAGCTACGTGGGAAGAGCAAGCTGGCAGGCCGACTTGGGCACAATCACATTAGGTTCACGTCGTAGTTGAATCAGGCCGAACTTCCCCTCTTCCTCAAGCAAACGATCTCGCAGAGGAGAGGTGCGATCTGCAATACGCGGAATCCGGTGCGGCCGAAACAATTCCCCACCGCACATTACGGCTTGAGCGGTTTACATAATCAAAATCCGACTGCTCGGCAGGCATTGCATGTAAGCCGTCGCTTGCTTTCCCGAATTCGAGGCCACCGGCCATCCCCAACAACAGTTGTATCCTCCGCATTGAGTTGTTCCCGCATGAGTCTCCCGAAAACTGTCGGCGGGTTACACTCTTTTGCAGGTTGGACCGATTGCCACGCCTGATGCGCCCGTCTACGGAACCTCAAGTCGAGACTTTTCTCCAGTCATGTCCTTCTTTATGGGGAGATGCCCAAGGGTGGACCTTTCATCTCATCTTCCATCCTTCCAGGGAAGCCCGGTTTCGAAGCTTCTCACACATTTCTCGTCTCGAAAAGCATCTTCGATTTTGTTTTGTGTCCTCCGGGTGTCCGGTGAGATTTTTTTTAGCCTTGTTGCTTAACAAGGAAAGGATGCGACCAAAGCTCACCAAGACCACACCAAGCTGCTACTGCATAGGATGGCGTTTAACGGTGTTTCTCTTCTATCTGCGCCTCACCGACAGACTGACAATGCGGCCTTGGCCTTGGGCTCTGCTGGTTGTGATACTAGCTGCGCTTTCCGCAGAGGGAATAAATTCATGCAGCTGTAAGTTGCCACATGCAACCGCAGCCCGCAGGTTGCATTTTGACTGACTTGTGGGACAGTACCATCATTGAGTGTCATGGTTTCCATCCGCGTGCTTCGTCAGAAGACGCATACCATCTTTAGTCACTTTCCTTCGTTAGCAACTCCGGGAAAGAAGCCTTATCCAGCTGAGGAACGAATGCGAAGTCTCTCCAGAAGACGCGGGCCCCGGAGAGGTCTGTTCTCCCCTCGCAAAATGGCCAAGTACAGGTCCCGATTAACGCCTCCGGACCACAACGCCGGGTTTTGAGTGGGTTCTTCTCATCTGGTTGCCCAATATGGCAGTCCGACAGAAGGGGGACAACGAGAGAGAGTGTCCGTATCCTCAATGCAACTGGCCTGTGGCCTGGGAACCCCCTTTGATTCACTTGCTCTTACCAGCGGACAACATCCCCGTCGACCCTACCAGACCGCTGGCCTCACTTGGCAGAGTGAGTTCGATCGCGACTGGCAGCCATGCGTCCCCGGACTGCCACGCCCTCGGCAGGGTCCAGATGCTGGCCCCATCCTGCCTTCATTCACCAAGGTCTTGGATTGTCGTTGTCCCTGCAGAGCACCGGCAGGTCGTAACGACCCAGCCACCAGCGCGATGATAGATGGTTTCAGGATCAGCCTTGGGAGAGCCGCCTAAGGCAATCGCAGCTGAGTCTGCTGCTCTAATGGGTTGGACACCGCACCAGAGATATAATGTCCTGGACGGTCTTCCCTTTCCCTCTGAGTCTAGAGTCAGGACACTTTCATCTCGCAAACACTTCTTGAATACCTTCCTTGCATAAGCTCATCGCAACAATGGCTCCTACTATGGCAGCGTCCACTTACACGGCCACTCCCAGGTCATTGTTCCCTCTGCAGCTCTCCCCCAGGGCTCTGAGGTCACCGAGGTCACCTATGACCTTCAGCCAGTTCGAAGTCTTGTCTCCTCGGGCTATGGCTAAGCAGGAAAAGGACCTATGCCTCCCAGCAGAAGGCACCATCTACATCCACAAACCCGACCAAGACTTTTGGAATGTCCGTTGCGCCGAGAGCCTGGACGCTTTCATGCGCGCCGCCGGCTCTTACACGCCAGCTCAGCGTGCCGCCCACCTCCAGCTTCTCTCGGAGATCATCGTCCCGTGCATGGGTCCTCACCCGGCCACGGCCCCGACCAAACCCCTGCTGACCGCCGACGGCTCTCCATTCGAGCCATCATGGAACATCACCGACTCGGGCTCCTCTTCGATTCGTTTCTCATTTGAGCCCATGGGCCGCCACGGTGGCTCAGCATCAGACCCATTTGCACAGAAGATCATTTCTACAATCCTTCCTGCTTTGCGTATGATATCTTATGGCGTGGACACGCGGTGGTTCGAGCAGTTCATGACCGCTCTCTTCCTGACAGAGGCGGAGTCGGAGACCGCCCTCTCCAGACTTCCCAAGGGAACTCGTGCGCCAACCTCATTCCTCGCATTTGACCTGGATGGCGCCAAGGCTGTGTTCAAGGCCTACTTTTTCCCGATTCTCAAGCACATTGCGACTGGTGATTCGACGGAGAATATTACCTTTGACGCGATTCGCACCCTGTCACCAAACGGCGCCGATCTCTCTCAGTCTGCCGACGCTACGGAGCAGTACTTTAGAAATGCTCCGTTTGCCATCCCCGTAGAGATGATCGCTCTGGACTGTATCGACCCTGCAGAAGGAGCCCGCGTTAAGGTCTACTGTCGTACCCGCTCAAACGCTTTCAACGTCGTGCGTGATGTGGTGACCCTCGGCGGCCAAATCAAGGACAAGACGACGCTTAAGGGTCTCGAGATTCTCCGAGGGATTTGGCATCTGCTGCACAACGAATCAGAACCCCACGACGATGAGTGGAACAAGGAGCCAAACATGTTGAACACCCTCCACAAGGGCATTTGCTACGGTTTCGAGCTGAAGCCGGGCGCGAAGTGGCCCGAGGTGAAGGCATACGTTCCTCTTTGGCAGTACGCCGACAGTGACGCAGTCATCTCAGCAAACCTGGCCCAGGTCTTCCGTTCCAGAGGCTGGGCTGTGGCTGAAAAGTACGAAGAAGACATGGCTCGTTGCTTGTAAGTTGAAAACTACGCTTCCCTTATGAATTGAAGACTGATTTTTGTGACTAGCCCGCGTTCGGATCTGAGCAAGACCACAGGCACGCATTCCTACATCTCATTTGCCTACTCGGAGAAGAAGGGCGCCTACTTGACCATATACTACTCCATCAGGCCTCAGGACTCATTGCTGGCTTTTTGAGGGGGCGGAGCACGACTGATGCTAGCGCTCGTTGCTTAGGATGGGGGCGTTTCTATCTTATTCTCTTTTTCTCACTAACACATGGTGCTCGCGCTCTCTACACCGGCAAAATATCCTGAGCACCATTCCCTGATATATATCTGGCAGACCATGCGATTGGTTTGAACTCTGAATCTTCGTTACATACCCAAGGAAGACGAATTTGGACGATAAAAGACATAGACTGACGGAATAATTCAATTAGTCAAATTAACCTTCTCACACTCATCTTATGGTTCGGCAATGCTGCAATATCTTGTCTCTTGAGTCCCACAAGGCGAAGAATGATGAAGAAATATGTGTAGGCTGTATAAGCGTAAATCCCGCCAAAGTCCGTTACTCGTTCCAGTATATCAACACGTCTGATGGTGTTTGCCCGCCGAAATCGGCGACATGAAAGGATAGGTAGATAAAACCTTTAAACAAGGAGACGTCACTATCTAGAACTCCGGGGCTGGTGTACTTTATAGCCTTTACTTTTGTCCAGTAGGTTGTGTCCAACTGCTCTAATCCACCACGGATCTCGATCCCAGTCCAGCCCCCGCGGAGATAACATCAATGGGTGACGAGCGAGAAAAAGAACCCTCTCGAATTGGCTTTTCTGCCGGTATAGAGATGGTGATGGTGCTTAGCACCCGGGACGGCCGGGAGATACTAGCGGACGCAACATCCCGAATACACAAACACCCAGTAGAATTTCCATTCTCATGGTAGTCCTCCAATCATGCGTCATCTCGGGACGAGGTATTCCCGCCCGACGCCGAAAGAGGCTCCTAGAGAGCTTAGACTTGTCGACATGTTGGATAGTATGATACCGGCGCAAGAAGAAGGGGGGATTACGTCACATAACCATGTTCTGCTAAAGTGCAAGCTTCATGGGAAGCTGGCTCACGTCACGAATAATAGAACCTTCAACTCGCTAGAGGAATTTCAATTCAAGGAATGTGTAAGTTTTTTTCTCGTGGGAGACTATGAACACAATTTCGAATCCCCGATGCTTTCCATTGCGATTATCGTGCGTCCACTTGATAACAATAGCTCTTGATGGGAAAATGAGAGTGTATGTGTAGACGCCCAGCACACGTTCAATCTCCAAACGGAGCAAATCAAGAGCATCTGATACGATGTTCTTCATTGCGTGTGGCCAGAGAGATCCATAGTGTTTGCCAATCCCGTTCCTGGAAAACTCAAAGCAAAAACAAAAACGCCGCATCTTTATGAGATGTGTGGTTTCCTCTCATGTCCAATTTTTTGGTAATTTGATAAATAATTTCTTGTTTGGGTTTTTTTTCTTCAAAGCAACGAAAAGGAAAAGGAAAAGGAAAAGTGGTATCATCAGTTTAGTTTCGCACGTGGGTTGATTTCGAGTTGCATTTCCAATCGTATTCCGATCCCTTAGACCTGAGCGGTCTCAGTCTTGGGCGCCTCCTCGTCATCGTCCTTGTAAGGAGGAAGGTCGTCGGACTCGGCCATAAGTTCGGACTTCTCTTCGACGGCACCGGCCTCGCGATGCGCAGTCTTGCGGGCACGACGGCGGCAGTGGCGGCGAGCGAAGGGGGCCTGTCGACGGACGAAGACGCGCCAGAGGCAGACGACGAAGGTACCAACCATCATGCCAATGCTGTAATTCCGTGTTAGTGGAGCCGTGGGAAAGGGGCCACGCGACCGGGGGTCTGGGGGGGGATTGACGACTTACATGCTAACACTGACGCCAGCAACAATGCCAATGAGAACCGGAAGCAGGATGTGTGAGGTGATGTTCTTGGCCAACTGACCCCAGGTGTGGTGGTGGTGTCTCATTTGACCGTTGTTGTGAGCGTGGTGTCCCTGGTGTCCGTGACGGTGCTGGCCGCGCATGCTTCCGTGCTTGCGACCTCCGCATTTCATGCCACGCATGTTTCTCAGGATGGCGGCGCGCCATCTGCAGTAGAAGGTGGTGCAGTCTTCCGCGGGCGGCTCGTGATCCTCCTCTTCCTTGTGGGACGGAACAGAAGTCTCGGTTTGCTCGACGTTGCCGATCATGAGGCTTCCGGTGGGGGACTTGATGAGCTTGACCTTGACATTGGGAACGTCGGCCACGAAGCTATTTCCAACCTCGATAATTTGGAGGTCCACCTCTACAAGCTCGAGCTTCTGCTCATTATCCTTGGCGACGGGGCGAACGCCCAGGCTGTAGCCCAGTTGAGGGGTGTTGGGGTCGGCGATTTGAGGGTGCTTGGTGGCGGCCTCGGCGAAGTCGGGAATCTGAGGAGCACGCAGAGCCTTATACCACGAGGCAGGTTTGGGATAGAGCTCAAAGTCGTTGACGAGGAGATGGTCGATTCCAGCGGAATCGGTGTCGATGGAGAAGGTTAGCTCGAGGTGGTTATCAAGATCGGTCATTGTGTGGTAGCGGCCATCATGGTGACGCATCGTCAGAGGGCAGCCGGGGCAATCGACCTTGACGCGGTGGCTCGCGAGGCCCATCTCTGAAGGAGCCTCCTCAAAAGGGAGGGAGTTGACGATGTCTTTGTCGGCTTCGGAGATCTCGGGGACGATGACGAAGGCTTGCGTGGCCGTAATCGCAAGGCCGGCGGCGGCGAGGGATTTCAGTAGCATATTGACGGGGCTTGTGTCGTTCAGTCTGCTGGTTGGTTTGATGAGGGTCAGGAGGAAATGACGATTGGGTCTGTATGGTGATGGTTATTTTGTTCCGACGGAGAGTGTAAGGTCGAGGTTGATCAGTAGGTACGGTAAGGGAAAGGGAGATGTTAGGGTTTGAAGTTGGAGTAGGAGGAGAGGTGCAATGACATGAGCGCCGTATCAATGGGTAAGGCGGAGTAAAAAGGGACCTGGCCAGCAGCAGGCAGACTCGTAGCGTGTGTCGGTCACTTGTTATCCAAGGCCCGCAGGGCAGTTATGCTGACGCAGCCCGCCGTGCGGGCCTTGTACGGGCCTTTACCCAGCAAAAAGATGGAGATCAGATGCTGCAAGTGGCGTTAGTCTGCTGGGGGCTCGGGGGGGCGAGGGGCACTCGGGGCATTTGGGACGCTCTAAGGGACGGACGACACAGGGCAGACAGGTGACTGGCCTGTCTCGATGGACGAGGGTTTAGCGGATGATTGCGTGTGCCGCCGGGTGGTGAGTGACTTATCCGGAACCTGCGGAGACGAATGGGGACTTTCCTCAGTGCTACAAGCTTTCCTGGGGCGGGGGATGCCTGAGGCCGTCAGTGTCATACCGTAGCGCTGCACATCCCTCAGCCCGATTATGTCATTCGTTCTCCCAGAGGCATCGCGACGGGTCGATCGGCCTGCTCAGGCACATCTCACCGGGCCCTCACCTCGCACTCGCCCAACTCTCCTGCCGCGCCATCGTCCACTCACCTTGCACGCTTGTCGTATGTCCCCACCTTTCTCCTCCTCTTCCACTTTCCGCCGCCTCCGCGCCGGACCACTTTCACGCGGCAATGGGCAACGGGGCAACCTCTCCAAGACTTCAATACTCGTATTGATGTGTATGGCATGAGCGTCGGCCGTGCAGGATCAATCGCCCTCCCCTCGCCCCAGCCAGCACGGATAGAGTTTTTTCCTGCTTCTTCGTCGATTTGAATCCTGGCCTACCTTATCCGTACCTCGACGCTTCAATGCTCGGCGTACCGTCACCAAGGCACCCCTGCACTCTCTACTCCCTTTCCTCAGCACGAGCACTGAGCATTTCAGTTTGATGACGTCTATGGCGTGTGCTCGAATACCCCTTGCTCGATTGTAAAAAGCCCAATGGTCTTTGGAAGTGTGGAACAGCTCGGGGGAAAATTATGGTGGCACCTGGGTAACTTGTTCGTTGTCCGCTCCGAAGGATGAGGAAAAACACGGCGGTGCTATTGATTCATCGTCGCACCGCACTCTACTCAGTCAAAGCCCGCGGCGCCTCAGGTAAGGAGGTCGCATCCGGGTCTGAAACCTCGTCGCCGTATCATCGTGATACGGAAGCCACCAAAGCCCACCCAAAAAAGGCTGGCGACCCCCCCCCCTCTTTTTCGCCTTACCCCTACGATGCTGCCAGAATAGAAACGGCTGTCGTCGGGCTACGCAGTTCCGAACAGGTGGGTTCTTGATTCGAGGTTGTTCATGCTGGTCTCGACAGTTCGGTCTGGCCGTTGGATGCCCCCGGGACCCAGTCCTCCCCAGATATTGAAAAGTGACAGACTTGACTCTGGTGGGCTAGACCTCCAAATGCAGAACGGTCTCGTAGACTGGGAGTGGGCGGCCCTTCCACCGTACGGAAACATCGGCCTCTAAGAATGTCCTGGCCGGCCGCCCAGGACTACCGGAAATTGCAATCACGCGATTCCCGCTCTCCGGGCTGTACTGTCTCTCCGCTCCGGTGGACGTCCCGACGTCCCACCGGTCAATTTCCGATTTGATCCTTGTGGGTAGGAAAGGCAGAAAGACATAAAGTTTGCACTCATTACGGTCCCGCTCATTGACGTCGATAACCGTCGCTCCTCAAACTGCCTTGACATGACATCTCGAGAGGTCGAACCGCCGCGATCTGGTAATGAAGACTGGCTTTCTTCGTTTTCTTAGATTTACACTTAAAGCCCTCCTTCTATGTGGCTGCATCCCACGCTCGCCCTATGTCCTAATTGCATGGATTTCTGATGAAGTGCAGTCGGTTGGTATTGTCAATAGTCGAGCTTTGCAATATCTTTGGAAATTAAAGTGTCGGAAAGTTTCGACGCCTCCTGTGAACCAAGTATTCTAAGGCTCAATTCCTCGACCCCATTGAAAGAACCACAAAGCCGGAGGTAGGATGCAACAGTGAGATCTTTGTCTAGGCCGAGCCAGTTTGATTCGTTTTATCAGCATATTGTATAAAAAGAAAAAACCTTGGTCTAAAATCCTCCCGTCTCTCTTATCCCCCACATTCTCCCCAAGCCCGCCATGTCAACCTCTTCAACGAACATAAAAACCAGCCGGGATGCTGGATTGATGGCTATCAGACGGGTAGAAAAGACTCGAGCCACAGCTGAGCTTGATCAGACCAAGTGATTGCTTCTGAGAAACTGGCCAGCAATTCGAAGGCGCCTTGGATATGTGCGAAGAAACTCGTCAGGAAGAGCCCGAACGGCGAATTACCTCGGCGCCTGTCTGGTTCCTGCAAAATCAGCATATAAAACTAAAGATAGCATAGCTTATACCGAGCAAAGCAAGTAATCTCAAACGGCTCTCTTGTAAAGCACTCAAACCTGGGAGACTCCCTTTCGGAGCAACAGATGAATGTGCGTTTGGCCCATGATTCCGAGAAAATTCTCGGCGAACGAACCATGCTCTGCTTTGAATTCAGTCAAGGCAGGTGACAGAAAGAAGAACGGAGTAGCAGTATTGAGCCTCTCAAGATATTGAAAATACTCCATCTCATTCGATCCCATCATGCTTCTTAGATGTGAATGGACGCCGGGATAGTGCTTTCTAATTTGGCGATAATAGTCCAATGAGTGTCGTCGAATGTCATCAAGGCCGGCGTTGACTCATGAGCCAAGTGGCAAAGAGTAAGTCCCTGGGTTGCATCAACGAACACGTACCTTCCCCGTCATGTAGTGAAAGCGCTGCAAGCTGGTATCGAGGTCATAAACGACGTGAATTCTGTATTCGCATTACGAGCAGACGAAAGCAAAAAGAAAGACCCGTCGTATATGTCAAGAAGCAAACGCGAACCTGAGAAGATCCTGAGCAACTTATGAAGTGTGTATCTCAGTCGCAACAGGATCGAGAGCTTTGCAGGTCATGACCACACACGTCAACGAGACGAAGCGCAGTTGCAGAAAGCTGTAAGTGAAAGCAGGGTACACTCCTACTACCAATCTTGCCACACACTCTCTACATCGAGGACGCCCGAAGCAGATCAGCCGCCCCAGAGGTCCCTCTTTTGGAGACTGAGGTCAAGTGCTCGAGAGCCAGGCAAAATCCTCAACAAATGCTCTCTTGGTGGATTCCTGAGACCCTCTTCCCGTCATCCCGATGCGATGCCGCCAGCATTTCTCTCCAGTACAATGAGTTCCAACCTCCATATCTCTACTTAATCATCGCTAAGTAACATCTCCTGACAGCATCCAACATACAAGAGGACCTCAGCAAGACCTGTCGTCGACAACACCGGTGTTTCCCTAGCAGCAGAAATCCTTGTTTACAAGTGAGCTGTGTCTCACCATGTGATGATAATGGTCAGATTATCAGACCCACGCAGAAGACTAGCTTGAATAACGACAGAGTTTTTGAGTCATGTTATTCTGAGTTTGGCATGTGCCGCCAAGAAACGCTCTTAGGAACCTTGAGTGATGATCGTTGTACGGCGTATCACGGTTCGGTTTAGCAAATGTTGTCCGAGGGAGAGGAGGAGGAGGAGGAGGCATTTAGTTGCCAGTTATCGTGACGATACCTTTGTGCAAATGGCAAGCAAGCTCCATTGAGATATGCGCAGATTGACTGCGTATTACAGCTAGGGAACGTGAATACGACTAAAATAGAGAGATTGAGTTTTCTAGTAGATCATAGGCAGGCTGAATACTTGGCTTGATGGTTCGACATGATCGACACTTTGTTGGAATGTTCGCCGAGGCTGGAGATGAGATTCGGGGACCGGCATGTGGATACCACCAGTTCGGAATCCTGAAGAGATGTACATCATCCACAACTTCTTGAACGCGATTATGTGACATTTGAGATTCCTCCAATTCCCTGCCCAACAGTAAAAACAACCCGAATTTGCCAGGCTTTCGTGATTAAGGAGTGGGAGAGCTTGTCATTCCGATTTGGATCAAGACAATGGCCGTCGTCCAAGGGGAGCAAATGCTCTTGGAACCTCTGTGTCGCGTTGCAAATGGATAACACGCTACCCACCGTGATGTCGAGATCTCAAGCCGATAAAAGGCCCACATCGGAGGCTAGTCGGCGCCGTGGGGCCGGGAGGTTTGACGTTTTTAACTGGGCACGGGAGCTAGCGAGCTGCCAATTATATGGAGGCTGGCTTAGAATTGAAGGACAGGTTCATGTTGAACTCCATCAACGGGCGCAAAGATAGTGAGAATTCAGTTCGCCTCTGGCAGCTTTTGTAGGTGATGACGTGCCGGTCAGATAATTACACCAGAAAATGAGGTCAACATTGGAGAACGGACCGCTGGATATGCAGGCCGAAATCTTTTGTCGCCGCGCGGGAAATGTTGGCCTACCCGCGTGACGGTCGGTGCATTGTTCCGTTTCGTCCCAAGGTCCCACGTGTGGATGCGGACGGCTATTCAAATTCTGCGGAGACATGGGCAGTGGAAGCAGTCATTGAGTTTTCCTCTTCCTCTTCCGCTGCCGTGAAGCAGAAGGCATCTCCAGCTGGCTGCCTCGGTGGTAGACGAGAGGAGGCATAGGCCCCGAGCTCAAGCGGCGCGGGAGAGATGTGTCTGAACGATGCTGTGCCTGAAGTTTCTCTCCTGCGACTTTGCCCTGGCACCACCCCGTGCTCTGCGTGCCTGAATATGGTGCCAGAGCACATGCCTGGGGTCAAAGAGCCAATAGCGCTCTGCCGGCCCTCATCGCATGCTCGGAACCCGAAGATGTTGAGAACCTGACAAGATCGAGCCGAATGCACCAAAATATACCTACGCGTGCCAATAACCTTCCATGTCTTACAAGCGACATCGTTCCTTGCCAAAGGCTCGGAAAGGGCCCACGCAATAGGGACCTTAACGTGGGCCAATTGAAGCCACTGTGACGGATAAAGAGATCTGACCATGGGCCCTGTTCCATGTCTGCAGCGTGGATGCGACAGCTGAAACGCTTCTAGAACTCGAAGTTCGACCTGCAGTCTGCAGTCTGCAGAACAAAAAAAAATTGCATCTGCGGGCGGTGGGAGCCAACCTGGCGTGACCACTGTGCCTCTCTTGTCGCTGCATCACTGGTTGGACGAATTGATCCAGGAGTCAGGGTTATCTCGATGCGTGCCACGGGATTTGTGGCAGGAGGCAACCGATGTATTTGTGCAAACCTTTGCTCTGCAGTTCTGCGCATGCAGTGGTAACGGTCCGGTGGCCATATGAAAGGCCAATACCAAGCAGGCCGCAGAATGTCGTGTATGGTACTGAAATGCCGGCGCAAAGAAAAAAAACATGACACGGTTTTTGATGGCGCATGTAGATGGTGTTCCTGCGGGTGGAATAATTGCAGGAGCTCTGAAGCTGCACACCGCAGGCAGACCCCGCTCGCTTGCCTCCAAGGTAATGCTGATCAGCGTTCTCATGCCGGGGACCTGGGGTTCCAAAATGCAGTGCGACCGCCGACAGCGCAGGCCAAAGGCAACTGAATTCCATTCTCCCGCTGGTCGCGCAGGCGTATCAATGGCAAGCTTCCTCCATGGTGATGTTGCCCAGAAGACAGGTGCCTACGAGGTGAGTCTGGAAGATGGGTCTTCATGTTGGTAATCGAGAACTCACTCATGGGCTTGTTCTTGTAAGTTGGCCATGAGTTGAACGGAGAGTTGCCGATTGACCCTTTATTCATGGGCTGCATTTAGACCCTGTGGTGCATTCGGAGTATTTTCCTCTCATTTTTGTTCTGTGACAGACATCAGTCCAAGGAACGTGTTGTTTCAATCCGTCCCGTCTCCTCGATTGGGATGGCGGTAATAGACGGTAGTAGACGGTAGTAGGTAGTGATGAAGTCTGCCCTCGGCGTTGACGAATGGACAGTGGACCCTCGGTTGTTATTAGAGACAAGCTGGGCGGAAGTAAGAATTGGAGTGTCTCGATAGTTTGGGACAGGAAGTCGGCGATGATAATTTGGAGGTTGAAGCGCAGGTTGACTAAAGCTGACTCAAAGTTTTCGGGATGCTTCTTTACGGTTTAGCATCAGGGCGCCCGCCAGGAACGAGAGTGTCTTGTTCCAGTTGCAGGTCGGCTCGACTTTGCTTTTTTCTTCGTTCTTTTTTCCCTTGTCTCGAAGGATGCACACCAACAGCAACTCTGACAGGTGCAGAAAAAGTGACGAGGAAGGCCGGTCGTGCCGCAGGTTGCAGGAGGAGAAGGTTGCGTCGAGGGAGGCGGATGGTTCGAACGAGAAGGTTGCGATGGCGAGTTGGGCGAGTTTGTTGTCCAATCGGTCCACATGTTGGCCTGGCGAGTCTTTTCTTTCGAAAGTTCCTCTGGGAAGTCTCGAGTCCTGTGGTTCCTTGGAGACCAGCAGCTGCCAGCCACTGAGCCTAGGAACCCCCTTACACAAAAGCTTGCAACAAACAGCAGGAGGACTCGAATACTCTGAATTCCGGAGACTACTTTAGGGTGATGGCTGCGTTGATGACGGTACCTTAGGTACTTGAGGTTTCCCCCAAGATCGGGCCATCTGGACCGTGATTGCAGGGATTAGAAGGGCCTTGAGGTGCGTGCCTGCGCTAGTGTTTCTGGTTAAGCCTGATACGCTCACCATTGGCCCACACCAGATCAGATTGACCCACTTGGGAACTGTAGAGAGCAGGGGTTGGGCGTCCATTGTAGAGACTCGGGAAGGAGGAGAAGGAAGAGTCGAAGCAGGAGCGTTGGACTAGCACCTTCGTTTGAGACGGCAGGACGGCAGGACGCAGGACGGCAAGTGTGAAGCGAGCGACTTGCAAAAACGGCCCGGCGCAGTCTAGAGTCTACCTATTGGAGCTTTTTTCCTCCTACGACCAGGAACGACCAGGAACGGTGTTAGCGTCAGCCACAGTCCCCAAGATGAGCCGTGCCTCCTTGCCATCGGGATCTCCTTCTTCCAAAAACTGCAGCCAGGGGCAGCCCTTGAAGATATGCCCATCAACCTTTGGGACGACGGGCGACGGGCGACTTGGCCTTGCCTGACTATTGATTCCATAGAAGCCTCACTCGCGTATGCCGTCCTACCTACTCACTACTGTATAGTGCCAAACTGCTTTCGTCCTGTGCCCGGGCCTCTTTGAGTGCTTTCCATGGTGCCATGCTCTCGGAGCTCTCGATGGCTTGCTTGCCACGCTGTCACGCTTGCTACCTAGGCAAGATACCTTGGATACCTTGAAGGGACAATAGCAACGGACCTCGATACTGACTGAGACGAGACCTTTCAACGGCCTCTCGACTCTGCCAAGTCGGGCAAAGCTGGGCGTGTTGGCGTCACTCCATAACGACTACCCCCCACCCGTCATTTCCCTGCACAAGACTCCGTTTTTTCTCTCCATCCACCAGATATCTTTGGACAGGTCGTTTGCGCAATCCCATCCCCGTCCCCACGTTTGTGCTGATGCTGCTGCTGCAAAATACGTGACCTTGTATGTACGGTGAGACATCCATTTCAAGGTACTTTGTTACATGTTACGGCTACTGCCTTCTTTAGATAACCACCACGTTCGCTTTCGGCGCATTATCCGGACTCGACGTGGAGAGAAAAGAACTAAATTTGCAGTGAAGAGCAAAAAAAGGGGAACAAACGGTCACAAAACACCAACGACCCCTGGTCTCTCCCACTTCCATGCCGGTGGATGGTGGAGTCTTCTTGCTTGCACCGACCGATTCTGCTGAATGGGCTGTCTCTCAGGCCAGACCATCCCCAATCCACGTCCCAAAATCCCACCCCCGTCTCTAGATTGGGATTCAGATCCAGCCCGGCCCTATTCTGGCTGTCTGCTTCTCTCTTTTCGTTCTCTGGGGGATCCCTCCTCGCTTCTTCTCTACCCCTTCCTGTCCACGTCTCGACTCCTCTCCCAGTCTTTTCTTCTCCTTCACCTCCGCCTCGGATCCTCCATCAATCTTTCCGTACGGTTGTGACTTGCAGCCGCAGTCCAGCCAGGTACGCGGGCCGTCTGTTCAGCGTTCCCTCGATAGATCCCATCACGATACATCTGTGTGTCCGCCGACCAACCAATACACACAGACCCGGGTCACACATACACACACGCACACACACACGTACACACACACACTCTCTCTCTCTCTCTTTTTCTCTGTCCCCTTCTCCGTCTCTTTCGACTTTCCCTTCCTCTTCAAATCTCGCCGGCTTGATCTATCGCCATTGGTATTTTTCTTCATCTCCCTTTTTTTTTTTTTGCCGCCGCCGCCGCCGCCAACCGGACATAAGTTTTTGTCTTGAAGACTAACTGCCGCAACCCGTCCGAGAACATCGAGAACATCGAAAGGCCTGCGTCCCTATACCGTCTGACCCTCATCTCCTCTCTCTTTCTCTCTCTCTCTCTCTCCGGATCGTTGCCACGGGATTCACTCAGTCTTCAAGCAAACCCATATCGACGCTCCGTTACCCCACGCGACGTCGCCTGTCAGTTCGCACATCACATCGCCATCGAATCCACCACGGACCTGCTTCTCCGCCTGATTGTCTCTTGATCTCCAATTCTTCAGACGTCAGTCACTAGGCCCCCCCCGGAGAAGACCTGCCTCCCCGACGCCGGACATACCCTGCCCGTTCCGCCCGTCTGAAACACTCTCAGTCCTTTCTACAGCACCGCAAGACCCGTTGTGTGTCGTGCACTCATCCGCGCTCGTCACACCACCCGATTTCTCTTCTCCCGCCCGCCGTCAGAGCTGCTCTCCGCTGTAGCTGTTGCGCCGACGACTGCGTTGGCCCGTCTGTTTGTCGAAGTATTTGCCAAAACGCTCTTGCTCCGAGGTCGATGCCATCACCTTGCAGTCATTCTCATCACCGTATTCACTCACTAAGTCAACAATTCCGTCCGCTATCCACGGCCGTCACTGCTGCATCCCATCTCTCTTCATCTCTCTATCAAAAGCAACGACAAATCTTGCCTGGTGGGCGAATCACGTCCGACAAAGGCCAAGTCTCGAAACACCAAATGTACGTGATTCCCTTTGGGACTCCCCCTACCCGTGGCCCGGCTGCTCAGGTGTTCCTTGCTTGGAAGGGTGCGGCCGACTTGAGGCAGCCCTCCCGAACCACCGGAAAACCTCTGTACCTGTTACTGGCGGCAGTTTGCCTGAGTGGCCGTGCTGCCTCACTTTCTCTCCCACTTCGCCTCTCTTCCTTCCAAATCCCCTAACGCTTGTCCGGTGCTGACGAGGACTTCTGCACAACAGATCGTCAACCGTGTCTTTCCATTCTCTGCCATCCTAATTAATCCATCTAGCAATCTGCTACCCTGCTATCTTCGTGTACGCAGTTCATTCCTTCGCCTTTTTCTCGTTCCGCTCTTTTCCTTTGGCTACTGGCCACCCGACCGCACTTCAGTGTTGCACTATACTTCGATTCTTCCTAATAGGCCTGGGTCCTGTATTCAATCTCACGCAGTTACACCGCCTCGCAATAGACCTGAGCGGCCATTCGTTTGATCCAACTGCCAGCCACTCCTTTCTGTACGCGGCGCTGTGTCGACTGCTGGCAAGTAATATTGCCACCTCGAGCCTATACGAGCGTGGTTTCGGGCAACTTCAGCTACGCCACCGCATCCCTCAAACCATCGGAGACCCGCAGGAACCACTGTGATAGAATCTGCACCTAGGCGATATCGCAGAGCGAATGGTCTCGTTGTCGTGCCTGGACGCGCAGGCATCTTGAAAGGGAAAACAAACGGGAAGTTAGGAGGAACACGAAACTCTGATGTCGCTGGATCGAATTCACGAGTACTAAATGAGTCAACCCCAATATGGAAGAGATATGGATCGACCGCCAGTTGCAGGATCCGTCAAGCGGGCCAGAGAGCGGGCTCAAGCCGGCTTCCAGAGGGAACAGCAGTCTCCGCCGAGCGCCACGAGAGTCCCGATAATGGAAGAAGACCCAGACAGCCCCACGGATGTCTCAGACCGACGTCAGATTGTCGAGCCGACACCATCACGGATACCGAGACTTCAACTACCGAATGGCCTGCAAAATAAAGACGGCAGTCCCGGGCTTGCCATCTCCCGACCAACACAAATCCCACAATGGCCGCTGCCAGGGCCGATCCCGTCACCCGTGATCAATCCCGATGCGGAACCCTATCGACCTCCTCCGGGTCGTGGGCCACCGCCGCAACGACCTCCACGCCCAAGTAGAGTTCCATCAATCTTGGACAGTTCACGGGTCCAGGATCACACCCCCGTCTTCCAATATACCCCTCAAAGCGGGCGAGAATCGACGCTGAGCCAAGATGTCTCATCCGCACCGCTTACTCCATCGTCAAGGCACACCCAATCTTCACTTTCTTCAGTCGGATCGATTCCAGACTTCCCTTTGCCGTCGACCATGCCACCCGTCGCCTTGCCACAGCCTGTAGTACCGCCAAGGAGAAGCGTAACACTTGGTCCGCCACCGTCGGCACGTCGAGGCGACTCATCCTTTTATTCGAATGCTTCATTCGTCTCACCGATTCCCGAAGAGAGTCCTCGGTCGAGGTCCCATACCTCCTTCGCTTCCAGTGCCGCAATGCCCGAGAGTTGGGGTAGTCATTCACCAGGATTTAGTCCAGGATATCCGGACGATTATTATGAGGACGACGCGTATTCGACCGAAGACGAAAACAGCCAAATGAGTCGCGGCACGGGATCGCCATATGGGGATGCAGGTGACGAGAGCAAACTTGTTAGGAGTGCCAGTTTGGGCAAGATGTCGAAGCCTTCAATCGTGATGAATCGCGCCCCGAGCAACGGAGACCCAATGCCGCAGGATGTACTAGATGAGCAAAAGTCACTGCGCCCGTCACCGCGGCCATCGCCGGTCCCTTTCCAGCTTCCTATCAGTCCTTTCGACACTGGAACAGCCTATTATGAGGCTTCCAGCTCCTCGGGTTCAGCCCCTATTACCGCAGCCACCGCCACTACTCCATCAATCTCGGCCAACGCAATGCTAGGCGCTTTTGCCGCTGCCAGTGCGACCGATCCAGCAGAACTGAGAAAGGTTACGCCATCCCCTCGTCCGTACAATCGCCTATCAGCCATTCGCCGACCGCCCAAACTTGGACTCGACATGGATTCGGTCAGGGCAATGGAATCTAGGGGTAGCATGACGAGCTTGCCGGACCTCATCAAGCGAGCAACCCGTCTGGCTGCACTTATTGACCGGGGACGAAGACCTGCCAGCAGATTCGAGATGGACGACGGTACATGGCCCGACGAGAAGGCCTTTCGGCGAGAGGGGGGGGAGCAGCAAATGTCCGGTGTGTCTTGTAAGTTTACCCCCGGTGCCCACCACGGCAGCATTGGCTAACCGTTCTTCAGCTGGTGACAAGCACCAGTCAGGCCTGTCTGATATGCTAGCCGCATTCCCGCCACCTGCGGCTACAACACCAAACCCTCCTAATCGCGGAAGCTGGTTCCAACGAGCCTCCAATGCCTCGTGGCCATTGGCGCCGGGTAGTAGGGGCAGCACTCCGCAGCCTGTGACTCGAGCGATGGCGGCAAGAGGATCCCCATTGGTCAGACTTGAATCCAATGACGGCGAGTCTTCGATCAAGCGTCGTAGAAAGTGTTGCGGTCTGCCTTTGTGGGCCTTCATCCTCATTGTCTTCCTCATTTTGGGAATCGTCGTCGCCGCCATCATCGTCCCCCTCGAGTTCTTCGTCTTCCGGAAAAATCGGACCGCTAACTCGCCAACAGCGGAGCCGGCTCTGACCCAGTGCCAGAACCAGCTCAAGTGCGAGAATGGCGGAACCAACGTCGTATCACAAGGCGTTTGCTCCTGCATTTGTATAAACGGGTTCACGGGGCAGACCTGCACCGTGGCCGGAGCCACAGGCTGCACCACCACGAACCTCTCGGGGAACTCTACCTCGACTAAATTTAGTAATGTCACGCTCGGTCAGGCGATCCCACGGCTACTGCAGCAATCTCAGAAGAATTTCACGGTTCCCTTGGACGGCACCGACATTCTCGCCAAGTTCAATACGGAGAGCCTGTCATGTATTGCGCAAAACTCCCTCGTCACATTCGACGGACGGTCGACTCGAACGGGGACCGTTGTTTTTGATACAGATGTCAACGCCAAAGGTGCCATTCCTGTCCAGGTCATCACCATTCCCCCAGGGCAAACGGCAACTATCACGATTGATGCCAACGCGCCGGGAGTCGTGATAGTCCCCTTGCCAGACATCGTCGGTGGGTTCACAACACTGACAGGGCCTTTCCATGTCACGACTATATATGCTTCCAGCTCGACCATGTGGGCCACTATTCCCATGGCGCCTTCGTCAACCACACTCCCCGAGACGACACCCTCTGTAACCCCAACGGCCCCTACTGTCCCGCCTACGACGACACCAACGCCAACCATACCTCAGAGCCCTCCGTTCCCCTCGGTACCAGCGCCGTCTGCACCAGCACCCAGCCCGACCTTCACAGTCACCGAGGAGACTTTGGACTTTGCCCGTGTCTCGATACTTTTGATCCTCGAGAGACAAACTTTGATGGCGGCGACAACGGCGCAGACTGTTTTGCAGCGGTTCTTCACCACTGCGGATCAAGGCAGCCGGCAACAAAGCGGTGGAGTCACACCTGCCCAGGCATTGAACGTTACACTGGGCGGAGGCAACTCGGTGGATCTGGTCAATTTCCTCATTACAATCCCAGGAGGCATTCAGGTTGGCCGCAAGAGCAGCTGAGGGACGAACATAAACAAAAACCCCAAAAAAAAAAAACAAATAGCAACCAACCGAGCGATGGTCATTGACGGCGTGCCGAGGCATGCGTGGCAAAATGTACATAGATATGAAGCTTAATGAGGCGACTCAGCGCTCCCTCTTTCGAGTAGGAGATCTGGGCGGTATGAGAGATGTTGAGGCACGCCGGTCGACCATATTGTATAAAAGATTTTGGTGCGTTTTCTCATTCCTACGAGCGGAGGATTTTTGGCAGGCACAGCATCTCGTCGTGTACGAGTAAGTCAGCGAGGGCGTTGGAACTGATCAGGCAGTAGAAGGAGCTATGCAGATACCACTGATATCAATCAAGTCATAATCACATGTACCGGACTGACTACGCTAGTTGGCGAAGTCAACTGATCAGTGAGTTGGAGACGTGATATTTGGGCTTTCGCCGTGTCCGAGATATGATCTGGAGGGATATATGATGGGCTGGGGGAGTGGATGGGTAACGTAGCTGGTTACGATACGATATTGGCTGAATTTTTGTAGGGGCAAAATCCCGATGGGATGTTATGGTATACAGGTCGTCGGGATCCCCGTGAAGGGTTTAATCTCAGTGAACCAAGGAATGAATCGGCGAACTCATGTCGTTCACTTGAGATTTTTTGTGAGATGCGATTTGATGCCAACAAGCCAAGTCCCAGTTCCCAGCTTGGTTTATTATTTTTCATCCGGTACCTTGCATACATAGCGACTTGGACTCTGACTACCTTACCATTACTGAACTTCAATAGACAAAAGCTTACTTACCGTACTGTGTAGAGAGAGGTGCATCCAGGGTGGGCGGTGCTCCATTTTTGAAGCTTTAGGAGGGATGTTGGTGGGTTTTTTCTTATTGGGCAGGGCGCCATTTTCTCGGTCAATTGGGTGAGAGTTTTGAGATGAGAGTTAGCCGATGGCAAGAGTGGGATAGCTTTTGTGTTTCCCCAGGCTTTGTGTTTATTTCCCCAGCATTTGATTATCTGGAAAGTACAAGATTAGAAACTTAGATTGTCTGTACAACCATTGAGCGGCTGACTTGTTGAGCTGCTGTAGTGCTACGCTGACAAGCTGACTAGTGCCTCTTGAGGCTGAAGATGGCGGGAAATACTCAACATGACGAGACTCGAGAGTCCAGACACACATAAGTAGATACGGGACACTACAGCTTGTAAGGCTTTTGCCAATTCGCCGGAAGTTGAGATGTGCGGGAGGAGAGGAAAGAAGTCGCCGCTAGGACGGATCGAGGATGGGGGTGGCATGTCTTCATTCCGAAAAATCTCGCTTTGTTAGCTGACGGGCTAATAGTTGCAGGTGGACATGTGCACGAAGAAGACTAGGTTTCTTGGCGGGTGAAGTTGAACATCTTTCCGCGGTGGCCCTTGCGTTTTCTTCTTTGGAGCATCTCTCGTTCTTGAGAGAGACTTTGATTTTCTTTCACAGATAGTGTTTGTATCTTTCACAGCAAATGTGTATTCTAATTCCGCCTTTTTACGCGGTCCACCTCTTCCCCCCCGGGAATCTCTCGCCCACATTGTGGCTCTGTTTCTCAGAGTCTTTCGTTTGCCGGGCCCGTGGCAGGGTTGAGAATCGGCGAACTGGGTGCCCAGCCCGGTTATCTTAGGGCAAGGTACAGAAATCACCGGCGGAAACACAGCCCCATCAGAGTGTTGATACTTGAGAGCAGTAGGGCGGGGAGCCCCCGGAGGTTCTCCTCGACTCTGATCTATCCAAGCGCTCGTCTTTGCTCCTAGTGCCGTTCTCCCAACGTCCATTTCTTCTTACTAATTAGTGGACTGAGTTTATCACGCTCTCTCCTTTGCCCATGCACTAACAGATCTCCTCCCCCCCTTCTCCACCAAAACACCCCTGCGATTTCTCAACCCCCTTTTCTACGTAGTACGTAGTAGGCGCAGGCGTGCCAGAGCAAGGGTTCCTGCATAGGTGCATCCTACCCTCCCTCCTCCTCCGCCTAGTTGCAGATGCCGTTCGCTTACCACCTTACCCACCAGGGATGGGGGGCAAGAGTGGGTAAGTGGGTTCTCGCAGTGGATGAGGGAATCAGTTCGAGGGTGATTGCGGCCCATGGGCAGGCTGTATTACTGTTTATCCACAGAGGGAGATCTGAATATGTCCCCAAGGACCCGAAGGTCGAAATTCTAGACTGAACTCTCAGCTAAAGAAAGTGTTTTCGAGTTTCTTGAAACCCATCATCCGTCCTGGACCGTCCCGATCCCCTGAACTTTGATTGTCTGTCAGTCAGATATGTAGGAAAAAAGAGCCCTCTCACAGGGAAACATGCCAGACACAGCCTCCCCTCGTTTTTGGACTTTGAAGTAGCAGCCAGCAGGCAGAGTGATGGAGGAGGCTTTGCGCGAGATGCAAGAACGCGACTACGGTCATCGTGTCGCAGTCGGCGCGCGCTACCACGTCAGCTCCTTCATCACATATTAGCACCGCATCCAAGGGGAAAATAAGGTAGACTTGCCCGTCCCTTCCATCCCGCCCACCATCCACTTCGCACTCTTTTCAAGTTCTCCCGCACCCCTTGCTGAGAAGGCTTGCTAAGCCCGCGCGAGCGTGCCCATTGAGGCTGTGGGGGACGAACCATCCCCAGAGGGAGGAGAAAACGGTCAAGTAAGTTCGGTACCGTTTGGCGTAGATGACTCTCAAAGAGTACCTATTTTGCAAGACACGCCCATCCACATCGGTAGCACGCACTTGGTCCTGAGAATAGCAATGAATAGCAGCAGAGCCCACTTGGCGCCGGCGGATGCCGCTGCTGGCTGTATCATTACTCCAATCCCGGCCGCGCCCTGTTGGGCCTGGCCTTGGAGGAGTAGTAGGAAGCAAAGCGACAGACAGATACACAGTCGGGGACAGGAACCTGACTGTGACTGGGCTTTTGCTTTTTGGCTTACAAGTGGGCTGGCTGGCTGCTCATCCTGAGTGACCCCTTCCTTGCTCTCTCCCTCGCTCTCAATTTGCCGCCATCTCACTGACTTTCTTGTTGTTGGCTTGGCCAATTTTTCCTTCCTCATCTTCCCATCTCTCTCTCTGTCTCTCTCTCACCTCCCCCCAATCTGCTCGTCTCGCGCGCCGTCTTTCCCCTTCGCCTGACTTTACAACCTCATTCACTCTTTACAAGGTCTAGTCCGTCACTCTCCATTAAAGGGAGGAAAGGATTTCCCGCTTTTGTTCTGTTCCTTGCTACCTTACCCACTGGTCAATTCATTCCTTTGCGATTCTGGCTGTCCGTTGCTTTTTGCTTATGCTCATCTTGGGATGCTTATCGCATTGAGAAGACGCCGGCTTCCTTAAGTGGGCTGTTCCTCGCGCGCAACCATCGCGGTCACGCTTCTGGTGTCGACTGGCTGAATCGACACACTTTTGGATCCCCTTCATCATCTCCCTGCAAGACCTTGTGGCCGGATCCGGTTTGGACTTGCACCCTAAGCGGTTGAACCTCGACGCCCCCCTCCTCAACCTTTGGATACAACTTCATCCCATCTTCGAAATCATCTCAAGTCGCAAGTCCAGATATCCCCATAAATTTTAGACATACAGGCAGTCAACAACCCGCCCATCATGGACTACAACCAGCATCACCACCCGTCAAACTCAATTGACAACGCCGCATATCCCGGGGATTCTAGCTACTCACCCGGCGGCCACCCCTCCAACTCCATCAGCAATGCCGCCTACCCTTCAGACTCGTCCTACCGGCCGTCAGACCCGACGATGCCCACAGACGACAAGCTCGCCATGCCCAACGCCCGTTACTCCCAATCCTATAATAACAATAACAACGCCGGCACCGGCGCCACCAACACCAGCAGCAGTAGACAATCACAAACGCAGTTCCCGCCTTATCCAACAAATGCTCCAGCACCTTTCCAGCAGCAATCAACGGGTTGGAACCAGCCGCCGAACCACGACCCCCTGCTGGGCCCATACTCTCCTTCCCGTGGGCCGATAGCACCGTGGACCCCGGATGGAATGTCCGCCGCGAACCCAAACCTCCCACCGCCGCCGCCGTACGACCCCTCGAGGCCTGGCACAGGAACAGGCCCCTCGACACCCCGCGACTCGATATCACCAAACCCCTCTGAGAGCGCCCTCCTCAGCGGACAGCAGCAGCAGCAGCAGCAGAATGCGGCGCACGCCCCGCGACCTCAGAGCAACTACACCAGTACCCCACAACAAGCTCCTGCGCCGGTGGCCGCTCACGTCGCCGATGCGGCGCCGGGACAAGGGGAACGGGGCGGGCCGCGCACGTATTTGCAATCGATGACGGGCGGGATGCCGGCGTACGGCAACAGTCCTGGACAGCTCGGTCCGGTGGCGCAGGCGAGGAAGAGAAGAAAGATGAAGCTCGGCATTCTTGCCGGTGTGCTCTGTGCTGTCTTGGTGTTCCTGGTCGCGTTGATTGTGGGCGTGCTAGTCGGCATCGTCAAGGTCAACCAGAAAAATGATAAGCGGCCTCCGTTTCAGGGACCGCCGAGTCTCTTTTAGTTTGCAGACACTGCCGCGAGTGGTATGCCTTCGTTTCTTTGCTGCAGACCAGAGGCCTGATTGCATCGTAGGCACTGCGACTATGATGGAAGACCGACTCGAGCAGTACTGCCATTTCGCCCGTTCCGTCCTGAAGTTCCTCGAATTTTTCCGAACAGTAAGGGGCGACACTACTTCACCGATACCCCAATGACTTTTTCCAACATATTTTCTCGCTCTTATTTTTCTTTTCTTTTGTGTTTATAACAACACCAACCGAATTTGCTTTTTAGCAACTATGGTTAATTGAGCGTCGCTTGAGCGGGAGGGGCGAAAGGATGAAAAGGGGGTGGTGATGATACGAGGAAGCGACGTTTAATGTCTTTTACATATATTTCTTTTCCTCCCCGGAAGTAAACGATTCGGAGGAAAAAGTTGGGAATTGGGATTGCGGAGGATTGAAACACCGGCGCGTGTTCTGGTCTGGAACCCATAGACGACAAGCCGTGGCTTGCTGAAGAGCGGCGGCCCAATGAGACTGAAATGATATCAAGCGTCAGTTGTTATAGAGTTTTCTGGAATCCTTGTTTTCCTGCGGAGGGAGTCTCTCGTGAGGTGGTGAAGTGGCCTGGGGTTTGGTTTCTTCCCGGTGAGTAGATGATGAGTTTGCGTAATGAGCTTCGGCATGAGTATCCGGACATGGCACCTGCAGCCCGTCGGTTGAGGAGGACTGTTTAGTGTTTGCAGACCTTTTGCAAGTAAATGTTGTATCATTGACTTGAAAAGAGCCGAGACTAGTGCCATAAGCTGCTGTTGGAACTGGCCTGCCCTCTTTCTTCTTCACCGATGAGGTTTCAGGGTTCCTGCTTGCTTGCTTTCACACCATCAATGGCACCCCATTTAAACAGTCGAGGATCGTCAACGAGACACGGAACACATTTGGCGAAATACGGTATCACAATGGCACATGCTTATTTGTGTTTGCCTTTGGACTTCCTTTCCAAGCGTAGGCGAGAATCTCTTCCTATACCATGACTCTTTTGTTTGCATATCTGAGGGTTACAGGTAGGTAGGCACTTTTGAGGATTCGAGGCTGGGATGCTATATGTCCAGGAGTAATAAGAAATGATACAAAGAACGACGATCTGTATATATATATATATATCTTCAGTTGGCTCCGTTGCAGACCGAGGACGAGACTGGTCCTCATAGCTGTTCTATGGTAACAGCGGCGCAATCTTTGCTATCCACTCTACTATACGAGAAGAAGGAAGAAAGAAGGTGAAGGGCAAATATAGATGGTCTAGATTCGTGCCTTCCATACTCGAGTTTGAGACAGAAGTAACAGGGTATGAACCAAGGGTTTATTTAGCTCTTTAATGTTCATCTTTTTACGAGTCATATTCGACAAGGTAGTATAATAACGAAAGACCGGAACTGTGTGTGCCGAAAGCATCCTCTGACTAGCTCTTGTGCCATTGTCAGTGTTTTTGGAGAGAAGTTCAGGGGTCTTTGGTGCCGTAGGAGTGAGGAAAAAGAGACGACTTGGTCGGTTGACCGAAGCAGCCAGACCACGCTCTGAATCAAGCAGAGTTTAAAAGTAACAATTTTTAGTCTATACTTGGCCCACAGAGAGAGTACTTGGAGGAAATCCACCCTGAAGGAAAGTGCCGCCGCGTTGCGTGATCCGAATGAGTTTGGCTGTTGCAGGCACAAAAGTGAGAGCCGTCAAAGATGTATTCCATTTCGGGGGGGCTTCTCCTCCTACTCCTTCTCGTCGGTCTCCTTCTCTGTCTTTCATGGCGGCGTCCTTTATGTGGCGATCGCCGCGCGTCTAGGCAAGCCTATAAAAAGCACGATAGTAGAGAGCTCCGCGGTCCGAGTGTCTATGCCATTTCCAGGCCAGCACCTTTAGTGGTCTGCCACCGTGGGTGTTTTCAGTGCAGAAGAAAATCAACTTGGAGATAGGAATAGAGACAGTGTGTATATATATATATGTGTGTGTGTGTGTGTGTGTGTATGTGTGTGTGTGTGAGCGTGTGTGTGTGTGCGGAACCTATGACGGGAGGAACATTTGGTAAGGAGTCCTCTGCGCGGCATGTTACACAAGACAGACGGACGCATGCGCCAAGAATTGGAGCAAAACCAAGTAAAGTTCTCACCGTAAGCCCACCAGTCACGGTTGAATCCTATAATCTCGTGAGTATATATACACCATAGATTCTTGACATCGATTCTCATCACGTCACGTCCCCCCTTTGCGAAGCTCCCCCTTTCAACGCAAGTCGGATTTTCAACTCGAATATCTGAAATGTTCTTTACGTGAGAATTGGTCTCGATCGAGGAAGAACATTGAATAGAGATTCCCACCTGAGCTCAGCTCAGCTAGGGAATATGGAAGAAGAGGCCGAATGAGGGACAATCTGATGAAAGGGGTTCGCTAACAATTTACCTTTTCTCGCTTGCGCAACGTGGTGGAGGTTGTAGCTCTTGGTAGTTTCAAGGGGGCATCTGAGTCTTGATCCCTTTGCCAATCTCGTCAAGACCACTGTTTATCATTGTGTCAGCGTATCTCGCGCAAACGGCGAAGGGACACAAGACGATGTTTACAACTTGTTGATGGATTTATAGTGGCCAGCAACTCAAAGGGACGTCAGGCAACTAGCTCGGCTAGTATTCAAGCACACAGCAAAAGGGCGAGAGAAAGTGTGAATACCCCGGCAAGGAAAGTCAGCTGCTGGGTGACAATCTCAACCGGAAGCCTCGGTTGACGCGTGCGAAAGAGCCTCCTCATCCCGCACCAGCGTACCAGGAACAACGGAATGGGGGCTGTGAGGTTGCAGCAGTCACATGCTTCGACGCGGGCAGCCTGCTTATCATGATCGCAACATTGCATTGTCACTTGTCACAAACCAGACAATCAGCCGATAGTGCTACAGTCTTCAAGAATGAGGCCAAAGAATGCCATCAATTCTGGCCCGTCTGAGAGGAGAGGGAATTCCTCCATCCCACACGAGCCCACGGCTGCTGTCAGCCTCGCTACCTTTGCAGGACACACTAGTTGTTTTCCGAACGCCCGATGAGCCGGATCCCGCCCAAATCTTGTTTTTGTAAGTAAAACTCCATCCATTTGCCCTACTGTTTTGGTTTGTCTCCTTCCCTAAGGCATGACGAAAGACAAAAAACAAAAATAGAAGAAAAATCGAAGACGAGAATGAAATTGTGTGAGCTATGTTGGTGATGGGTCTTTGTCCAAGTTCGTCCCGTCGTGAAAAAAAATAATGAAGAAAAAAATGGCAAGTCTTTCTGCAGTTGGGAATCTTGCTGCTGCGATGCTTAAAGATACAACGGAATTGATCTCGTATGCCTTCATCCAGCTGTTCTCGATGGAAGTTCAAAATGAAGTCGTAAAGCGTACAAAAGGCCGTGTCGGAAACAGAGACTGAAAACTTTGTTGCGGTCAAGTTGATGTCGAAAGTTCATGAGAGGGTATGTTTTGCCGATGAGGCAACGTCGTCTTGAGCGCGAAAATTGAACGGAAAAGGAAATAGTAAGGAAGTAAATGACTGTGCTGTAGGTCTCGTAACATATGATTGTCGGCTGCGAAATCCACCAAAGTGGAGATAAATCATCGTTGGGACGCAGTCGATAGAAATACCGCGCATTTTCGCTTGTAGGAAAATTCATTGCTAGTGGGCGTCTCGGATTGAAAATGCAGTCGATAGGGGATCATGATTGGGGAACTCAGAGGATCACACATCGGTGACCGTCTGGGCGTCTGCGCCTTCGATGCTTCCGCTTGGCAAACCCCATAAGCCCGGGGTTTTTCTCGTACTCGTGGTCGTCGTCTTCGTGAGCGGCTTGGTTTTGGAACTTCTCGTCCTTCATAAGAAGCTGGCGGCAAATGTCTATGAAGACGGCGTCGACGTTGGCTGTTGAATTTGATTAGCATGATCCTTCCAAATCACCTCGTCATTGACTTACTTCGTGTCCTTGCGCTTGTCTCATAGTAAGGTGCATCCCACATCTGAGAGCATGCAAAAGCCCTTTGTCTAGGTACGGACCGCTGCTCCTCCAAGTCGGCCTTATTGCCGACGATGACGATAGGGACATTGTCGTCGTCCTTGATGCGTGTGATTTCCTCGCGGAGCATCTCAATCTCGTTCATTGACGATGATGACGTGATGCTGAAGACCAAAATGAAACCTTGACCAGATTTCATGTAGAGGTCACGCATGGCAACTGCCTCCGCGGTCAGATCAGGTGTTGAACGATCTAAATGGTTTACTTACCGAACTGTTCCGTGCCCGCAGTATCAAGGCTGGCCTATTGTTAGATGAAAGGTCTCACGGCAGCTAGAATGTGCCCTCGTTACTCACATTTCCAAGACCACTTGCCGTCCCTGGAATAGATCGAGTCAGTGATTCGTCACAGCAAGTAGCACCCGCATAGGATCAACTCACATCAACCTGTAGTTGTGTCCGGTATGTGTCTTCAATTGTCGGGTCGTAACTCTCGATCCACTCATTATGAACGAATTGAGCTTTTGCATTGGTTAGCTCAACTGCAATTTTGACACGAGCCTTTCGCTACGCCGTGCTGCTCACCTGTTAAGCAGCTCTTTCCAACACCTCCTAAAGGCAAAGTCAGTGGGCCGCGCACGTGACAAGCGTAATTCTCAACATGAACTCACCAGCACCCAGCACCACGACATGGAGCTCACGACTACACAGAATCAGCTTGCACTCTTTCCCTCTCTACTTTTCAACGCTGGATTGGCATTGACGCGGAGCATACCATGACTGATGATGCCTGTTGTGGCGCGACATGGTGTCTTGCTGGCCAATTTGAGAGTTCGTTTGCTGTTGAGTGAGTTTCCTGGTGGCGGAGACGTACGGCCAGTACGATTCAGATGACCAAAAAGTGCCGGAGCGATTTGATGTGTCGGAAATGCTTCAACAGCTGGTCGTCTTCCTTTGAGGAAAGGCCGCCGGGCTGAGTAGTTCGCAATCGGCGCGTCA